GGGCAAGCGAGAGAATGCCAAGTTGATATTGTCGTCCTTCAAGGGTCCACGTCTCTCTTCTCTCTACTATGGAAGGTCTGTATTACGGCTCTGTAAGTGTACACCGTACAGGCATACATATTCCTCATGCATGCGCCTCTTCCCCTGTATGAGTAGGCAAGGCTTCAGGGCTTATTAGTGGTCCAACCGGTGTAATCTGGCCCTTACATTGTAGAGATTACAGCGGCTATGCCGCTACCGGACAATCACCGGCCCGGTCCCACTTCTCCTTTGGCAGTACAGATTAGTACTGTGATGGATGTAATTTTTACTCTGTACTACAATACTATTAGTACTAGCAGTAGCTAGTCATTGGGTTCCATGACGCAGCCTTTGAGGTGAATTACTCGTGAAAGAAAAAATTAAGAAGTAAAAAGAAGGAGAGAAAGAACGGACGAGGCCGACGTGGTGCATTGACCTGACGTGACCACCTGTACTACTAATACCGGGCTTCACACGCAACGACGGCAGTGGACCGCTGTACGGCTAGTGCTAGTAGGTAAGACCCTGTAATATACGCCGTAACCCCCTGTAGCACAGCGATCACCGCCTGCGAACCGACAACTCAACGCCCTTTACAGTGCTTATCTTCTCGGGCACCTAGCGCTCCAGCACCCTGTCCACCCCCTAAGACTTGGCCGCCCTGAGTGGAACCCGCCCAAGGTCCAGACTCTGGCAGTTCTCTGGTACGGAGCCCGTGGCTTCTGATACGACCAGAGCGAGCTCCGTTAACCAGGTACTTTTCAGTTACTAATGATACCCCGTACTCGTACAGGTATCGCTGGTAGTAGTGCTGCTGTAGCGGGACGGGCACTACAGATTACATGTTACAGCGGGTCTCTTGCCATCACTACCACTTGCTAGTACTAAGACGCGAGGCTCTCATCTGATACGTGCGGCGCAAACAATCCTGCACACCAGATACGCAGCAGCATCAGCAGCATCAACTTTTCTCCATTGGAACTGCTCCGACATTCCAAGCTGTCTTCTCCTCCGTTCGATCCCCTCTCGACACCTGTTGCATATTGTGTGCCCCGCTTCCTTCTGCCTCCCTTGTCCTGACCGCACTAGGCTCGGAAGCCTTCCTCTGCTAGCCTAGCCACTGCATCATCCATCGCCAAAACGACAGCAACATGGATCGCGGTCTAGACGAAATCATTGCCGAGACTGTGCGCAGAATCCCTACCCGGCCACTCCTCTTTCCTAGGATAGCAATGCCTTCCCGAATGCTGACCTTGTTTCCAGCGCTCCAGCGGACCCCGTGGTGGTCGGCGTGGCGGCGGCGGCGGTGGTCGCCATCGCGAGCGTCACGAAGGTCCCCGAGACGGCATCAGAAAGGTAACCCACCTCCTCTCCCCACAAGCTCTAGGGAAGACCATGCACTGACTCGCCAAGCAGGTTGCTCCATCATCCTCCCTCCAATCTACTTTGTCGACGCGCCGAACCCCCCTCGAGTCCTCGACCACATTACGTCTTGGCCGAGATCAGAGAAGGGCGGCTTTTCGCCTTGGGATCGTTTCTTCCCAGACAAATACAATGTGGCTGACTCTCGTCTACCTTCCTCCCCTTGATCTAGTCCTACCGTGACGAGTCTAGAAATCTCGACAGGTAGGCCTCGCACTTCTCTCTCTTCTCCCCGAATTCCTTATCCTCCCCAATTGCTGACCGGAAGTTGGAAAAAAAAAGCGAATGGGTGCACGACCGATACGATGACAACAGCAGCAACAGTAAAGACGCCCGACATCAACTTTTTCCTTATCCTCAGCGCCATGACTTACCCTCCTCGTGCCAGACCATCGCCGGGGCCCTGCCTCTCGCCGCCAGCGCGACTCTCCCGAACAGTGAGGACTCCTGACAAAGCACGTCCCGAGACGAACAGAGAGAGAGAGAGAGAGAGAGAGAGAGAGCTGACATGTCTGTCTAATCAGTGACAATGCCAAGGGAACGAAGATCCGCGTCGAAAACATTCACTACGACCTAGGTCAAGAAGACATTGATGTACGTAACCACTCACCACGACAGCACGATCTCATCATCTCACCGACTCTTCACCCCCACCTCGCAGGAACTCTTCCGCCGAATCGGTCCCGTATCCAAGATCCAGCTTCGCTATGATCGAGCCGGCCGCTCGGAAGGAACTGCCTACGTGACCTATGAGTCCAAGGAAGATGCATTGGACGCCATCAGGCAGTTTGACGGGGCCAATGCCAACGGTATACACACACATACCTTTCCTCTCTTTGCAAAACACCCTATAACTGACCGCACACCCCCAGGCCAACCTATCCGCCTGACCCTCGTCTCCGGCCGCTCTCGCAACCCCTTTGACACGGCCGTTATGCCCGGCCGCCCCTTGTCCGAGAGGATCTCGGCCCCCGGAAACGGCAGTCGTGCGCGCTCCTACTCTCCCCCCGGGGTCAGGTATACTCAGGAGGAGGCCGTCCGCAAGGGTATCGACAGGTACATACCCGGCCAAGGCGGCGGTCGGTCGAGGACCCCCCCTCCCTCTAGGAAGAGGGGTGGCGCCGGTAGTGGTGGCGTCGGCGGCGGTGCTGGACGCCGTCCCGGTGCTAGGAGGGAGAGGACCGAACAGGACAGCAACGGCGGTGGCCGCCGAGGTGGAAACGGGAACAACCCCCGCCCCAAGAAGACCCAGGAGGAACTCGACGCCGAAATGGAGGACTACTTTGCCGGTGATGGCGATGCTGCTGCCGCTGCCCCCCAGAAACAGGCTCCGGCTGACACTTCCGCTCCCGCTGCTGCCCCTCCTGCTGGCGACGATGTCGACATGATTGAGTAGATTGGTCTATGATACCAGGTCACGTGTACAACAGCATTACAATGGGGCAAGAAAGATTCATGGCTCTGGTTTTTTTCTTTTTTTTCTTTCTTTCTGACTGGGTCAGTTTTACTCACTTTCTACACATACGACAGGAAAATCATGGCGCAGGCAGAATGTGTGGTGTCTGTGAGTCATGTTACCAACCGTCATACCCGAATGGCATGTCAAGTGTAGTAATAGCAATGGGCATTCAGAAAATCTCAACTTTATTTTTTTTACCCCTCTCCCTTTTCTCTTTTCTACGCTGAGAAACATACATGGCTGCTATATCTATCGTCCGGACTTTATCTACTCGAGCTTGAGCTGCTCGAACTGCTGGATGGTTTCTTCATAGCTCTTGGCCTCCTGCTTGGCGTCGGCCAGCTTGCCAAGGTCGGCCTCTTGCACCTGGGCCGACACCTTCTCCTTGTAACCGGGGTCGGCCAAGACCTTCTCCTGCTTCTTGACGGCGGCCGAGGCCTTCTCGAGCTTCTTTTTGGCCTTGGTGATCTCGGCGTCCATGTCGACGCGGCCCTTGACGTAGAGGAAGACGGAGGCGGCAGTGCCGACGGGGTAGGCGACGCTGCCCGCAGGGCGGGGGGCATCGGGTCCGAGCACATCGACCTTGTCGACGCCCTTGCCAGCCAGCGACTTGATAGCCGCGACCTGGTCCGTGACAGTCTTGAGGGCCGTCTCGTTGTAGGCCTGGACGGTAACTGCAAAAGAAACAGAATGGGTGAGACAATGGATATGGAAACAAGTGGATTGTAGAAGAAACTTACTGCTGACATCCTCCTTGATGGCGTACTCGGCCATGAGGGAACGGATGGCCTTGGTGCACTCAAGGACCGTCTCGTAGGCCATCTCAGACGCGGGGTCGTCGAGAACAGCGTCGTACACGGGGTACTTGGCCACCATGATTGACTTGGTCTTGTCCTCGGGCCTGCGCGGCATGCGCTGCCACATCTCCTCTGTGATGTAGGGCATGAAGGGGTGGATCATGGTCAGAGCCGCCTCAAGGGCCGTGTACAGAGTCTGCAGGGCCGACTGGCGCTCTTCCTCGGTTCCGTCGCGAATGATGGCCTTGGAGTTCTCAATGTACACATCGCAGAGCTCGTTGTACCAGTAGCGGTAGACGGTTATTGTGGCCTTTGAAAACTCGCGGTCGCCAATGGCTTGATTGATGTCGCGCGCCGCCGTGGTCATCTTGTGCAGGATCCAGCGTTCGGCCAGTGTCTTGCCGGGGGCACCTCCTTTCTTTGAGGGTGTGAAGCCTTCCGGCAAGCTTCCCAGAACATACTTGGTCGCTTGGAAAATCTTGTTACAGAACTTGCGGTACGCATGGATGCTGCATAACGTGGTCAGCTTGGCCTACCGTTTTCAAGTATAGATGTCAACTTACATCTTGATGTCGAGGTTAATGTCACCGCCGCCAGTGGTGGCGTTGGCCATGGTGAAACGCAGGGCGTCAGCACCACATTGGGGGATACCGTCGGGGAAGGCTGTCTTTTGATACTTGGTGGCCTTGACGACCTCGGAGGGGGGAAGGTTGCCCTGGTGGAGCTTCTCGTGGAGGCCATCAAGCTTGATGCCGGAAATTACATCAAGAGGGTCGATAACGTTACCCAGACTCTTGCTCATCTTCCTGCCTTCCGAATCACGGACAAGGCTGTGACAGTAGACTTCGCTGAAGGGGATCTTGCCCGTCATCTTGAGACCCAGCATTATCATGCGGGCAATCCAGAAAAACAGAATGTCCCAGCCGGTCTCAAGAACGGTGGTCGGGTAGAGTTTCTCGAGGTCGGACGTCTTGTTGGGCCAGCCCAGGGTACTAAAAGGCCAGAGTCCGGAAGAGAACCAAGCTATATATAAAAAAAAGGGGGGAGGGGGGGTTAGTGAGGGATACATTTTTGGCCTTGAGTCAATTTTCTTTTGTCAGGTACATACTGTCCAGGACATCCTCATCCTGCTCGAGGGTGAACTTCTTTCCAGGAAGGGCGGCGGCGGCTTTCTTCTCAGCCTCCTCCTTGGTCCTGCCCGAGAACCAAAGCTTATCGTTGCCGGTGTCACCAGCCTCCCCCTCGATCTTAGCAAAGTAGACGGGGCAGCGGTGGCCCCACCAGAGCTGTCGACTGATGCACCAGTCATTGATGTCCTCAAGCCAGCGGAAGTAGCTACGCTCGGCAGTCTCGGGACGGATCTTGATCTGGCCGTCGCGGACAGCCTGCATGGCGGGCCCGGCAAGCTCCTTGGTCTTGACCCACCATTGAGGCTTCATAAGGGGCTCGATAATGTCCTTGGACTTATCGCAGAGAGGTACCTTCATGGCGTTGTCCTTCTTGTCGACGTACAGACCCTTCTCCTTCAGGGCGTCCTGGATCGAGTAGCGGACGTCGAAGCGCTTCTGGCCCTTATAGGCTCCAGCGTTCTCATTCATCAGACCATCATCGGTGAGGATGTTGATGAACTGGAGGCCGTGCTTCTGACCCAGGTTGAAATCGTTGGGGTCGTGGGCGGGGGTCAGCTTCACGGCACCGGTACCAAACTCCATATCAACGTACTCGTCAGCGACGATAGGCAGGTCACGGCCCTCGATGAATGGGTGAACAGCCGTCTTTCCGACGAGGTGCTTGTACCTGTCGTCCTTGGGATTGACGGCGATACCGCTGTCACCCAGCATGGTCTCGATACGGGTAGTGGCAACCTCAATGGTCTCATCGGATCCCTTGATGGGATACTTGAAGTGCACAATGACACCGAACTCGACCTTTTTGTCATACCCGGGGACATCGAGGAGCGTGCGGCCCGTCAGCTCCTTATTCACAACCTCGAGGTTGGACAGAGCAGTGTTGAGTTTGGTACACCAGTTGACGAGACGGTTGGCACGATAGATAATACCCTCCTCGTGGAGCTTGACGAAGGTCTCAGTGACAGCGGCGGAAAGGTTGGCGTCCATGGTGAAAGCCTCACGGCTCCAGTCAAAGGAACCTCCCAAGCTGGCTAGAGCTTTGTTGATACGTTGGTGGTACTCACCCTTCCACTCCCAGACAGTGTCGAGGAACTTCTCACGGCCAAGGTCGTGTCTGGTCTTCTGCTGGCGCCTCCAGAGCATGTTCTCGACGACACTCTGAGTAGAGATACCGGCGTGGTCGCAGCCGGGAAGCCACAAGGTGGTCTTGCCCAGCATACGGTTCCACCTGATCATGATGTCCTGAAGGGAGTCGCCCAGGGCGTGACCCATGTGCAGGGCACCGGTGACGTTGGGCGGGGGGTGGACAATGACAAACTTGCCCTCGTCCTTGACAGAGCCATCCTCCTTGAACTCGGGCTTGAAAAAACCCTCCTTCTCCCACCAGCTGTACCATGCCGACTCGACGGCAATGGGGTTGTAGGCCTTGAAGTGGGGGTCGTCAAAAGATCGGATGCGCTTCTTTTCCCCGGCGGGCGTTTCTTCGACGTAGTCGGGGAGAACCTCCTCTGGCTTCTTCTCTTTGACCTTCTTGTCCTTGGCGGGCTTCGCAGAGGCCTCAGCAGCTTGTGCGGCCTGCTTGGCCTTCTTAGCCTCAAGCTTCGCGACCTTTTCGGCCTTCTTGCGCTCCTTCTCCACTGTTCAGAAGTGACGGCACAGGTCAGCATAGAATCATTCCAATTTGGCGGTATCCTCCTTTCAGGGATATCATCTGGGAAACCTACACTCCTTCTCGGTCTTCACCTTGGGAGCGCCAGAATCGCCGGCATCCTTGCCAACATCGGCCGGTGTCGAGGCAGTGACATCATTCTGGGCGGGCGTGCTTTCGGTTGCCCCAACTGTTTTGATCACAGAAAGTACAAGTTAGTAAACAAGAAAGCTCCCTGTGGCTCTTCTTAATGTCCTGCTTTCCCAAGCTCATGGGGCTTACTGGGGTTGCCGCGGCCACTGTTGCTAGCCATGCTGGCAGTTCTAGTCAAAGGGGGGCGTCGCGGGGAAACTGATCGCACGCGAAGTGCACGAACGGCGAGTCTGAACGTCGTGTTGGGAGGTCGATGGCGAAGCCCGTATTTGAACGAGGGCTTCTTTGCGACAAGTAATCAGTGAAGAATTTAAGAAAGTAGGCGAAATAGTCCGGCCCGCTAGTAAAGTTGACTCACCACCGAAATCGAGTCACTCGACACTACCCCAAAGTCAAGAAAATCAATGAGGGGTCCTTTTATGTGGCGCAGCACCCCTCAGTGGATATTTATCCTGTGGCTGGTGTATCGAGCTCCAGCCACAGAAGTCATGGGCAGCATGTAGCATCTACAACTTGTCAAGGAAATGATTCCTATTCTTGTGATTTCAACCCCCAGACTGCTGGATACGCTTGGGTAGAAGCGGGATAATAGCCCCATCGCCCGCGACCTTTCCACAGTACGGGACTCAACACCAGCGACGATGCTGCGAACAGCGGTGCGACGGCGCATCGCCACCAGGACCACACAGCAATGTCCACCAGTCGCATCGTCGAGGTTCCTAAGCAGCACCGTCAGGGACAAGCCCACGCTCTTCACTGCTAGCATCCCGAAATCACTTACAGTAGGTCCATCCTTCTCAGACGCCATCCCTTAATGGAACTTACACCCATTCTCTACAGAAAATCATGGGCGCTTCTCTCATCAAGAAGCTAAGGGAGCTGTGCCAGGTTGTCAGCTCCGAGGGCCAGGGACACAATGCCGCTGTAATCCTGGCGAGTCCTGGACTCACAAACATCGTGGTGGACAATGAAGCCTTCACCCAGGAGCTCGTCTCTTGGCTAGGTGAGCATGAGGGTGGCCAGTTTCATCTGCTCTCGGCCATTGTTGATGGCATTCCCGCTTCACTGTCGTCCAAGAAGACTCCATCCGAGGGCATTGCAGTCCTGCGGGGCCCCTCAGACGTGATACTCCCCCAATTGGGGAATCCTGAATTCCTCAGAGACAGGCGCGATCACGACACGGTGGGAGCCCTGAGTTTCAGCGGCCTTGGCGACCCATCATCGTCAACCATTGCCGTGCCTCTGACGCGCACGATCTTCCACAACGCCAGGCCGTCAACATTGATCGCCTCTCGCTTCGACCTGACTACGCCGGGAACCCCTCGGTTGATTGAGAGCGGCGAAGCTGTGAGGCAACACATCAATCTGGCGGATTCAACTGTTTCTGGCGGGAAGTCCTCTAGACGGCAACCTCATCTATGGCTGCCTCTAACGTCGGTGAGCTCATCGAGAAAGGTGACGGAGAGCTTTGGCAATATCCTCCGACGACTTGACCACGACGGGAAATCATCACCAGCATCTTCGGAACTCGAGGCCAACATAGGAACTATCCGCAAAGCCATTCTGGATGCCTCGCCGGAGGTTGAGACGGCTCTCCCCGGGGTATGGGCCGTGGTCGACCCCACACCTGGAGAGACCATCAACTTCAGAAACTGGCAGATCGACCACCCCAGAGACGTAGATATGGGTATCGCCATCCATGCCATCAGAAATGGCGGACGGCCATTCAGGCTACGTAAGGAACAAAGGACTTGTCAACATTTTCATAGAGATACTGACGCATGCTCTAGTGAGTGGTGGTGGCGGTTGGGGAGATAAGGCAGGTCTCCTTTCACTCGACCCAGAAACGTCGCCCTTTGCAGCCTCGGAGGAGGAGAATATGCGCAACCTGTTTGGCATCGGAGGCGCATCCGACTACGCCCCTGTGGGGTCCGAGGTGCAGTTCTTCGTCCCCGATCTCGTGGCCGGCGAGAGCCATCCCCACGACAGCCACGGCCTCTTATTTGGCGTATCCCGGTACGACCCCGGGACGACGACAGCCGCCGAGCCCTTGGTAGACCAGCAGGAGGCGGATATCGCCGTGACGCCTGGCCGATTTGGCGTGCTCTGTGAAGAAGGCATATACGTCTCGGGCGAGGATGCCCGGCCATTCAAGCTTAGCGTGCCAGGTTCACTCGTGAGCATCCCCTAACAGCCAACCTAGTGTATGTATCTGTACTATTATCAACGTGGCGTGTAAGATTACGAGTACAGCATGTTCAATATAACTATACCTTGTTCAGAAGAAACTGTCGTCCCGTCTCTTATTGCCACTGCCTCGGCTCACTCGATCTTCTTCCTCTTCTTATCTAAGCCATCAGCCAAAAGTTCAGCCACCGAGTTCAGGTCCGTGCCCCTGGACCGCTTCCCAATCCTCTCCTTTCCGAGAACGGGATCCTCCGCAACAGACTCGTACGTAGCAGCCGCGCCAAGGAAGAGGTCCCTCTCCCAGCCGCCATCATCGCACATGGTCGCGGCAATTTCCTCCATCTCCCGCACCCACCTATATGCCTTTGGGACCATCACAGGGACGGCCTCCTCGGCCCTAGCCAGAGCACCAGGGACGACCTGGGCCATATGGCTGCGGAGGGAGTCGGACACACCCAGCCGATGCGCCGTAGTGAAGGACTGCGTTGCAATGGCCGTGAAGCCCTTTAGCATGGAGGCAAAGCACATCTTCAGCCCGCTCGCCTGGCCAATCTTGTCTGCGATGGGGTCGATCTTCAGCACCGACAAGAGACGGTCACCGCCGGGTGTGATCTCGGCGAGCGAGTGCGGGCCCGAAATGGGTATGTTGGGACGGAACCACTCCCCCTTGCCGTCCTCGAGGAGCCGCGGCGGTGCCCCGAGGATGCAGCCGTCAATGAACCGCACGGGGGCCCTGCTCTTGTCGAACGATGCGGCAATGGCCCGCACCGTGGTGGGCGACACAGCGTTGAGATCGGCATAGTAGAGGGGTGCGCGGTCGCCCTCCTTGGTGCCGGACAGGGCCTCTATCACCCTCTGTGCTGTCGCCTCGGCGTCTCGCGGGGGCACGATTGAGAGGATGACGTTGCTTTTCTGGACGAGCTCGAGATCCGATGAGACGAGCTCTACCTTGGCGTTGCGCGCGCGCTCTATCGTGTCCTCGCTTCAAGACATCCAGTGTTAGCTACCATGCATGGTATCCTCTGCTGATCTGTCTCATGGGAGCTTGTCTCATCGTTTACCTCCTTCCTTCACAGTTGGTCGCTACTGCAAAGCCGTGGGCAATGAGCAGTCGGGCAATACCTGCGCCCATGTCCCCCAGGGACAGGATCCCAACCCTGGGTAGCGATTCAGTGCTGTCTTCAGATGTCATAGTTTTGGTGTGACCTTTTGGTTCATGCATGTAGTTTGACTACTATTAGCATGGAATGTCTGGGGCGGGGTAGAGTACATGTATGTAGTTTTCGTATGAGTAACACCAAACATGGCTTCAATGGCGTTATCGGTGCGGGTATGTGTGAGTGGGGAAGCTCTCCCATCGCGTTAGCAGATGCATCTTGCGATGTTCTACATATATCGGTAGGACGATTAATATGTGAGCATCAGTAGCGAAGTGATTATTGTTTTTGTATGGAATATACCTATCTATATTGGTTGCCGGAGCGCGGAAGTGACAATAGATGGATACAACAAAGGCCTGTAGTAATAGCCCCCCACCCCTATCTCATTCCTTCTCCTTTCTAGCACCACCGCGAACCGGTCTCGTCTGAGCGGCCTCGTGCCGCCTCAGTTCTTCGGGCACCTTGGAAATAGTGCTCTTGCTGAGCATCTGTTTGAGATCGTACATGACGTCAGAGTCCTCGTTGCCCAGGAAAGTGATGGCGACACCACTCTTTCCAGCACGACCAGTACGACCGATACGATGGGTGTAGCTCTCGATGCTCGTGGCCATGTTGAAGTTGACGACGAGCGAGACGTCGGGGACATCGATACCACGACCAGCAAGATCCGTGGCGACGAGGACGTGCGTGTTTCCGGCCCGGACCGAGGCGAGGGCGGCTTCTCGCTGCTCCTGGGTCTTGGATCCGTGCAGGGTGACGACGGACCAGCCCATGGACTTGATGTCGCGGGCGACGGCATCGCAGTTGCGCTTGATATTGACGAAGACGATTATGGGCGGGGCGAAAGAGTCCGATGCGAGGATCTCCTGCAGGCGCTTCTTGCGGCGGTCCTCGCCGGGGATAAACTCGACGCGCTGTTCCACCGTATCGACGGCCTCTCCAGCAGTTCCAATGGTGACGGTGGCCGGGCGCCGCAGGTACTTCCTCGCGATACGCTCCACAAGCGGCGGCATGGTAGCCGTGTACATCATGGTTTGGCGGTAGCGGTCCTGTCCGCCCAGGTAACTCTTCATGAGCTGCGAGTTCTCGGCGTCGTCCGTATCGGGCTTCTCGTTGGTCACGGGCAGCGCGTCGAGGATCTTGTTGACTGACTCCTCGAAGCCCATATCGATCATGCGATCGGCCTCATCCATAATGACGTAGCAGCACTGCGAGAGGACCAGCAGCCGTCGCTCGATACAGTCTACCAGACGACCGGGCGTCGCCACAATGATCTCTGCGCCGTTGCGCAAGGCGAAAGCCTGCTCCTCCAGCGAGTGGCCACCGACGATACTGACGCAGCGGAATCCGAGGGGCGTGGCGAATTTGCGTGCCTCCGTCTCAATCTGCTGGACCAGCTCTCGCGTCGGCGCCAGGATGAGCGCGTAAGGACCGTCGTTCTTGTTGGTCTCGGTGAGCGGCGGCAGGTCAGAGATGTAGACGAGCAGCGGCAGCAGGAATGCCGCCGTCTTACCCGAACCGGTCACGGCGACACCGATAAGATCCCTGGCCTGGAGGGCGATAGGTATGGCGGCCCTCTGGATTGCCGATGGCTCCTTGTAGCCCACCTGGTCGACGATGTCGAGCAGGCGCTTCGGCAGGTTGGACTCGCGCCAGCTGCGCATCGGATTGGGGATGGCGCCGCCCTTTGTGCTGATGCCGAAGTTGTCCTTGAAGATACGCCAGTCCCGCTCGCGCATCTCGTGCAATCCCTTCTCCGACCAGTGCCTGCCCAGCCCCCTCTTCTCCTCTCGCTCGAGCGCCCTGTCCCGGGCTCGGTAGTAGTCGTTCATGATGCCATCGGCACGCTCCTTGCCGAACTCCGGGTCGTGCTCCTCGATGAGCTTGGCCTTCTTGCGGATGCGCTCCTCCGACTCCTTGTCAAAGTCTCCGTTGACGTTGGTAAACGACCAGCCCCGGCCTCCGTCGCGGTTCGAGTATCGCCAGTCGCTTTCCAGTGTTGTGTCTTCCGAGTCATCCCAGCCAAAGTTGAACTTTTTCTCCATGGTCCTCATCCGCTTCTTCTTGGCCGAGAACTTCGAGTGCTGATTGACTTCCGGGCCCAGGTACCGCTCCCGCAGCAGTGTAGACTGAATCTCTTCGGCCGAAGGTTTCGTCTTGCTGTCTGCCTTTTTCGCCCCATCTTTGTTGTTGTTGTGGTTGTTCGCTCCCGCTCTGCCGTTACTGTTTTTCGGTCCTGATCTACCGTTGTTCGTTGACCGGCCGTCGAAGGTCTCTCTCGTCCTGTCTTCTTGTTCTTGCGAGCGCGCATACCACTTTTCCTGGCGCTCCTTGCGCTTCTGAGCCTCCTCTTCGGCCCTGCGCTTCTTGTCGGCTTCCTCTTGCTTAGCCTTCTCGGCGGCAAGACGCTCCCGCTCGGCCTTGGGGATGAATCTAGGCTTCGAGGCAGCCGCATCGGCCGCCTTCTTCTTGCGCAGGATCTCTTCGAGGTCGAGAGGCATCGTGTGCGGTGGGGAGTTTGTCGATGATAGAGTAGGAGGAGAGCCCAATGTGCCGAGAGAAGACGGGTCCGCCTTGAAGATTAGAATGCGCGTTTCATTGGTCAGATCTGCGCTCTCACCTCAAGCCTTGACAATGCTTGACTTGATCAGTTTCTTACCTCGTTCTTTGCACTCTTCTATGACAAGGGCAATTTTTACGTCCTCTTGAAGACCAGAAGGGAAAAAAAGAATTCGTCTTACTGATCCCGTACCTTGTGTTTGAATATTCCCGATGCGCATGTACGTAACTGCTGTCATCCAGAAAAGTGGATGTATAAAAAGTGGGACCTAGACCTTGGGGGAGAACAACCAGGGTCAAAGGATTGAGAGCCTCTCAAACCTCCAAATATTCGAGAGCCAAGCCAACCTACAGCACCGTCGAGCGTCCCGGGTGTCCTGACCAGCCGACGAAACCACGCACAACCATGGCGACGACGAACCCCCAACAGTTGATCCAGCTGGCCAAGTCGCTCCCGGCCCCCTTACAGCGCTTCCTGGCCCGTTGGCCTCCCGCGTCCATCGTCCCCGAGGGCACCGCCCCGACCGCGTACCAGGAGGCTCGCCCCAACCCCTTCAAGGCCTACAGGAACCCGGCGACGGGCAAGTGGCAGGACGCCGTGTACTCGCAGCGCCGGCAGGCCCAGCTGGTGCAGATGGCGCGCGACCACGGCGTCGAGCAGCTCCTGCCCGAGACCAACAAGGGCATCGAATACCGCCTCACCAAGCGGGTCGAGCACGGCCTGCGCGTCAAGGGTACCGGTGTCGGGCAGAGCGTCAAGGGTCACATTCACGAGAGGCAGATGATTTCAAAGTGGGTTTCCTTCCTTCCTCTCCATACCGAAAAGGAAGATGGGGGAGGAAGCATACAGAGAAGAGGATCAAAGATGCTGACACACACATCTGCAGGATGGAAAAGAGGAGGAAGGCCATGCTCGAAATGCCCCAACTCATCAGGGAATGGAAAAAGGTCAGCTTCACAATTCCCCTTTTTTCTCTCCTTACACTTTTTTTAGAAATATCATGTCCCCAAATCATCATGGCTAACTCGAAACAGGTTGGAAAGAACAACTGGACCAAGTGGCCGAAATAGACAACATGCGCCGTACAAGGCACGCGCACCATGTCATTTATTTTGCAACACCAATGTATATTACAAACATGTACTCTTTATGTACCAGCATCATCACTATACTACTACTACATCTACACGCAATTGTTCCATTTCCCCATCATCCGTGTCATCTTGTTCAACTTGGCCGTCCATGTCACGTGATGTGCCAGCATGGCGATGGTTTATGGCTCCAAAAATTCTCATGGGCCCGTAGACTCATGATGCACAGCTTTTTCGCAGGCTTAGCTAGACTCTTCCTTCTTCCTCGTCTGCTCTTTGACTTCTCATTGCTCCCTAATTCGCTGATCGAACTGTCCTGTTCAATGTGGCCAGGGGGGAAAGAACGAGAGCGGCCATCCATGGATACACATTATCAAGTACTGAACCTCACCCCCTCCATCCTCTCCTCCCAAAATGACCCATCCTCCCTCATAAAACGAGCCTACCGCCGAGCTCTTCTCCAAAATCACCCAGATAAGGCTCCCGGCTCATTCCTACCGCCTTCCGCTTCCTCGACAACAAAAAATACAACAGAGGTATATACCATCGACCGCATCCAAGAAGCTTATACGGTCTTGTCATCACCCACCCAACGGGCCAACTACGACGCTCAGCTCCGTCTGGGAGGACGACCGTCCGGCGACGGGACCTCCTCTAACGATGATTCTGCTGCATCCAAGTTTCATACGGGAGTCGAAAATGTCGACCTAGACGACCTGGAATTCGACGAGCAGGAAGCTTGCTGGTTCCGCTCGTGCAGGTGCGGCAACGACAGGGCCTACCTGTTCCGCGAGTCTGACCTCGACGAGGTGGGCGATGAAGGGGAGCTCATGGTTGGATGTCTGGATTGCAGTCTTTGGTTGAGGGTGCATTTTGCCGTCATGGAGGATGACGAGCAGGATTCATAGCGGTGACGACGATTACCACGACCCAGCCAGGGCCTGTTATCACGATAACGAAGAAGCATACATACTTAGAAGACATATACCCCGACACCAGTCAGAAGAAACTTAGCTTATTAGACGCAATGCCACCGTTAGTAGTAGCAGCTCACCCTTGCCCGAAACCATGCATCATCCGATACACTGTCAGTGATGAGCTCTTTATATAATATTGAAAGCAATTTTTGGTATTTTTTAATTGTCCAGACGGCCACATGCATTAGAGTCTAGAAGCAAAACCTCCTCAATCCCCTTCTTTAGTCCTCCGTGCCGAAATTCCGTTGGCAAAAGAGCCAAGTACCTCTCTTCGTTGTTTACGCATTTACCTAAACGATGCCGAAGCTCTTGGCCGAAAAAGAAAAAAAGAAAAACGAAGTCTTCAAACCACTCCGTAGACACCAGTCCACCCGACTCCAGCAGTTGGCCAAAGCCCAGAAATGCCCCCGCGAGCATACAAATTTTCCGTCTTTTTGTTGATTTTTTCTTTACTCGGCAGCCTTGGGCTCCTCGGCGGCGGGGGCCTCCTCCTTAGGAGCCTCGGCCTGAGCACCAGAGTTGTCGGCCTCGGACGAAGTCCACAGGGTCTGCAAATGTTGTTAATAAATGGCAATAAAATGGCCGGGCACAAGCACGTCTTGCTTGTCCGATGTTACTTACGAGGTTGTCACGGAGAAGCTGCATGATGAGAGTCGAGTCCTTGTAGCTCTCCTCGCTGAGAGTGTCGAGCTCTGTGCAATAATCGTCAGCTTATGTGGTCCTGAAAAGATTGGACTATTCGTTTCGGGGAGGTGCGTACCGGCAATGGCATCGTCAAAAGCCTGCTTGGCCAGGTGGCAAGCCTGGTCGGGGGCATTGAGGATCTCATAGTAGAAGACGGAGAAGTTCAGGGCAAGACCGAGACGGATGGGGTGGGTGGGGGGCAGGTCGGTCTGGGCAATTTCAGTGGCAGCCTTGTAGGCCTCGAGCGACTTGTCGGCGGAGTCCTTGCGGCGGTCTCCCATGGCGAACTCGGCGAGGTAGCGGTGGTAGTCACCCTTCCTGTAGTCATCGTGTCAGACGATATTGCTATGTAGAGAGGACGATGACGGCCCTTCAAGGCCTGGTTCTCCGCGCATATATGGAGTTGTGCTTACATCTTGTGGTAGAAGACCTTGGACTCGCCAGACTTGGCCGAGGGGATCAGATGCTGGTCGAGGACCTCGAGGATGTCGTCGCAGATCTTGGCGAGCTCGTTCTCAATCTTCTGACGGTACTCCTTGATAAGGGGAACCTGGGACGAGTTGCCCTTGGTCTCCTCCTTCTGCTCAATGGAGGTGACGATCCTCCAGGACGCACGGCGGGCACCGATGACGTTCTTGTAGGCAACAGACAGGAGGTTGCGCTCCTCGACGCTCAGATCACGGTCCTCGGAGGCGACGATCTTCATGTTCTCGACCATCTCTGGAGCCAATTGTCAGTGCCCAAAATCGGTCTTGGCAGTGCTAAATGATGCTTAAAACAGATGATACTGAACACATACCCTCGTAACGCTCAGCCTGCTCGGCGAGCTTGGCCAGGTAGACAGCATCCTCTTGACCCATCTTGTCGGTATTATATTGAATTGGAATTGGAAATACTGTGGATAAAAGTGTGTTAGTGGACAGGATACACCTTTTTTTGCTTTGGAAGAAAATCTCTGATGCGGGAGGCGGTGGGCGAAGGGGGAAGTGAGGTGACGACTGCGAGAGGGGGTGGGCCGTGGTGATCGGGAGACAGCAAATTGGCCCCCAGAACCGGGGAGGGTAATTAGGGCGTCTCGTGCAGCAACTAAATGCCAGTGACCACCACTACCACAACCAAGCTGTTTCTCTCGACACCGCAAATCGTAACTTTGGGGACGTAGGGGGGGGGGGAGGAGGATAGAAGGCGAGGCTATTCGATTTGCACCGGCGACGCTGTCCACGAGGGGGGGGGGGGGTTGCGTGATAAGACTTCTCCCTCTCTCCCTCTTTGGTTGTTGGCCCCCCGCTCCCTAAGATGGCGTGGCGGGGTCGAGCCAAGGGGAGAGAGGCAAAGAAGGAGAGAGCTGAGCACTGTGTCTCGTCGCGATAACCTTGGCGGAATCCAATCCGACCCTTGGACCCTTGGAAAAGAATGAATCTTCCCAGGCCGTTGGAAGCCCCTCAGGTGCGTCGCATCGAGTACAGGTATCGCCGGGACTGACAGAATGCCTTGGGCCAACGTGGCCGCTGGGTGGGGAAGAGGACAATGACGACAGCGAACGGCCCAGAGCAGCTTCCTCAGAAGACACACTTGGGGAGGGGGGGGGACTGAACGCGAGATAGGGCGCATCGGTTTACGTACCGTGGGGAATTTTTAAAAAGCAAGGAGATCGTTTGGACTTGTTGCGGCCGGAGGGGAGGCGTTGCGAAGAAGAAGTGAAGAGTTATGTAGTCGGGAGGTTGTTTGGGGAGAAAGAAGGGGGGGTTGTTTAGAGGTGAGAAGGCGGGCTCGGATTTTGGCGGTGCAGGTACGGAGAGGTAATATTATTACTTGTAGGAGAGGCAGCAGGGTCAACAGGGCACCTAGGCAGGGCAGGCAAGAAGAGGGAGTGGCCTAACTGGGCCTCGCTACCGGGGGGGAGTGCTTACCGACCAGCCAGCGGACTTGTTGGGCTACTCAAAATCACTGAGACCACTGAAGGCGAGGCGGGCAAGAAAAAAGTGGTGAGTGCTGCAGCTGTGGGGGCGCCATTCTCTGTCACAGTGCCACTCTACCTGTACGGTATCGCTCGTGAGTTACTAGTTGGGCTATTGGAGCTGGCTAGCAGCCAGAAAGAGCCAGAATTGGTGGGAAACGTCGGGGCCCTCGCCCTCGGTCACCGTCCCGTAGAGGATACACACAGAGAGGGAAGGGGGGAGGAGGTATCGGTTCTCAGTGCTTCTCAGCAGAACACCTCCACGATACTACTACTACAGTGAATACATGTACAGCGACTTTGGGCCCATAGCCGCAGCACACAACAGCACTGTTCTACTGAGTAATCAACCCTCAAAAGCCTGAGCCCCTACAGAGTGTCTGACGCTGTCGCACATTGTCATTCATCACCGGGTGTGAACCAGCCAATCACAGTTCCGTTTTCTGCCCATCGCCATGGAATGAGATGGATCCTCATCGTTGCCCCCCTTGGCCCAATAACCAGCCCATGGAAGCCAGATGGAGGCTTGTACGGGTCCCTCGTCTCAGCGCCGCATATTCAGACACGCACCATGGTCTCCAGTACCTGCTGACTATCACTTACTGTATTACTTCCTGGCCTCCCTCTCAGCACATCTACGAGCAACTAACTAGTCCACGGAACTGCAATAGTGGTGCATATGACACTACGTCGTGAGTCCATAGCATCACGGATTACAGGGCTGCCGTCCTCCCGGTGTTATTAATACGGGATGGACTTGGGTTTGTTTCACAACCCAGGGCCAGGGGGGCAAACAGCCGGAGGGCAACATTCAAGGTCATGCGGCTGTTTGTGCATTTCTCTAGGACTTAGCTCGTAATAATGAATACTTAATCCACAACGACAATGGCTTGCTTTTATTATCCACGCTCCCCGTCCGCGTTGTAGGATGCGCATTGATGGGGGCTGATGCTGGGTAGTATTATGAATGACATGGAGTATCACCTCCCTCCTATTTACGCGTAGCCTCTTATCTATATACCCCTTTGTCGCCCTCTCATGCAGAGTAGGACAGCGTAGTATGGCACCACTGCACTGCGACAACTGGAATCCTGCCATCTGAATCTGTATCAACACTGTTGCAAAAATGACGGCGACTCAGACATCTGATGCTGCCCGATCTGGCCTAGAGGTTAGCAGTAGTTCGCAGATACCTACAAGTACATATACTGTATAATCTGTAGTGTATACAGAATGTGCGCCTCAGCCTCAATGTCCCGGGGACACCATCCCAGCCTATCCGAAGCTCTGCTGACGACATCAGGACGTTTCCTTCATAACCTTGAGCAGAGTACAGATACAGGGCACAGTATTGGTCGAGAAAATATACAAACAGCCGTACGGTCTATACCGGATTGTAAGAGAACAGTGGCCAGGGGCTTTCGATTTACTTGGATGATGCTACCGTACGATATACGATGTATTCGGTCGTCGCCCCGGACGTGTAGAGCAATTGAACTTCATGACAATATCTGGTAAGCCATTTCTCAGAATCGTTAGGGGTTTGACGGCGGCGGCGGCCTGGTCTGAGCTCATGACCAGTCCATGCCAACATCAATAGGGCAGGACAACGAAGACCCGGCAGGTGCGCTCATACAACGCTAGGTTTTTCAAGAACATGGCTAGGTTCGTAGAGAGAAAACTACCTGTACGGAGTGTTCCATAAACGATTACGGATACCATGGTGGTGATCGACTGCGGGGGGGAGGAGGAGGGGGGAAAAGGGCGTGGGAGAACTAGACTGTCCTGGTGCAGGGTGGCGACCCACGGGGGTGTGCACTATTACTTGTACTTGTATGCATTTGCGCCTGCTACGTGTACAGGTACAGTATATTACACCTGCTTTGTACAAAACTCGTGACCAAGAAGCCATGGCATGACGGCGAGAGTGTGGGAGAAAAGACAGCATATGTTGGATAAGAAGGAATTGCCATTATATGTGACGGAGTCTGGCTTTCCGGGGAAAAGTGCGGGTTGAAAAAAGGAGGAGGAGGAGGGGAAAGCCTGGAGAATCAGGCCACACACCCGTCCATACTCCGTAAGGCCGTGAGAGCCCCAGGCCTGTTGCCAATGCTGATAGCCGGTCTTTCCCGCGTTGGGCGGTTGGGGGAATAGCTACGTAGGTACTAAGTTTACACTAACAAATGCCATACCATCACAAAGTACCTCTCTACTACGTAAACTACTGGTACACAGCAAAAGCTCTCTCTTTCTCTATTGTCGCTCTCCATCTTTCCTTGACGGAGTATTGCTGCAAGTACGAGTTACCCGGACTTGCGCCACGACCCCATTTGTTACCCCCGACCGAACTGTCTTGCCTTAAAGTTCCCCGTCACTCCTCCTCCCACCAACACCACCTCCAAAAACAAACAACCCACCATCCATCTTTCCTCCCACCACCATCAACGACATACAAGATGCTTCGCACTACCTTTACCAAGACGGCTGCTTTCCGTCCCCTCCGCGCTACCTTTTCCACCACTGCTCGCGCCATGAGTGAGGGAGATACTGGTGCTCCTCCCAAGACCGGTGGCCCAGGGTAAGCTCTCAATTCTTCCCTCTTTTCGGTCATTCTTCTTTCATTCATCTCGGCAATCTTTCGTCAATTGGATCAATTCATGACTGACTTTCCTCCCAGTGATGCTTTCCAGCGCCGCGAGAAGGCCAACGAGGACTACACCATCCGCATGCGCGAGAGGGAGAAGCTTCTCGAGCTCAAGAAGAAGCTCACCGAGCAGCAGGAGCACCTCAACCGCCTGTCCGACCACATGTACGTTTTGTCTGTCTCTTCGACACGTTCGATAACTACTGTACTGACCTTTTATTTTTCCGATTTGCAGTGACGAGATCACCAAGGACGAGAAGAAATAAATAGTCCGAGCCCGTCCTTGTTGCAAAAATGGCTTTTGAATGTTAGCCCGGCGGAGCTGCGGCAATACAAGTTGGCACATCCATGCATGACCTCGTCTACCCTCAGCCACCTCTCCAATCCCAAGCTATTCGGGTCTCATCAGGTCAATTCCTCATTTTTGAAACAAATCCGCAAATTAGCCTAGTGTGTACGATTACATAGGAGCCCATGTGGCGCTCGCAATCGAGCTGACCTTTTCTCTCCGTGGCAGTATATGCCGCTTGCGTCATGTGCTTTATGTGTCCGCATCCTTCCTCTCGGTGAAGTAAAACAACGTTCATGTTAAGAAAGACAGGAAAGACAATAATAACTCCAATTCACGGTATTACATGGTTTCTCAACCGAAAAAAATAACAACAATTACCAAACCGACCGTCCTTCCCAAACTGGTACAGCAGCAACCACCCAGAAATCCATCATCTTGTCTACCTCCGTCCCGTGTACGAGCGATAGAAGCTCTCGGCCGCATCGTTCTCTACTCCGCCGTAGTGGTTTCCGAGATTGTTACCCGACTTTTGCGCGGCAGATATCTTGGTCTGCAGCGCCGAGGCATTGGCGTCGATCCACTGGAGCTGGGTGAGGTGGTCGTTGAGGACGCGGACTATCTGGCTGAGCTGTAGTTTTTAAGGGACAAGTATTAGTATATGCAGTAGAGTAAGAGCGTATGAAAAAGAGGGGAGGGGAAGGGAGGCTTACAGGGTCCTCGGCCTTGGAGCCCTTGCTGAGGGTGCCGGAAATGTCGTTGATCTCCTTGACCATCTTGGACAGGTCCCTCGACTTCTCGTCCAGCTGCTGGGTGAGCTTTTCGGCCAGCTTGTAGGTGCGTTCGCGCTCCTGGTCGGGGCCGGCCAGCTGCTCGCCGGGGCCGACCTGCTTGGCAAACATGTCGTGGACCTCGGACTCGTAGCGGTCTAGCCAGGCCTCGAGCTCATCCTGTTGGCCCTCGACCGATGACAGCTGGCGCTCGATCTCGTGGCTGGCCCTCTCCGCTTCAAACGTGTCGAGGTACAGCTTCTGAATCTTCTCGCCATTGTCCACCAGCTGTCGGTCCCAGCTCGACACAATGTTGGCCTGCTCCTTGAACTCTTTCTGGTACTTGGACAGGTCCGATGCCCACCGCGTTACAATGTCCTCCATGGTCTTGTTCTTGAGACGCGCGAGCTGCGATGTGGGACCCGCCGTTGAGGCACCTAGAGCATTGCCACCGGCCGCTGCACCGCTAGTAGCAGTCTTGGACGCCTCGCCCTCCTTGTTCTTGTCGGCACTATCAGTCGCGGGCTTGGCAGCTCCGAAAAGTCCGCCAGAAGTCGTCGTCGAGGCTCCTGTAGTTGGCGGGGCCGTAGTGGTTGTCGAGGGCTGGGCAGCGGCAGACGAGGCAGCGGCAGACGAGGCGGTAGCGCCGCCGAACAGGGACGACGCCGGCTTCTGCGCAGACGTATCCGCGGTGCCGGTGAGGGTACCTCCACCGAAGAGACCGCCTCCAGCAGCAGGCTTGGCCGCCGAGGTCGACGATGATTCCGTGGTGGCAGCTGGCTTGTTACCAAAAAGACCGCCACTGGGTGCTGGTGTGGTCGAAGTCGGAGCGGCTGATGTGCCCGCCGGCTTGGCTCCAAATAGACCACCTGCCGAGGAAGCGGCAGGCGCCGAAGTGGTAGGTGTGGCCGACTTGTTGCCAAACAGTGACGAGGCTGAGCCCGAGGTTGCCGCCGTGGTGTTAGACTGAGCGGCGGCAGTAGAAGATGGGGTGCTAGAACCTCCAGCCGCCCCAAACAGACTGGTCGAAGGTGCAGACGAGGTAGCAGGCTTCGCGCCGCCAAAGAGACCGCCTGCTGAACTGGGCTGGGCAGATGCGCCGCCGCCACCAAACAATCCACCGGTAGAAGCAGCGGAGGCTGCCGGCTGGGACGAGGAAGCCGAGCTGTCGGCAGGTTTGGTACCTCCGCCGAAGAGGTTGGAGGCGGAGCTGGGAGCAGCTGCATTGCCGAACAGGCCAGCACCAGGCTTGGAGTTGTCGGTGGGGGGGAGGCCAGCGGGGGTAGTCGAGCCTGCTAGGTTGAAGGAAGGTTTCGCCGGGGTGGCCGAAGGAGCTGGGGCAGGAGTGTTGATCTGAGGCTTGTTGCCAAACAGGCCGCCAGCGCTGGAACCGCCCGAGCCGCCGCCGAAGAGACTGCCTGCAGCAGGTGTAGTCGAGGTCGTCTGGGCCTGGGCGCCGCCGCCAAAGAGGTTACCGCCAGAGGTCGGAGTGGATGAGGCACCTCCTCCAAACAATGTCGACGCCGGCTTGTCACCCGAGGCTGCGGGTTTAGCTCCTCCAAACAGGCCACCTGAAGTCGGAGCTGCAGTGGCTCCTGCAGAGCCACCTCCGAAAAGTCCGCCGCTAGGAGCAGATGTCGTCGTTGCTGAAGAACCGCCACCGCCAAATAGGCCACCGCCTCCAGACGTTGTCGTCGGGGTTGTCGACGCAGCGCCTCCGCCGAACAGAGATCCGGCGGGCTTGCTAGCGGCCTGGTTTCCAAACAGACCTCCACCTGAAGCCGGCTTATCGCCGCTGCTCTGGTTCGTGTTTCCAAACGAGAAACCAGAGGAGCTGCCTGTGTTGCCAAACAGGCCACCAGTAGCGGGTGCCGTCGACGAAGTGTTGCCGGGCGCAGCGCCCGAGGAGCCGGTGTTTCCGAAACTGAAAGACATTGCGGTACTCGGGATGCCAGTTCGTCGTGTGTTGACAGTGGTTGGAGGCGCGAATCGATGGCGGAGGAGGACGACCTGCTGCTGTTATGCGTATGCGCAAGTGTCTTCTTTCTTCACCCTAGCCACCAGACGGGGAGAAGAAGGGAATCCAGGCAGCTTCTTGAAAGCCTAGTTACACGCGGGTCTCCCTCAAAAAAATACACTTCGCGGTCCTACTAAAGGGATTGGATAGGAGGAGAAGAGGTAAGAGCAAGCTCAGAAAGGCTGCCTTTTCTATTTTGTTTGTGATGAGTGCTGCTCTTTTTTGGCTGGGGCAGTACGCGCCTTCTGAGATTTCATAATTGTTGCGCGCCTAACAAGGCTGTTTTTGTCCGCCATACCAGCCACCTGCGCCACATATGCCTGCTTCTATGCGCCACACAAAAGGGGAATAAGTTGGTGTATAGTGTACACACACACCTTAGGAGCGCATACTCCTCCATGACTGCAAATCCAAGCCAAACCCCCACGTGATGATACTCATGCAAAGGGCCTGAATATTTGCCTTTGTCTGCATTCGACAGGTGGCATTTCGTTACAGTGCATTCTGCAACGACAATTCTCCTGATTACTGTATATGTCGACACACAAATCATATGCATCGGGGCGACGTCTATACCATACCAAGCTCCCGGAACCCATAATACATAGATCAGCAAGACTGACCAACGACATACATACCCAATTTACCACTTCACCATTTGCCCATAGAACTATTTTGGTCACGCGGCCTCCTGCGAATTATCTACATACGATCGTACGATTACCGGGCGAATAAAGGTACTACTACATATTATAGCATGTCTGGATCGGGGGAGCTGGACCCCCCGGCGGAAGTGCGCGCAGAGGATCCTGGAGCTCACCAGCTGGGTATGTTGCAGCAAGCTACGTAGCTATCCCTTCCAGCCTCGATGCGATTCCTGACAGTATTATGGCACAGCACAACAATCCGACTCGGAGGACCAGTTTACCGATGCCCAGTCTGCACCAGAAACCCCCACTGAGGGGTCTCCCGTGCCGACGACACGAGTCGATAGGGTCGACGACGAGCCCGCCGACGGCGAAGTCCCTGGTACCGACTCCTACCAGCTGAGGCAGGCAGACGCAAAGCCCGACCAGATCGCCGTTCCTCGCGAAGAGGGGGGTGATGGAGATGACGACGAGCCGAGCCCCACAACTCCAGCAGCCACCGACATTCCTATTACCGTCGTCCAGGAGGCTCCAGGGGAGACGCCCGGCGAGCACGAGCACGAGCTTGAGCACGAAGCGGACGCAGCACCCAACATCACGCTGAGTCTGGGAGACGGTGACGTTGCCACGGAACAGTTCAATGGTACGGGACAACTTACACCGGACTAGTACATTCCGTGCGACACATGACTAACAGAACGCAGACGCAGCATCTGTGCTATCGTCGTTAGCCGCCCCCGCTCCCACAGGCCGGCGAAGACGATCATCAAGAACGTCGAGGTCGTCGGTTATGGGCGACGATGATGATGCAGACGACTTTGGCGACGACTTTGACGATTTCGAAGAAGGAGCCGAGGACGACGACTTTGATGACTTTGAGGACGGTTTCCAGCAGCCTGCGCCAGCAGCGGCAGCGCCAGCCATCCAACAGACGATGCTGCCATACGTAAGAACACATACCCTACTCCCGGTCGTATTACAGCCCATCCGCTGATTGACTCTCCTTGGAGCAGCCTATACCCGACCTCAGCGGCCTGGACAGCGACGCCGTCATGACCACGACGGAGGCATACCTAGCTAGCCTGTTCCCTCCGGAGGAGCTAGACGTGACGCAGCTTCCTCCTTTGTCCAAGGACTCGTCGGCCTTCACGACACCTCGCTCCGCCTCGCTGTGGTCGCAGCTCGTTGCGCCCCCGCCCCTCGCCCCGCCCGACTGGATCCGCTCGCGCACCCGCCGCTTGTTCCTCGTGTCGCTCGGCGTGCCCGTCGACTTGGACGAGATCCTGCCCGCCTCGAAGCAGAAGAAGCTGATCCTCCCCTCCCTCAACATCCCCTCGTCCGCATCGCCGCGCGGATCGAGTGACTCCCGCCCCGCCTCGCACACCCAGCAGGGCCAGCAGGGCGACGCCAACGCCTCGAGCACCTCTGTCGACACGCAGGGCAAGCCCAGGGTCAGCGGGAGGAGAAGGGGTCCGGCGCCCCCGCCGGAGCTGGACATGGCGGCCGCCAGGCTCGTGTGCACCACCACAAGCGAGGCGCTCGACGGGATGACGGATCAGGAGCTCCAGGCGCATGTCAAGAGACTCGAGGGCCTGCAGGGCATATCCAACGAGGCGCTCGAGTACTGGAAGAAGAGGACCGACGAGAAGATCGCCGAAAGAGATACTTTTGAGGGCGTCATCGAGAACCTGGTCAAACATGCACGTAAAGTAAGGAAATAAGACTGGATGTTCTAGCCGTATAAAATAAAATAAACGAAGGCACTTTTTTTTTTATAAATTTTTTTTGGATCATTGCCGTCGTTCAATCCAACCAACCATGATCACCACCGACTCTTGGCTACTAAGACAGAGTAGAACTTGTAACTTTACAGCCTTCACTGACCAGTCAAATATGATACGACCCGGGACAAAGGGAAGAACTATGAGTCGTCATATGCCGTCTACCTCGTATCATGGACAGATAGATGAACATTCCCACACCGGGACGCCTTTTAAAATTTCTGTCAAGGAAAAAAAAAAAGAAATCTTTTTGACCTCATTCTCTCATATCACCTCATGTTATTGCAACCAACCTTCGCTTTGCTACGTCATGAAAACTTTTTTTTCCTTTGTGATTTTTTTCTTTCATCTTTCTTTTAGTATATTTCTATGGCACGTCTAGCCAATTTACGTAGAGCTAGGCTCCAGAGTGACACCACTAATAGCATTGTCAGTAATTCATCATCATGGTATCGAGGGACGGAGGGAAGGGAGAAGGGGAGAAAAGGGGGATGTGTTAAAAGGACTTACGCTGCAATGGTAGCCCAGCCAATAAGACGCCAGTGCTTCTCGATACGACGGCTGAGAGCAACCTTCTCACCAATGTTGGTGCAGGCGGGACTGGTGAGGACGAGCTTAGCGGCGTCCTGCTTGATGGCGGCAACCTTGGCACCGGTCGAGGTGGAACCAATGTTGACCATGATGACCTCGTTCTTAGCGAGCTTGGCGACCTTGGCCTGCTTTCCGTCGGCGGTCCTGACACCCAGCAGGCGGCGGAGGAGGTAGAAGTTGACCTCGATCTCGCTGTAGATCTCGGGGAGGCGGCCCTTGAGACCCAGGACGAAGCCGACGAGACGGTCGGCACGGCAGAGTGTGGGGTCGATGCGGGTTCCGACACCGATGAGGCCACCTGGGACAGCGTACTTGAGGTCGTTGGACTCGGAGTTGAGCGAGACGACCCTGCTGAAGATGGGGGTGCACTTGAGGGCGCCGCCATCGTCGCGGGAGACGATACCGGGGCGGATCTCAATCTCGTCGCCCAGCTTGACGACACCGTGGAGGATACTGCCACCGGCGACTCCGCCCTTGAGGTCGTCGATCTCGGCACCGGGCTTGTTGACGTCGAAGGATCGGATGACGATCATGTGAGGGTCCATGGTGAAGTCACGGGGGGGGACGGGAATGGTGTTGACGATGGCCTCGTTGACGGCGTCAATGTTGAACTTGAGCTGGGCCGAGATGGGGATGACAGGCGACTTGCCGGCCACCGTGCCACGAATGAACTTGAGAATAGAATCGTGGTGCTGCTGGGCGGCCTCCTCCCTCATCAGGTCGACCTTATTCTGCAGGATGATGATCTTATCCAGCTTCATGATCTCAATGGCAGCCAAGTGCTCGGACGTCTGGGGCTGAGGACACGATTCGTTTCCGGCAATCAGGAGAAGGGCGGCGTCCATGACGGCGGCACCCGACAGCATGGTGCTCATGAGAATATCGTGACCCGGGCAGTCGACGAATCTGCGATATATGGTCAGACGACAGTAATAAAGCGAAGGGGGTGGAGTTGATTCTTTTATATCCTCATCCCTTTCCTGTATGTATCCCCCCTGGGAAAAAAAAAAAAAGAGGAAAAAAACTTACGAGACGTGACGTAGGAGACGGTAGGTACCAGAGCAGCCGTCGCGCTCACAAGGGGGGTCGACCTCCTTGTCGCTCTTGTAACTCCGGAAGCATGTCGGGCGAGCGCACTGGGGGTTGTCGCACTGGTAGATCTTGGCGTTGGCGTACCCTAGCTTGATGGTGATGTTACGAATGAGCTCGTTCTTGAAGCGAACCGTCTGGACACCCGAGATGGCCTTGACGACGGTCGATTTTCCGTGAGCGACGTGACCAATGGTGCCAATGTTGATGGTGGCTTGGCGGGCGATGATCTCAGGGGTCAGAGGCGTCAGGGTCGAGACGTCGAGATCCTTGGGGTCGGTTTGCGGGGGCAGGGGAGGCTTCTGATATTCGGCTTCGGGGACGAAGGCCGACGACTTCTTGAGGGCGGGCTTAAGATTATCGTCACCGAGGTCGCCGGCGTCGTTCTGGTCGTTGATGGAGTCGCCAGAGTCGGACTCGGACTCAATATCATCGTATTTGGGGTCGCCGTTGGCAGACATGATGGCGGTGGGTTGGGTTGTGTTGAGAGTTAGGCGGGGCACACGAGATTTGGTGGTATATTTCTGGTTTACAAGTGGGTGATTTGCTTCGAGTAGCAACGATCCGTCGTTCGCAAGAATCGTCGTGGAATATAGAGAGGCTGACAGGGCTGGAGGAGTCAACTGTTCCTCTTCTCTCTCTCTCTCTCTCTCTCTCCGGTGTTTGGATGGTTGTGGCTTCGAAGTGGAGGTTGATGCTGTTCTGTATTTGTCGTCGGGGCAAAATTCGTCGTGGTGGGCTGTCACCCAGCAGAGCAGGCCGTATGAGTCTTACGCTAGTCCAGTTTTGGATTGATAAGTTGATAAGGATATCTGCCCCTCCCGATGTCTTTCTTTTTCCGGATAATTATCGGTAAATCGTAGGTGAGGGCTTGTACAGATTACATGTCATGCTAAATTTTTATTCTAATAAAAAATATCTACCCTATATGAGGACGTCGTTTTGAAGGTCAATAAGAAGCTGATTTTCAACGGATTTTGAGTCTTCTTACTCTAAGAATGTTGCTTGGATGGAATAATACGTCTCTTTATTCTGCCTTTTTCTATTTCAGGTAGAAGGGATGTTGCTTTTTCCCTGTCTTTTGCTTTCCCCTTTCCCTTGTGTACGAAAACATGTTGTATCATAAAAACATATCTTGTGGAATAAACTCATTTACAATCTCATCAATTTCATTACTCGCCTCTATATATCTAAAAATTATACACGATGGTCAGAAAGTAAGAGATTCAAACGATATGGTTCGAAGAAACCATCAAAAAGACAACATCTGATTAACCCCCCCCCCCCAAGGCAATCCATAAATAGCAGGTAAGATCAATCACCGGTGGTGGCTCTTGCGGGCTTACGTAGATAATATCAATACTTAGTATTACCACCTGTACAGAGTGAGGCAGGATACTGACAGATGTCTCGTACGATTTTAGTGCGAGCACACATGTGCAGAGCATACTCGTACATGCATCAGAGCCCTCTGATAATGATTCCAGAGCACCAACTATACTATACGTACTCACTCTCCGTGATCCTGGGAAGAGACGAATCCAATCCATCGTGTTGCCGCCGAAGCTGCAGGATGGCTGGAGCACCACATCGTCCATCACTCGGTCCCGGGCCACTGATTGGACAGGTGACAGATGCGGTAACATGATGCGCGCAGCTCTCCAGCCAATCAGAAAGCCGTCGCAGGGTTCAATACCCCAGCGGCAAGGTTAACACCCGGGCGTTTACCCTACAGGGGTCAATCGCCAATCAGGGACCACCATTGCGTTGTGTCGACCAGCATGATGGTGGGGCCCTTTGTTCTTTGTTTCCCTCTTTCTCTCTTTCTCATGTAAATGTTCAATGTTGTATGCCGGGACGGGATAAACCATCACAACCATGCAGCAAATCTTGCTCTAGCTCGTCCTTTCTTCTTCTTTTTTCGTCTCTCAGTATTGTGGGTAAGCTTGGCGGTTCACCCTCCCATCGGTGAACTTGACCAGGAATGCCGACGACATGGATCTGAGAGGAGGAGGAGGGGAACCAGCCAGGCGCTTCCGCACTACACACACATTTTCTCATTCACCCAACATGGTCATGCAAGCTGTAGTCCGTCTCTCTTTTCCCTCTTCTGTGGCTTACCCTCTTATCCTTTGGGACCGAACCTCCCCCCCTCTCCCAACGGTGAGGGAGTTAAGTCTATTATTATCGATATTGAGTGACATTGTGCACGCTTTCATCTTCTCCCACTTCCTACTCCCCCCCTCTACTCATACTCCTCATCCTTCTTTGCAACCCTATTGTGCACATGAAAGAAAAGAAAAGAAAAGAAAAGAAAAGAAAAGTAATGATCCTTTTTTTCAATAAGAAAAAGATATCCTTTCAGTCGGATAAGTACAGTCTACACTTCACACGCTTCTCACCATCCCTGCACTACGACGTACTTAGCCGCCCACATTTGAAAGCCTCATCGTGGGCGTCTATTTTCAAAATCGGCCTGTCACTGGGCCTTTTTTCCCCCTCCGCCTATCAGCTCTCATCCCTAACCACCCGTCCCAGCGTCAAGGCAAGTCATTGATAAAATATGTGTGCGATCTCTTCTCTTCAAGTCATGTCTTTCATCACCTTTCACTCCCCGCCCTCCTGTACACCACCCCCCCCCCCCCCCCCCCCCCCTTCCCCGGTTCCACACTCCTGTATGTCCTAGCGGGTTGCCGTTGTCGAGGCCGTCTGTCCCCTCAAAACTTCCCGTGTCCCTCCTCTAGATCCTCGAGGCGAACTTTCCTTCTCTTGCTCTGTTCCCCTGGGTAGCTGGACTCATTCTTCTCTCTTTGTTCTGTTCCTACCTCACATCTTTACTTTCATCGTCACTGCTGTCGACTGTGTCGAAGCACTCTTTGTCCTGCCCCTTCGGTCTAATACACAAACACAACTGCCTACAGCTGTCATCCTTCCGTATTACTCCTTCTCGGCACAGCCTCTTAGACTGTCATCGACAAAATGGCTCGGCAAGGTCCGTCAGCCTAGAAAGCTTCTCACAAGAGAAGAGAGACGAGAAAACCATGTCTGCTAACACACACATCACATATACAGCCGAAGACAAGAAGCGCCCTGCCGCTCTAAACCTCACGCCAACCCGCACAGGAACTGGCGACTCGACATCATCATCGGAAACTTCGCTCAAGGTCCGCACTCCTCGCTTCGCAGAGGCCACGTCTGTTCACTCGCCCGTCGACGGCAAGTCGCCATTTGCCGACCCCGAGAAGTCGGAGGTCGTCCAACCGCAGGTCGGGGACGTTGGTTTCGGATACATTGGTGCTGGTGGTCAGGAGAAGACAACTACGGTCAACATACCGATGACGCCCAAGTCACCCCTCAAGAGCGCCATGAAGGTTCCCGGCACCCCGGGGAGGCACTTCAACGCCAACAACAACCCCCTCAGCCCCACGTTCCGCGAGGAGGAAATTCTGGAGAAGCGTGAGGGCTTGACCGACAAGGAACAGGCCCGCGATGTCGTATGTCTTCTCTCCCTTTTTCTCTCTTGCCATTTAAGAGGCTGTTGTGTGCCATTCGTTTGACTGACGTGTGAAACCACTACCGTAGAGAATCAAGATGCGAGTTCGTCTGGCCAAGGTTGCCCTTCGCGGAGTCAACTTTAGCTGCTCGCTCATCGTCGTGTCCATGATGTCGGCGACCTTTGCGATTTTCAACGCCACAAGGTCCCTGCCCCAGCAGAGCACCATGCCCTCATGGGCCACAACGACCAACCCGTGGCCTCAGATCCTCGTCCTCGTTGTGGCCTGTCTGTCCCTCCTCGCCTCGATAGTCATTCTGGCAGCCTACTGCCGTGGAGGACACAAGCGAGCTGAGAAGGTGACGACTTACTACACCATGTTTGCTCTCGCATGGGTGCGTATTTCCTTCCTCTCCCTCCTCCCCCCAAAACTGGGCCGAATCTACTCCTACCCTCACCCTACCGCTCGACTAACACAACGGCAATTTCGTCATTACAGTTCACCTTCAGCATGGGTCTCTGGGCCGTTACCGCCGCTCTCTTCCAGCACTCGCGCAACAGCTCCGGCAACAAGGACATGTGGGGTTGGGCGTGCGTCGAGAACACCCGCTCGGCCGTATACTCGGACAAGGTCGATTACCAGCTCGTGTGCCGCCTGCAGAACTGGTCCATCATCTGCATCATCATCGAGATCGTGGTGGAGGTCATCAGCATCCTGCTCTACAGCGTCGTCTTTTACCGCTACTACACCAAGCGCCGTCTCGCCAAGTCCATGGACATGAGGGACCGCGCCCGCACGGACCTGTACCTCGCCCAGCTGCGCTCCCAGTCCGCTCCCAACACGCCCGGCTTCGCCGGCCCCAAATCCCCCGCCCTCAGCAGCTACGCCATGTCCCCCCGCCACCCCCCCGGCTCCGCCTACCGCAACCTCGGGGACATCGAGGAGTCCCCCTTCACCCCGGGCGGCCGCGTCGCCGTCCCGCAGTCCCAGTTCGCTCCCACTCCGCAGACCGACTTCAAGCTGCAGGCTCCCCCCTCAAAGGCCCGCTCTGCCACCCCCAAGGTGAAGCAGGCTGGCTTCGTGGCTGAGGACCAGCCCGTCCCCCACCACCAGTCTCAGCTTCAGTCTCAGCCCACCCCTCACCAAGCCGCTCCTGTGGCAGACGACGAGCCCATCTACGACGCCGTGCCTATACCCGGTGCCTATGCTGGTCAGGCCATCAAGAGTCCTCCTCCGAATCAGTCTTTTTTTGGGCAGGCCCAATGAAAACCTTTCTTCAACAAAACAAAAATCCATCTGGAGATTTTCAACCAAAAAAAGGTAATCTTCTATAAGGCATGTATAATGAGCGGGGTTGGCTCCAGACGAGCTTGATCGTGTCTTTTTTTCTTCTCTACTCTCCTTTGTTTCACTGGATTTCGGTATCTTGTGTGGCCAAATATTCTCCACCGATCTATTATTATACCACTGGGCGTTTTTTTCTTAATCATATATCAAGTTACTTCTATTTCAACAGAGTGGACGAGGAACGCAAACCATCTTTTTTCATATCGTCAGACCAATTAGTATTCGTACATCTAGTACATATCAACACTTTCTATCAACTGCTCATGGCCCGTGGTGGTGATGTATTAATCTTGTAATAGTATCCTCTTCGCGCGCTGGACAAATTGCATCTCACAAGCCACTACGCATTTCCAGATATACGAGTGAGGGTAACTGGACATCACAATTCTTGCACTTTGGAACTCAAACTCGTAAAGAAAGCCATTGCATTACTTTTGGTAGCCTAGGACACCATTGCCCTCCTTTCTCCTTCCCCTTCTTCGTGAATTCGTCGTTAACAAAAAAAGGGAAAAAGAAAGAAAAAAAAGTAAGAAAAAGAGACGTGAAAAAAAAAACAATAAACAAGGGAATGCGTTTATATCCCCTCACGGCCTTTTTCTCCTCTCCCGAGCCTTTTTCTCTGTCACAACAACGAACACCGTTTGAAATAGAAAAAACCTTTTCCATTCAGACGCCGCTCCAGGGTCTGCTTCGTTCGTCTTCTCATGTCGTTTGCTCTTGCATCTCTCCACGGCCCGGGATGTGGCCCCCTCTAAAAAAAGTAGATTTCTATCCTCAGCTGCTACAACAAAGAGAGAAAAAGGGACAAATGAGAGGTTGGGAACAAAAAAAAGCAGGTATTTGAGTTTTTTTTGGTCTTTTTGTTTTGAGCTCTTCTCGATGCCTATCATGGAATCAAAAAAGGAAAAAAATTTCCTCCTCCTCTCGCTTTTTTCCATTGTCCATTAAAGAAGTCCAGAAAAAGAAAGAGGGTAATACTAGAAGAACCGAAGGAAGTAAAGAGGAACAAGAAAAAAGGCTGCAGTCAGTCGGTATCCTTTTTTCCGTTGTCCTCTTCAGCCCTTAGATGAGGTCGGCGACATTCATGGGCATCTCCTCGATCTGGGTGCTGTAGAACTGCTCGATCTCGCGCATCATGCGCACGTCCTCGGCGGTGACAAAGTTGATGGCAACACCCTTACGTCCGAAACGTCCACCACGACCAATGCGGTGAATGTAGTTTTCACGGTTGGCGGGAAGGTCGTAGTTGATGACCAGGGAAACCTGCTGGACATCGATACCACGGGCCAGAAGGTCGGTGGCGATCAGGACACGGGAAGAGCCGGAACGGAACTCCTTCATGATCAGGTCACGCTGAGCCTGGTCCATGTCACCGTGCATGGCCGAAACGGTAAAGTCACGGGCAGTAAGCTTGTCGGTGAGCCAGTCGACCTTGCGACGGGTGTTGCAGAAGATGACGGCCTGGGTGATGGTGACGGTCTCGTACAGGTCGGAGAGGGTGTCGAGCTTCCAATCCTCCTTCTCAACGGCAATGTAAAACTGCTTGATACCCTCCAGGGTAAGCTCGTCCTTCTTGACAAGGATACGGACGGGGTCGCGCATGAACTTGGTCGTGACCTCGAGGACGTCCTGGGGCATGGTGGCGGACAGGAGAACGACCTGGGTGGACTGAGGGAGCAGCTGGAAGATGTCGTAGATCTGCTCGGTGAAACCACGCTATATAGAGGGAAAAAGTAGGTTAGTACTTTTTTCTTTGGAGAGTGTAAAGGAAGGGGGGAAGGGGAATATCTTACAGAAAGCATCTCGTCGGCCTCGTCGAGGACGAACATCTTCATGGAGTCGGTGCGCAGGAAGCGACGCTGGATCATGTCGTGGACACGGCCAGGGGTACCGACGACGACCTGGGGGCCGTCGCCGAGAGCCTTCATATCATCGCGAACGCTGGTGCCACCAATGCATGCGTGGCACTCAATGTTCATAAAGTCACCGATGGCGACGACGACCTTCTGGATCTGCTGGGCCAGCTCACGGGTGGGGGCGAGGATGAGAGCCTGGCACTGCTTAACAGCAGGGTCGATCTTCTGGAGAACGGAGATGGAGAAGGTAGCTGTCTTTCCAGTACCGGACTGGGCCTGGGCAATGACATCGTGACCCTTGATAACGGGCATGATAGCACGCTGCTGAATGGCCGAAGGACGCTCAAAACCGTAGGCGTAAACTTCGTTGTGACGTCAGTATGATATTTCGACTACAGTACAACGACAACAGAGGTCAAAATGAAGAGGAGGAAGGGCGACAGCGGGGGACTCACCGCCACGGAGGAGCTCAGCCTTCAGAGCCATGTCATCGAAGGAGTCGACGGTCTCGTCGTAGTTAGACTCGATCTGTCCTATTACGAGGCACAAAAAAAAAAGTCAGTGGCCATTCTGGAACGCATATGATGATGTATCGCCGGGGTAGAAGGAAAGAAAATGACAGGGTTGTGACCGCGCCTAGTCATGGATGATAACCGTGCCGAACGAGGGGTCAAATGTTGGCGGAAGGTGGGCCACAGGCGCAGGCGCCCAGCGCACACAACCACAAAAATTTCCCTCTCTCGCTCGACAGCAGCGTCACACGCATCCCGTCGAGATGAAGCAAATGGACAGATAAAGTAAGACGAAGAAAGGGCTCACCCTCAGGGACATCCTCGAGACCCTTGTCTGCAGAAGCCATGATTGCGGTTGAAGAAAAAAAATCCAGACCAAGCACAGCTCGACCTAGATGTTGATTATCGTGGGGTAAAAAAGCCCGAAAAAAAGGATCACAGACACCGGTGACGGAGACTGTGATGAAAGAAGGACTAATAAAAAAACTAGATCCCTAACGCTCTCGAAATCACACGAGAGCTGGATAGAATCTAGGGAATAATCTCGTTCTTGTTTGTTGTTTCGGCGATGGATCCCTTGGGGAAGAAAATTGTAAGAGAGAAAGGGAGGAAAAAAAACCAAGTCGAAGGAGGGGCGCACTGGGGGGGTAAGAGGGATGTGATTTTTTTTTTTTCGCCTGCTGGGCTTTTGGTGAGAGAGCCCCGCCTGCGTTAGTCCAGAAAAAAAAACGATGAGAGCCAATGATATCCATTTAAAGAGACTCACAAGTGGGACAAACCGCTGATTTCTACAGGGCCAAACACCCAAACGGGGCCATGAGACACCAGCCACAGATGATAAGCCACAGCTGCTGTTGGACTTACTGTTGAATTTATTTTCTTCACGACGGCACATGCGATTCTAATTTTCTTCTTAGACTGCCGCTAGCCACACTTCGACATCTATCATAGGTAGAGTCTCAATGAAATTTCTGAAATACCATATTTTATTATGTATTCTGTTCACTGGACGCAGAACTAGTGCCCACTGTAAATACCCATCCAAGCCTTTGTTTAACATCTCGCCACTCTGTATACGCATATCCACCGACGCACTACCACATTGGTGAGAATATTGTATTTTTTTTTCCTTTTTTTCTTCTTCACTTTTTATATGTATATGTATACTGGAAATTTCCAACAGTACCCGGCTTATTGACAGTTATCGAGAGAACTCCCGGCATTTTTCCTTCCTGGACAATTGAAATACCATCTGACTTACCATCTCAGTTGTAGCACTCTGGCCTGAGTCATTGGCATTACCCAAAATGCCCTCTGCCGTCACCACAACCTCCCATGTTACGGGACCCGTCACAGACAGCAAACCTGCTGTCCCGTTTCCAGCAGAGCACAATGTCCAAGAGGACGATGACTCTGCCGTCGATTCAGAGTTTATCCCAACACACCCCTTAGGCGTCAAGCCTCTGGGGAACCAGTATTTTTTCGACGGCGTCAGTGCCCGCAGATCGATTGGGTCGTGGACTTTGTTGCCGGATGAGATGCTCACGGTTGTCCTGGAGCACTTGGACAAGTCGTCACTGCTGTCCATGGGCCACACCTGCAAGTTTTTCTACGCGTTTTGCCACTCGGAAGAGTTGTGGAAGGCGCTATTTCTACGGTAAGATGTTCTCTCCGAGCCACACACACACACCTACACACATAGCCATGTACTCTAGAGTCCACATCCTACAGTCATATACCGTGGCGTCACGTATACCTACCAGTCATCTGTGCTACCTGGACTGATATGGCAGGGATGGCCTCGAAAGACTGACACCAACACCCACAGATACAATTCTTCCGACGGTGCCACTCGACGAGTCCAGTGGACAGGCTCATGGAGGAACACGACGCTAGGCATCCCGGACAACTGCAGGGCCAAGGTAGACTGTGGCAACGTCTTTTCCGACGTGCTGCATAGGCCCTTTGCCTGCAGCAACATCAATCTGAAGCAGTACACTTCGGGGATCCCCAAGGCCAATAGCATCCGTCGGTTCGACAACCTAACATATGGCGAGTTTGCCGACAACTGGACAAGAGAGCCCTTTATCCTGTCCAAGTGCATACAGAACTGGCCGGTTGCGACTGAATGGACGATGGACACTCTCTTACGGGACTACGGAGACGTCCCGTTCCGCGCCGAGGCGGTCGACTGGACCTTTTCCACTTACTGCAAGTACATGCGGAATAACATGGACGAGAGCCCCCTGTACCTGTTTGACCGGGCCTTTGCAGAAAAGATGGGCCTGACAGTCGGGCGAGACGCTTCTGAGGAGGGGAAAACAGCAGCATACTGGAGACCAGAGTGCTTCGGCCCGGACTTTTTCGAGCTGCTCGGCCAGGAGCGTCCGGCACACCGATGGCTCATTGTTGGACCGGAGCGCAGCGGCTCCAAGTTCCACAAGGACCCCAACGCCACGAGCGCCTGGAACGCTGTGATCTCGGGCGCCAAGTACTGGATCATGTTCCCGCCTACGGCCCAAGTACCGGGTGTGTACGTGTCCCGTGACGGCGGCGAGGTGACCAGCCCGCTCAGCATAGCCGAGTGGCTGCTGACCTTCCACGACGAGGCCCGCCAGCTCCCCGAGTGCTTAGAAGGCATCTGCCGCGCCGGCGAGATCCTCCACGTCCCCAGCGGGTGGTGGCATCTCGTCGTCAACACGGAGCCCGGCATAGCCCTCACTCAGAACTTTGTGCCCCAGTCCCCCAGTCTGCACCACCTGTCCGAGGCGCTGGCCTTTTTGCGAGACAAGCCCGATCAGGTCTCTGGGTTCCGGCAGGACGTGCAAGACCCCTTTGGGATCCTCGTCAGCCGACTCAGGCAGGATAACCCAGAGGCCCTGGAAAAGGCGCTGGATCTGGTGGACCGCAAGAGTGGGAAGAAGCGAAAATGGGATGCTGTTGTGGGGGCTGGGGTGGTTGATGAGGACCGGTCAGGGGGTGGAGGCGGCGGCTTTAGCTTTGGGTTCGACGGGGACGATGTTGATGAGGAGATTCCGTAATGAGCATATGAGAGCACGGATACATGAACATAGTGTTCTGGTACGACTAGTAGTATTTGGAAAGGAAAAGGGTCTGTGTTGCATGAGGCGCTGTTCCGGAATGTGCTACAAGTAGGATCAACGTCTGCCTACTAACTACTACTCGTACTAGGCATGTTGCTATATATCTGTAGAAAAACAAAAGGCATTGTTTGAAGTTCCCTATTACCGTTAGAATGGTAATACTTTCTAGTAATCCTTGCACATTGCTCTGCACAGCTACTGACCAGTAGCCGTTGAATAATATAGAGGTACGAATAGTAATAATAATAATGATAATAAGAGGTTGTGAAGCTCGATACTGTAATTTATATGCAATCTCAGTAGCAATCTATCCCTGTTACAGGCGTATGACACTAGATCGGGCGCCACGTACAGGCTGCTCATCAGTGCTGGAGAGGCCTATAACCTACCCGGAGTCTAGCGGGCCAATGGACCTACCATCTAGGCTCTAGGCTCTAGGTAAGGGGCGCGGGTCCCACCCGAGCTCTCCGCAATGGATGGATCCAGTATCATTAGCACCAACAATAGGCGAGTCCGTAGGTCCGTAGGTACCATATTCTCAGGTACTCTATACATAGCCACAGCCTACGCCCGTGGCCAAGACGCCCGTCACATCCCGTACCTGTTACTTTTCTCTCGCACTCTGCTGCTCCTCTAGTCTGCGACTGTCAGGACTCGCTCGTACTCGATCGGGATCCGTAGCATTGATTGACTTATTACCTTGTCCCGTCACTTGTCCCCGACCGCGCTATGTAAGCCGCCTCGATGGTCATCGTTTGCGACTCCCAATCCCCTTTGCTTCCCCCCCCCCAAGTCCAAGTTGCATTTTCCTCATATTCATTATCGCTGTCTTTCTCTCTCTCTCTTTTTCAATTTTGCTTTCTGTGCTTTCGTCTTGCGAGTCGTGGACCGTCTCGTGTGTGCCCTTCCCCCTTCTCGCCCCCCTCTTGTACGAATCGAGAAGAGAGGTCAGTGTGTGCTGCTGGTGCCACCTTGTGACGCCCTCCGCCCCCCTTCTTCTCTCTTCCATCTCGGGGAGGAAAGGAGACCGCCTCCTGGGCGCGCACCTCATTCACTTACACCACCCAACGCTGTTACTGACTGCTTTTTACTTCTTCTCTCTCTTCTTCTTCTTCTTCTTCTTCTTCTTCTTCTTCTCCTTCTTCTTTTCTTTCTGTATAGAAAGCTCACTGCTCTATGGAAACATACTCTAAATCTCTCTCGAACAACACCTCGCACTCTCAAATCCGACCTGTGTCAACTTTGACCACATACCACACCACCACTCGCCTCCTGGCTGCTTCTTTGCTCGATTACGCAAGTCGAACTTGGATGCCTGCACCCCGGGCAACCAAACCGGTGCATCAGCAATGGTCTCGGACGAACATTACGACCTGTGCCTCCCTGTTCTCCAGGATGCGACGCTCGAGGACGAGGACAAGACGGACCGGCTGGAGGAGGTCCTGAAGAAGCAGACGAGCCTCACCGGCACCTCGCTGGACAATGCCGTCCTCGACGCTTTATGGAGGTACCGCGACGGCGCGAGCGTTTCGGCCTCACCGCCACCAATCCGTCACTCCATCCTTCGCCGCGCCTCGCCAGCCTCATTCCGCGCCTCGCCCACACCCATTTCCGGATCCCCCCGGCTGGGCGTGAGCCCCCTCGCACCCCCCGGCTTCGTCCCCTCGAACTTTGGCAGGGCTAAGACAGCCTCTCCCTTCTCGTCCCCGAGGGCTTCGCCTCGCCCCGGCTACGTCACGCCTGCTGCCATGCCTCACAGCCCCAACCTCAGCGCCTACGAGTTCGCCAGCGACACTACACCCGCCACCGAGATACAGGGCGAGTACCAGACTGAGAATGTCGAGTGGCTCGTCAACGATGATGCCGTCAGTCTGTCATCTTCCGTGGGAACCTCAAGTGGGCTCAACGCCGCCGCTCCCGAGTTCTCCTCCGTCTCCTCGCAGCACGCCGACATGTCCCCCTACGACATGCTGCGCTCCATCCTCGGCCAGGTCCGCACAGACGAAGAGATCGAGACGGCCCTTGCTGCCCACAGCTACGACCTCAGTGCCACCATTGCTTCATTCATGGACTCCTTTCCGGACGATGTCTCCCTCACCGTCTCCACACCGCCCAACGAGCCCAGGAACGTCCTGGTGGGAAAATCCGTCTCTCCGGATGTCCGGCCTATCACCCCCGTTAGCAGTCAAAAGTCTGGCATAATATGCAAATTCTACATGTCCACCGGACAGTGCCTGCGTGCGGACTGCCGTTTCAGCCACGACTTGAGCAACCATCTTTGCAAGTATGTCTCTGTTTGACGTTAAAGCCTAGGGTCCAACCCCCCCTTCTATATGTATGCTGATTTTGGCTCTAGGTACTGGATGATGGGGAGCTGCCTCGCGGGTGACACCTGCGTCTTCTCCCACGACCCGGCCAAGCTCCTAAACAAGCTATCGCTCGACGGAGCACAGACGCCACCTTCCAGGCCTTCCAGGGGACACGGGAACCTGCCGCTGCACGACGCTAACTCGTTCCCCTCTCTGAGTGACACTGGCGATCACCTTGCCGGCTTTGCAGGCTCGACCAGTATGATGGGACAAGGCATGCTGACGCCGCCGGGCTTGCGCCCCATGCGTCACGGCACCGAGAGCCCCCGATCTCGGTCACGCCCCGGAAGCCGTCACCAGGCTAGGGACCAACAGCTGCAGCAAGCACAGGCGTCGTCCTCATCTTCTGCCTCGGCCTCCGCTCCCGCCCTCGACGACACCGAGGCTTTTCCCTCACTCGGCTCCGCCTCGGCATCCAAGCAGGCCAAGAAGCATCACGGCAAGCGCGGTGGCCACGGTTACAGCTCCAGGGAAAACGCGACGCCCAACTCCTCATTGGCCGATATAGTCAAGATGAGCCCCTCCCCCGGCTCTGTCTCGCTGACCCCCGATGCCGCCAAGAAGAGCGGCCGTAATGGTGCTGTGGCCGCCGTAAAGAATGGCGAGGATAGCGCCGCCGCACAGGCTATTCCCAGTCCCAAGAACATTCCTTGGCTAGAGACGGGAGAACGCGCAAATAAGGCCTATCTCAAGGCTCGCCAAGAGGCCATAAAGCACGGCGGCCTCAGGAACAAGTTTTTGCAGAGGTATGGTTTTTAGACGTTTTCTTATTATCTTCCTGGACAAACATTACTGGAGAGTCTGGGAAAGAAAGAGAGAAGCAGAGATGATCCCTTCTGACAAAGCACAGTGCTGCCCAAGCGTGGAACCGTAATGATGCTCGGGCAGCCAAGGCACTCAGCCTACGCGGCCAGAGCGAAAACGACCTGATGCGCAAGGCCCACCGCGAGGCAGCGCGAGAGCTGTACGAGGAGCGCAACAAGAACCGGGCCAGTAGCAGCGGCAGCGGTGACAGCAGCAGCAGTGGCGACAATGGCAGCAATAGCTCGGAGATGTACGTCGACCTCCACGGCTTGCACCCAGAGGAGGCGGTAGAGTACCTGGAGAAGGTCCTCATGGAGAATGGGAAGGAGACTCGACCCATCTACGCCATCACGGGGTCCGGACACCACAGTAAGAACGGCAAGGACAAGGTGGGCAAGGCGATCCGCAACTTTCTCAACCAGTGGAGGTACGCCTACCGCGAGTTCTCGGTACCCGGGGACCGCAACAACATGGGTGGCATCTTGGGTATTGACCCCCGTAGCTGGGACAAGTCCCTGGAGAAGGGAGATGCGGTGAATGGGGCCGACGAGGAGGAAGAGGAGGAGGCGGACCAGTCCAGCGGCGGTGTTGCCGTCAACGGCACCAAGCCCGTCGACATCCTTGACCAGGCCGTCGAGATAGGGGACGGCAAGGTTAGGCTGCTGGTCAGGGATCCGCCCAAGGGTCCTAGTGCTGGTCGACGATGACCCCAAATGTAATCCAGCCCGACTCTTTGCCAAAGAAGAAAAACAGTAAAATTAGCAAAAAATCAAGGAATTCAACTTATCATCTTAAAAAAGCGGTCCATATCCGATATGAGAATTAGGCGTAAAATTTTGTAGATCTCAAAAGTAAAAGAAAGAGGAAAAGGGAAAAAAAGATGAAGAAAGATGAAACCGGCAGCGTCTGTACGAGTACAAGTGCAGAGACACAAGTGGTGGGGCTGTGCTCCGTCGTTGTATTTCATTTTAGACGGGGCTACTACTACGCCGTGATTATGATATTATTCCACACATGCACGAGTATGTACCCAAGCCAAGTATGCCAAGCAAATGGTCATAGCACAGCAGTAATATACAGCCCCCTCGCAACCCGTGGCACCCGGACACCCGTTCGTGTCAGCAACATATTCTTTCTTTCCAAACCTTATCTATCTTCCGCCTCCCGTCTACGAGCGCTTCATCCTCCATATACTCTGAGTTCAGAACAGACATGTATCGTCTAAGGTACATCTGACGACCCCCCCGAGACTTCGAAAGCTCCCTCGCCCTTCTCTCCGGCACTCGACGCAGATCCAAGGTTCAAGCAAGCAAGCCATTCAGAGACAACAAATTGACGACGAGGTCTCTGAGCGACGGTTGCGAACTCCTTATATACGACGAGACGAGACGGGTATATACAGAAGAGGAGAATCTCGAGAAGGAGGAATAAAGAACGTCGCGAAGAAATAGGAAGAACAAGAAAAAGAACAATGCCAGCCGATTACCAGTCAACGGCCCAGGGCCTCTCCGTCTCCCCGTCACTATCACGCTCGTCATCACCACGAACATGGACGCGTGGCGAGGACAACGACGACGAAGCTGACAGGAATCCCAACAACCAGCGCCGCCTGTCGACCGCTCCGTTCCGATCCGTCGCGCTGCCGACCGGGTCACAGTCATCGTCCGAGTCCGTTGTGGAGCGTGCATACGCGTACGCCCAGTGGGCCAACAACTATAGCTGGGAGATGTGGAATCGGTCGACTCCGCTGCAGCGTGTGCTCGGCGGCCTGTCCGTCGCCATTTTATGTATCCTGCTCATCGTGGGATGGATCTTCAGCCACAGGGTGTTCGGGTGGCTGGGCGAGGTATCGGAGTCATGGCGCGCCCTCCCGGGCGGCTGGCTCATCGTCTTCCTCCTGGTCTGCATGACCTCTATGCCGCCAATGATCGGATACTCGACCGCTTGCACCATCGGCGGCTTCGTGTACGGCTTCCCGCTCGGGTGGCCCATCGTCGCGTCTGCCTGCGTTGTCGGCAGCCTGGCTTCCTTCATGGCCTGCCGTACCATCATGAGTCGTCGCGTCCACCGCTTCATAGGCTCCGACCCGCGCTTCGTCGCCCTGGGCGAGGTCCTCCGCCGCGATGGCATTCTCTACCTCACCGGCGTGAGGTTCTGTCCCCTCCCCTTTAGCATCAGCAACGGCTTCCTCGCCACGTTGCCTAGCATAACCCCCTTTTCCTTTGCCCTCTCAACTGCTATTTCAAGGTAAGTTTTTGTTCTTTTCCCTTCTTCCCCTCCCCTCCTCTCCCTTGCCGGTTTATTTACCTGCCATCATCATCACCATCGTCTGACCTGAACAGTCCCAAACTTCTCGTCCACGTCTTCATCGGTAGCCGTCTCGCCATCCTGGCCGAGAGCGGCGACGACATGTCCTTTGGCGACAGACTGATCAACTACCTCGGAATGGCTGCCGGCGGCGCCGTCGGCGTCGCTGTGGGATGGATCATCTACAAGCGCACCATGACCCGGGCCGCCGAGCTGGCCCGCGACAATCTCACTGAGGAGGGTCGCGCTGGGGGCCTGTCTCCCTCTCACACTCTCCCGGCCGACTACGCCGATCAGGAGGAAGGGCTTATCGACCCGGAGGATGCTGCCGCGCTCATGTCTGACGATGATATATCCCTATGGGAGACACCTGCTGCTGACCCAGTCGGTTATGGCGACGATTACAATGAGGATAGCAAGAAGATCAAGCGCCAGAGGCAAGACTCTTGGTAGCCTGCCAATGCTGGCCTCTTCCCATAATTCGTAATAAGAAGCAGGAGATGGGGATTCGGTTCTTTGGATTTATAGTGTCCATGTGTTATTAGATGAGACATTTACATCAGATTTATATCGCGTGTGATGGATTAGAATACGAAATCGGAGCCATCATGCTCAATGAAATGTAATAATAGAAGAAAAGAGTTGCCAATTTGATATTTGAGAATACCTGCAGACTCATCCATCATGCCCTGACTTGGGTGTACATATATGTATGAAAAGAAGGTTTCACAGACGCCATCGCTAATACCAGAGTTGCTTGCTGTAAACAAAAGAGGGAATAATGGGGCATGATAAAAAACAAAAAGCAAAGACGTATACTTTACACCGCCGGGGGACGGTATTGGTTCATGATTTGTATGGCTTGATCGACGGGGTATCCGATGAATACGGGGCCCGTGAACACCATTTGAGGAGGGGCGTGGACCCCGTTGGGAGGAGGGGGGCCACCGGTGATTCCATTGCCTGGTTTGATAAAAGCAGGAGGCTGGCCGAGGTGCTGACGAGATGAGGAAGTCAGGGGTGGAGGGGGGTGGCCGTGGGCATGTGTGGAAGGCTCCTTAGCGGGGGTGAAATTATGGGGAGGTTGAGGCGTTCTGGGGGCGTCGATATCCTCTTCATCTTGGACTTCAGGGCCATGATGCTGAGACATGGCCGTCGCCATACCTGGGAAGCCTTGGAGTTTGGTGTGATCAAAGGGACACTTGCCTGGCTTGCGGGCCGGCGGCTGCCCGTCGTCATGTGGCGACGTGGCATTGCCATGGCCAGAGCTCATGCGAACGGGGGCTGGAGGAGGAGAGAAGGGTAGTTCATCCCCGTAGCCGGGCATGTCGTAGATGGGTACGCTGATGCCCCAGGGACGGCTGGGTGACTCGCCAACCCTGACTTCCTTGAGGGGTCGGTCAAAGCGACCCTGGCGGGCTGCGTCGTCATCATCTTCGTCGGGCTCGGGAGCAGCAGTATTCTCAACCGCCTCCTCCAGATCGGACGCAGCCGAGGCTGTTACCGTTGTGGCCCATTTTTGCACACGCTCATTAGATGCCTTATCGCCCTCGACGTAGCGAGTCGGCTCAAGCTGTTCTCCAGATTCGCGGAGCATCGACTGGTGCAGTTGGCCGAGACCCTCGACCATGCTGACAATGTTGCCATACTTGGAATCCAGCTGCTTGACTTGCTCCTCATTATTATAACGACGAAGACAAACCTCGTGGCTACGCGGCAGTTCATGCTTGTGTGTCTCCACATAGTGGGCAATCTCCTCGGGGGAGTGCTTGTCCATATAGCGGATAGGGCACTTGCTTGCCGTGTTGCTTTTGGCAGCATGACTGAGTGCGGCCGACTCTTCATACATGGCAGCACATATAGGGTCGTCGATGTCATGGGGCATTGGGCCTGGCTGGTCGTCCGCTTCCTCCTCGGGCTCTTCACCGGAGCGATCGGGAGACTGGCGCCGTGAGAAGGGACATTGCAGATTTCCCTTTTTCCCCTCGATGGTAAAGTCTTGCTCCAGAGCAGTGGACATGGATGACGGCTTATCACCTGATGTACGTGAGCCGGAGTCTCGCGTCGAATCGGACATCTTGCTGGTCATCGAGGCTACCTGAGAAGCCAGACGGCGGCCGTCTCGGATGACAACAGCGACGTGGTGCTGAGACAGTGGGTTCTCCCGTCTGAGGAGAGGCACAGGGGAAGTTCGGTCGACCGATGTGTGAGGAGGCAGCTGCAGCTTGGCTAACGTGTCGGTTATGTCAGGCGAGGCAGGCGCATACTTGTCGGCCAGGTGCTGGAACTGGACAGATGCGTCGTGTGTCAGCATGAGCGTCCAAGTGGGATAATGATGTGCAGTAAATGGAAATAATGTATATATGTGGGAGAAAATTCAGAGGTATATGATATGTTTTCACTCTCAGCAGACTGAGCCGCTTGTGATCTAGAGCTAAAGGTTGTTCATCATGATAAAACCCCCCCCGGGCAGGAGGCGGAGGTGTGGTGCTGCATGAGGTAAGCAGCGATAGTCGGCCCTCGGTGCTCGGTGTTTAGGCCTCGGTCTTGGTTGGACCAAAACGAGGGTCGAAACAAGACGCCACCAAGAAGCCCAATATTGCAGCATTGCCCTTGGCTGACAGATCTGCAGCATTGCCATATCGCTGTCCCTGCAGACACCAGGAGCAGGGCATTGGGATGGTGTATTGGAACGTGCAGAAGTATGACGATGGTCTTCTTACCTGCTCATGGGCAAAACGCAGTTTGTGCTCCAGAACGACACGGCGGTCATTCAGAGCCTGTGCCTCGTCAGCCAGCGCATTGAAGGCATCGGCGAGATTATGTGAAAGTTCAAGGTACGACATTCCCACGCCAGAGGATGCCGGGTAATAGATGGGGGGGAGGATGCATTGCTGAATGAGGGAGAGAAAAAAGAGGAAGAGAGAGAGAGAAGATGGAGTGATGCTAAAGTTTTGCCCTTTTCATTTTTTTTTCTTCCCTTGGTCGCTCTGCCGTTACTGGCCAGGGCCTGGAGCCACCGCTATTACAGCGAAGGGAACTCTATTCCAGGCTCCGTAGGCTCTGTTGAAGTAACCTAGTGTTACTAACCCTTGCTGGTGAGCTAACGAGCTAACTGCCTTCAAAGTTGCAGCCATATTCTCCAGGCTTCACCCTTACTGTCAGGTTTAGCCTTTAGGTTACTCCTCAGGTGATGGTTGGATCACACGCCACTGGGAGCGCCGGAACTCGTATTTACCGCCTTGTGGCCTGATTGGTCACCTGCAGGATGATATGTTCGCCCGTTGACAGTACCTGGACGTGTCCATTTGCCGGAAACCCATGGGTCTGATATGCTAGTAGTACTGGTAACTCTTAAATCTATCGTCAATGTAATAACAGGATTAGTGATGCTCTAGAGATGAGACCTTTTTAAAGAGGTTACATAGAGATATGAATCAGTAGCAATATTGCAACAATGGAGGGCCTGTGGGCGCCTTCTGCACGGGGAACATGCGTACCTAGAACTGTGGACCGCTGGAGCTTCCCCGCATGCGCTGGAGGGGCCCTGGAGCCTCCCGCTATCAATTGCCCATCATTAGCTATCGTAAAGAGGAGGTTACGTCAGGTGTCGTGTTACACTGTAACAATGGCAACGCCGTGATACATGATACAGATTGGGAGAATGCCAGACGTCTTGTCTCAGTTCATTGAATTGGTTTCTCTCTCGTCGTTGCGTCATTTACCAAGCCACCCCATCTGTCGTCTAGGGGCTCAAGCTTCTCCCTGTCAAACTCTCTTCCCTATTCTGGGTTGCTGATCCTTCAACTAGTTACTGACATCCATCTCTTCTGGACATCGTCTTCTCGTCAGATACTCTTGCTTCCCTCGTCATCTCTACTCAGCCCTGTACGGTCCCAACCCCTCACATTCGTATAGTACAGCTTCAGGCAAGCCTATCCAGGCAATACGATCAATATGGGTGGAGGCTGCCACCACTCGACTGGTGGATATACATACCCTCGCTTTGCCGACAAGCCCGTTGGTGTTCCCAAGGCCAGCATTCTCAAAGGTCGCATCGAACCATTCTACAAAGCAGGCCAGTACGAAAAGGTCAACCTTCTAGCGTACGTACACCGACACGTTCAAGCAGACTACAACCAGAATTTCGGGAATTGCATCATGCTAATGTGATTCATAGAAACCTACACAATGCTTCGTACTCTGGCAAACCCCATGTCCAGCTCTTTGTTTGGGACGCACCCGGCCAGGAACGTCCGAGCTTCAAGGAGGCTACATCTCATGAGTTCAAAGAGACCCACGTCGGCGCCTCGTTTGGTCCGTCTTGGTCAACCCACTGGTTTAAAGTGATTCTGAAGATCCCTTCGGATATTGCCAAGGACGAATTGCTCGAACTCCACTGGGATGCCAACAACGAAGGCCTCATTTGGACCGACAAAGGAGTGCCCCTCCACGGCCTGACGGGTGGCGGCGAGCGAGTCGAATGGGTAATTCCCAAGGAGTTTCGCGATGGGAAGGAGCACACCATCTACATCGAGATGGCCTGCAACGGCATGTTTGGCAATGCACCCTCTGGCCAGGGAAGCATCGCGCCTCCTGACCCTAACAAGTATTACACCCTTAGTAAGGTCAACATTGTGTCTGTCAATTTCCAGGCCCGCATGCTGCACTTTGACATGTGGGAGCTGGGGGACGCTGCTCGTGAGCTGCCCGAGAACTCGGCCGAGCAAAACCAAGCGCTCTCTGTTGCCATGAAGGTCATCAATACCTTCCAGGTCGACAACCAAGAATCCATTCTGGAGTGCCGGAAAATTGCCCAGGAGATCCTTGGTCCGGATATCGACTCCCACCGCGTGTACGAGACTGGAAAAGACCCTGTCGTCTTCGGAATAGGCAATTGTCACATCGACACCTGCTGGTTGTGGCCCTGGGCTGAGACCAAGCGTAAGGTAGTGCGCTCGTGGTCTAACCAGTGTGACCTAATGGAGAGATACCCCGAGGCTACGTTTGCATGCTCCCAGGCCCAGCAGTTCAAGTGGCTTAAGCAGTACTACCCAGCTACTTTTGATCGCGTCAAGACCAAGGTCGAGGAAGGCCAGTTCATTCCCATTGGTGGCAGCTGGGTTGAACACGATACAAACATGCCCAGCGGAGAGTCTCTATCCCGTCAGTTTTTCTACGGCCAGCGTCTGTTTGAGAGGGAGTTTGGATTTCGCTGCCGGACCTTTTGGTTGCCGGACACATTCGGTTATTCAAGTCAGATCCCGCAGCTCTCACGACTGGCCGGTATGGACCGCTTCATGACACAGAAGCTCAGCTGGAACAACATCAACAGCTTCCCCCACACCACCTTCATGTGGGTGAGCCCCGATGGAAGCCAGGTCATATGCCATATGCCACCGTCCGAGACGTACACTGCTGAAGCAAACTTTGGCGATATAAAACGGAGTATCACGCAGCACAAGACTATGAGGACCGACAGCTCTTCGCTGCTTCTTTTCGGAAAGGGTGACGGCGGCGGTGGACCGACCTGGCAGCAGTTTGAGAAGCTGCGACGTTGTGCAGGCATCAGCAACACAGTTGGGGGAATTCCCAAAGTGAAGCTCGGACACACTGTCGACGACTTCTTTGACCGCCTTGCACCCAAGGCTGCAGAGTTTCCGACATGGCATGGCGAGCTGTACTTTGAGCTCCACCGTGGCACATACACGACGCAGGCTAACAACAAGCTCAACAACCGCAAGGCCGAGGTCATGCTTAGAGACATTGAACAGCTTGCCACTGTGGCTTCAGTAACCTCGGGCTCGTACAAGTACCCCACTGACGTTATTGACAGCATGTGGGAAGCTGTGCTACTATGCCAGTTCCACGACTGTTTGCCTGGGAGCTGCATCGAAATGTGCTACGATGACTCAGACAAGGTAAGGTTTCTCTCCCCGGGAGACAAAGGAGAAGTTTAGAGACGCTAACCAGAAGGCTATGTATAGCTTTATGCATATGTTTTCAAGAAGGGCGCTACACTCCTAAAGGAGCTGTATGCCTTCCTTGGCGTCTCTACAGCTAATTCGGAGTCCTCCGCATGTCCCGTCGTGCTCAACACACTTCCCTGGCATCGCAAGGAGCTTGTCGAGGTTTCCGACACAGATGTCCGCGTTGCCTGCGGCGACGGCAATGTGCTCCCTCTGAGGAGCTTCCGTCAGCAGGACAGCCCAGCAGTCACCGTCCAGAAGACAGCCGATGAAGAGTTTGTTCTGGAGAATGATCAGCTTCGAGTTGTCGTGAGAAAGGGTATCATCACGTCGATTTATGACCGTGCCAACGAGCGTGAGGTGATCGAGGCCGGCGGTGAAGCCAACAAGTTTGTTATCTTTGACGACATCCCTTTATACTGGCAAGCATGGGATGTCGAGGTATACCACCTCGACACCAAGCGACAGCTCAAGTACGGGTCTACCAAGATCTACGAGCAGAAGCCGCACAAGGTCACCTTGGTGACGGACATTTCCATCAGCAAAAAGAGTTCTCTAAAGTCGTACATCACGCTGTCAGCCTCTTTCAAGAGACAATCAGCACAGATTGACTGCGCCGCCGAGGTAGAATGGCACGAGGACTGCAAGTTCCTCAAGGTCGAGTTCCCCGTCGACATTGTCAACACTGAGGCATCGTACGAGACCGCATACAGCATCACGAAGCGGCCCACACACTACAACACAAGCTGGGACATGGCCAAGTTCGAGGTATGCTGCCACAAGTTTGCCGACCTGTCAGAGCATAACTACGGCGTGTCCATCCTCAATGATAGCAAGTATGGCTTCGCCACGGCCGGTAAGATGATGCGTCTGTCGCTTCTGCGGGCGCCCAAGGCCCCCAACGCCCACGCTGACATGGGCCATCACTCGATCCGCTGGGCCATCCTCCCGCACAAAGGCCCCCTCTCGTCGGAGACGGTCAGGGCGGCGTATGCCTTTAACAACCCGCTCAAGCTGTGCTCGGGATCTGAGGCTGCCCTTGCCAGCAACTCATCGTGCCCTATCCATTTAGTCAACCAAGACGAATCTAACTCTCTGATACTGGACGTCATCAAACGTGCGCACGACGATGAGGACATCAGCAGCAGTAGCGGTGAGGATCGGCGCATGCGCACCAATTCGGGCCGCAACATCATCGTGCGCGTCTACGAGTCTCTAGGCGGCCACAGTCGGGGTACCATCCAGTCCCAGTTCGATGTGAAGCGCGCAGCGAAGGTCAACATACTGGAGGATGAGCTAGAAGAGGTGCACGTGAAGGATGGCAAGATCTCCATCAAGCTCCGGCCATTTGAGGTGGCAACTTTCAAGCTGGAGGTGTAAGCATCCTATCCTATCTTAGGGAGGATGAAAAGCCCAACAGATTGTTGATTACTTTTGGTTTTGATTGCGGGAAATGTTACTAGGAATGATACGTTGTGCAATGGAAAAATGAGTATACATGCGTGGTTCTTACTATTGAAACAAAAAAAACTAGTCATTTCCTCAGAACGCCAATGCCTACCTAGTAGTGAAATCCTAAAAGAATTGAACACAAGAAACTTTGTACAGGCACAAGGCCATGCTACCGTGAGGGAGGCAGAACCCTCACAGAGGTGTAAATAAATTCGAGAGGACAAGGAGGGAAAAAACAAGGCTGCCCCCTTGTCGAACGTCTTTTACTCCCCGTCCTCGGGGAGCTGCTCGATGACGGCCTCGACCGAAGCAATAAGCTGGTTGATGTCAGGCCTCTCAGCTGGCTCGACCTTGAGACAAGCCCTGACGACGTCGCGGATAGGCTCACTGATGGTAGCAAGGGGGGCGGCGGCGGCGGCGGCGGCCTGCTGGCCTTGGTGGCGCATGCTGCCCGTGCGCCTGACGCCCTGGGGGCCCTCGTCGGGGAACCTCCAGTCACCGCCCAGGACGCACAGGCTCAGGGTGCCACCGGTCTCGTCAGACCTCATCTCGAAGGGGGACTTGCCGACGAGGCAGGCGTACAGGGTGCACCCCATGGACCAGATGTCCGTCTTTGTGTCGATCACGGCGCCTGTGCGCACGTCGAAGAGTTCCGGGGCGCGGTAGGGCATGGTCGAGTGCTCAGCTGCCGTGTCCTGGATCTGGAGGGCCATGGACTGCGAAGTGACGGGGATGGGGGAGGGGGCCACGGACCCGAGGTCCATGAGGATAGGGGTGGTGCCAGAATCGTCAATCATAATGTTGCCTTTTTTTTTGGGGGGGGGGGAGGGTGAGGGGAGGAGGTGTCAGTCCTATAATCGGAGGGGGAATTTATAAGAAGAGTGATAGAGAGAAAAAAACATACCAGGCTTGATATCACGGTGCGCGTACGATCGAACCTTGGAGCGACCCTGGTTGACGTGATTCTCCCCTTCCATGAGAGGTCTCCCTTGCTCCCCCTCATCCTCATCATCTGCCCTCCTCTCGCCCCTAGACGAGGCGCCGGAGGCACCGGCACCGGCGCGGCCACCAGCGCCAGCGCCAGCGCCGGGATCGTCATCTTCGCGGCCTGTCTCCATTCGCTCCACCGGGGGCTTATACTCGTGCATAGCCCTGAGGGCCTTACACACGCCCAAGAAAAGCACCATGAGCCTGCGCTCGGGGAACCTGTCGTGGTTTACTAGGTTTGCGTTTATCATGTCCTGGAGGTTGCCCCGTCGGTAGTAGGGCAGCAGGACGTATACCGTCTTGGTGGCCTCGTCGCCACCCCTCTCGGTCGCGACGCTGTGGTCCACGGCCGAGATGATGGTTGGGATGTGGTCGAAGAGACGGTACGCGTCCACCTCACGCATGGCCTGCTGCACCGACTCGGCGCCGAACGGGCATCGGATCTTCTTCAGCGCGAAAAGCTGGTGCGTCGTCGTGTCTTCCACTAGGTATACGTAGGAGAAGCCGCCCTATAAATGCCCCCATCTCTCTCTCCCTCTCTCTCTCTCTTGTCAGTCAAAGCCGCATTCTCTCTCTTTTCTCTCTCTCTCTCTTCTCTACTCTTCTTTCTTTCTTTCCTTCTTTTATTTTCCTTTTTCCTCTTCTTTCTCTCTCTCTCGTCTTTTTCTTGATGTTATGTGTGCTCACCTCGCCTAGAAGTCGCAGAATCTTGAAACTGCGCGAATTGATCTTGAGGGTTGGCGATCCCGGGAAACAATTCAGGCAGTTTCCTATCGAGTAGAATAGGTCGAGGATGAGCTGCGCCATGATGAGGTTGGGAGAAGGGGGGGGGGGTATGTTTTGTTTGTGTGTATGTATGTGTGTGTGTGGTGTGCGCGTTTCCTTCGTCGCAGTTGGCGGTTGGAAGCCAAGGGATCTATCCGTCGTATACGGCGTTCGTTCTGCGTGCCTGTATGTTCGTTGGTAGGGAGGAGATCAGCTGATGTGCCTTTGCGGTTGCGACCGTCGTTGTTGTCGTGTCGGGTTCAAAGGATGAGAGGCGTAGGCGTTGTCAGCACAGCAACGACGTTTCAATAACTCCTGACAGTCCAATGGAGCTCTCCTCCAACTAGGAGTACGGGAGGTACTACAGGTACGTCACTACAGCCACAGGTACTGTATTACTACTAGTACGGCAGCGCATGTACTTCTGTTAGCCGCACTGCCAGCTTTACTTCAGTGACGTGGGTTTGCGTGCTTGGTCCGGAATACCCCGGCCGTTAACACCGAGAGGAATGCGCCACATCTTACGCAGTACTAGTTACCGTATTGCTAGTTGGTCAAGCCATATATCAGCCACATAGCGCTTCTGCTCAGTATTATTCAATGCTCATAGAGAAATGGACTCGACTCCGGAGTATTATAGTAATACTGCAGTCTTGTAGGTACATGCCGAAAAAACAAGCACAAAATATTATCGGTCAAGTAAGTGTATTAATACCTTTCTCGTCTATTTCTACCATTCCTTCCCATACTTCACCCAAGCTTGTGCGAGTACAGCAAGCGTGATGACCCCCAGTTACTTCCAACTGAATACTACGGAGTATTACTAGTAATAACAATAAAATCATCCGTTTCAACCTCGTGCCTAAAAGACCACTTATAGGGGTAGTATGTATGATATGCCAAACCCCCCCCCCCCCCGTCCCCCGCCCAAAACCGGGGGGAAAAAAGAAGAAGAGAAATAAAAGGACAAGAAAATAGAGATGAAAACAAAACAGAAAAGAAACAAGATTGACATGTGAACCCGTAGCGCAACTCACTGCTTCCAAAACGCCCCTTTTCGTTCGTCTTTTTTTTGTCGTGTCCACCGGGGTTCTCCCCCAGACACGCCGTGTATCGTGTGTATGTTGTATCCACTGGAAATGGTATTGTATAATAGAGTTCTGGACACAAGGGCAAAAGAAGAAAGAGGTAGAAAAACCAAAAGAAAGGTAGCAGCTTCTTATCCGCGTCACATTGATCAGAGGTGACAACCTATGATAGCAAGTTTCTCAGCGACGGGTTCGCACTTGCCCCGCTAGCTGGCCGGCTGTCGTTGCTGTGGCGCGACACGCTCAGTACTGGAGACACCGAAGAGGTCTCGTGCGGCGGCGGGAGTCCGGCCCTGGTTCCCAGAGGGCTACCGTGAGCGCCCGAGAATGATGGCCTTTGCGGCGGGAGGCCAGGACGGCCATACGGATCATGCCTCTGGTGCGGGGCACCGTTGCTCAGCCCGTGATGAGAAGCTAGCGGAGGAGCTGAGTGGTACGGCGTCGGATAGCCCGTCGATGGCGGAGGCGGTGCCGCCGGCCCGAGCCCGAGGCGAGGCGATGACGACGGGGGCATGCCGTTCAACAAACTCACCGGGTGGTGCGGATGGCTCTGCGGATGGCTCAGCGGTGGCGGCGGTGGCGGCGCTCCTGAGAGGTTCGGAGGCCGTAGCGGCGACAGAGTGCTCAGAGACGACGAGCTGTTGGGGAGGGTTGGCAGTCCGCCGTTCAAAAACCGGGGCGGCGAGCCCTGCTGGCTTCCCGGGCGTGACGACCAGTCACCGTATGCCGGCATGTGCGACCCATGTATCGATGACGGCGGTCTCGGCGGGGGTGAGAAGCTGTGAGTACCTGTCGGGGGTCGCGGGCCCCCATTTGCCGGTGTATGTGGTGCCTGTGATGTCTGCACCACAGAGTGGATGAGCGGCGGTTGAGGTTGAGGCCAGGCGTGATGCGGCTGGCGAACGTCTCGCTGGGGTTCAAGGGCCACGGGGCGTTCGGGACTCCTCATGGTTGGGGTCGGCGTAGCCACCGTGCCTGAGTGGGGCAGTCGTGAGCGAGAAGAAAGGTCATGAGGAGGCCATGAGGGTCGGTGGACATGCTGGTGGGGCTTCGGCGAGAGCTTCTTGGGGAGCCATGAAGTATGGCACTTGTGACACTGGTACTTCCTCGGCGATGCAGGTTTCTTGCTCTCCTCCCTGGCCGCCGCCGCCAGTATCCCCTGAAAGAGACTGGGCGTAGAGGCATTCACGGCATTGTCTATGCACCACCACTGCGGGCTGACGTCGACACCGCAGCGAACGCACACCTTGTTTCCGGAGCGGGCAGCGGCGCCCGGGGAGGAGTGCTCCCCGACATCGCCATTCTTGGCCTGCGTCGTACCACCTCCGTTGGCCACGGCGGTGGTCGCCGTGGTCGAGAATCTGCGGAGGGTCGTGCCAGACGTCTTAGCCGCCAGAGACATAAGGTTAGCCTTGCGCATCGTTCCCGTTAGTGTGAGGTCCGCCTGCTTGTAGTTCTGGACGTAGAGTTGGAGTGCGCTGAGGCCGCCATTGTCCCCCATACGGTCGTGCATGTGGTGCAGAACCGTCTTGGCCGGCACGTGGTCCTTGCACCAGAGACGGGGAGCCATCAAGCCGCTCTCGTTCTTGAAAGTGACAGTGTGGACCTGATCCCTGCGCGAGCTCTTGACCGGGATGATTTCGAACGCAAGAATATGCTCATTCCTGCGAGCGCATTCAACATGGACTATTGTCGGTTGATCTCATGTCAGCATGCACACCTCCTGAGTCATATACGCATGGGCTCTTACACGAAGCATCGCAGCCGAGGCAAGTAATGCACGGTCCTCCAAGGCGGTTGCATCCACGGCAAATTTGGTCGTAATGGGGCCTGGGGATGGACGGGATACCCTCCGATGGCTCCAGTGCCTTGGCATTTCCGAATTGGACCTCGGCCGTGAAGACGGCGCAGGTAACGTGGACCCAGTTGCTGTCAGCCGTGCGCTTCAGTGGCTCGCGCGGAGTGAGGGGCCGGTTCAGCTCCTCCTGCCTCTTGCGGTAGAGCTCCAACGCCTTGCGAGCCTGGTGAACTTCTAGCCGCTCCCGCTCGCGATCCTTGTCCGACATCTTCTTCTTGTGGTGCGTGAGCTTCGGCTGCTCTATCAGCTCTTGGTCTGTGTGCTCCACGGTGCAGAGGACGCATTTATAATTCTGTTGATTTGATCAGCAAACTGCGAGAGGGCTTCCTGAAGCAGTAGAAATGGCTTACCGTAGAGACCTGGGGGTTCTTGTCATTAGCACACATATCGCACGTCCATTTCTTACCCGAACTGCGGCTGTCGATGATGCCGTAGCAGGAGCGGTGGACCGTGAGGCGGCATTCCCGACAAGAGACATGATCTGTCATGGGGTCCATCTGCAAGCAGACGGCGCAGGGCAGCGTTCGAGGCTTGGGCTGCGCGGGAATAGCCGAAACTTCTGACACCTTCTCCTTCTCCTTCTTCTTGGGTGCGGGTGCCGCGGGAGGAGAGCCGCTGCCCACGTCTAGCTCCACCTCCTTCTCGACCTTGTCAGTCTTCTCGGCCTTCTCGGTCTTCTCAGCCTTCTCAACCTTCTCAGTCTTCTCAGCCTTCTCAGTCTTCTCAGCCTTCTCAGCCTTCTCAGATTTCTCAGCCTTGTCGGTCTTCTCTGCACCCTTGAGCTTCTTTCGAGGTGGCTCATGTGCGCTGCTGGCCGCTGGAGCGGGCGTGGGGCTCTCTGGTTCGTCCGGTGTCAGCAGACCCCTCTCGTTGGCGGCCTGGAGCTCCTTGAGTAGTTCTTCATCCTGCTTCCTCTTGTAGGACTTGCTGCCGGCCTGGGCAACCTTCTTGGCGATCTCGTCAATGTCTTCCCAACGGATGGCATATCGCCGCCAGAGCTCAGCGCATCGCGTGCACAGAGCCACAACGTATTGGTTTCCCTTGTCCTTGGTGGAGGCCTTGACACCGTTCTCGTTGACAAGTCCGGGCATGGCGTTGGGCGCCCGGCGCCATCTCCGTGACGTGGTACCCGAACAAAACTGGCACATGAAGGCTCTCTTCTTGTCGACGGCCTTGCCCGAGTCAAAGGCCGAGTCGTCGTCGTCGTCTGCAACGTCGTCGGTGACCTTTGAGGCTGCTTCCTCTGCACGCTTGGCCTGCTTCTTGCCCTTGCTGCTCGCGTGACTGCTCCGCACGGACGTGCCTCGCTCCGTCTTCTTCCAGGTGTAGTAGAATCGGGTAATCTGGCCGGGCTTCATGGTCTTGACGTGCCTTGTAACGAGGGTGAGTTCAGAGCCATACTTGACAACGGCCTCTTCGAACTTCTTCAGCTCTGCCGGGGTCGGCGCTGGCTCCTTGAACTGTGCCCTTTCGGTTGCTAAGAGGGCTTCCTTGGCCTTTTTCGTGTCGTAGCCCTTGAGGAAGGCGGACCGCAGCGCCACATCCTGGATGTTGGTCGATCGTTCCGGCAGCCCCAAGCCCTTGGCTAGATCCCTAGACTTGGTTACAAACTCGGTCACGTCACGAGCGGTATCCTCGGAGGTGGGGGGCTTCCACAGGAGAGTCGATGTAGCATTAGGATCGTTCGCGTCGATGGTGTCCTCGCCGCGGGCCACGTAGCCTGGAGGCATATCCTGCACCCATTTAGGCCTCTTCCCATCGGGGTAAAGCTCCAACGCCGCGGCCTCCTCGGCAGCTCTGGCGTCCCTGTCCCTCTTGCCCTTTTTCTTCTCAGGTGGCTTCACGTATTGGACAGGTTGTCCAGGCCAGGGAAGAACAGCAGCCTGATGACGCGGGCCGATGCGCGTGCTCGCACGAGGGTAGATGCGGTCGTCGTAATCGAGGGCATCCTCCGGCTTACAGTGCATGCCCAAATATCGCCACGGCCACAAGCTGGCGTTGTAGACCTGCTCGGCGGTGCCCTGGTGGGGGGCATCTTTGTCGTCTTCCGGGGTGGAGCGGCTAGTATCGGCAACATTCGCGTCCTCCTCTTCCTCCTCCAGGAAGTCTTCCTCCTCGGCGTCGACGCCGCCATTCTGACCAGGTGTATGACGGGCCTCGAGCTTACGCTCCTGGGCGCGGCTGCAGGCGGCACACGACCATGCAAATCCTCGGGACGGTTTCTTGAGCAGAGGAGGCCGGACACAGTTCATGTGATATGTGTGTTGACAAACGGCACAGTCAACCGAGTCATTGCTGTCGCCGTCTCATCGTCAGTATAGTGCTCTCTGCCTTCGAGGGGGGGGGGAGGATGTGGCTCGCCACGGGCCAACTGCGGTAATACTGCTGACATTGTGGCAGCAGTCAAAGGCAGGCCGGAGTGCGAATCAAACAAACGTACCCCGACCGGGGGTTTTCCGGTGGGAACCACACCAAAATTGGTAAGGGTGGGGTACAAAAGGAAGGGCAAAAAATTATGGACAAAAAAAGGACAACGTACCTGGCACAGTAGCCGCTGCACCTCTTGCAAAGCTTAACGGCGCTAGTGAGCTCTTTGCCACGCCCCTGCTCGACTAGTACGAACTTCCAGCGCTCGTCCAGCACCTTCTTAACTTTTTCGGGAACATTGACGATGCTCGACGTCGGGATAAGGTCATAATTTTTTTGAATGTAACGATCGTACAACTTTTCGAACCAGAAGCTGTCGGGTGTGCGACGGTACTCTTCCATATTGCCAACCTCGACGCGGTGGCGGACCTGACACTTGCCTCGCAGGGCTGTCAGGGGACTGACGTCGGAGTGCATGGTAGCGAACACGACTCGCGTATCGTGCACCTTGCGCCCAATATCCCTGGGCCGGTAAAACCAATTAATGCGTATTGCATCAACAGGATTAGACGCGTCGTTTTTCTGATGCAGAAATTCCATGATGCGCCCAAGGTAATAGGGTTCACCAGGTGGTTCGCACACGAGGTACACATGATCTGCAGCGACCGTGTCAGCAAGAACTCACACACGCACACAAGTGCATTATCAAGGCTCCTCTTCCCCTCCCGCAAATAGTGCTGCATTTTTGCATATACGTGAGTGCGATGAGTTTGTGTGCCCAGTCAATCTCACAGCCAATATGGCTTGCGTGCTGCCAAGCCTTCTCATACTAAGCATTTTTTGAGGGAGGAGGGGGGGGAGTCGGTGTCACTGAAATTACCCTCGTGTGGGCCGTGGATCTCGGGAAAAGGGTGTGCAGGCCACACTGCCAACATGTACGTACCATTCGCCTCCAGCACAGTCCCATCATCGGCAACCAGGCGCCCATTCTGCGGTCGCGCACCGCAGTTAGTGAATGTGAGAATGTTTGAGCCTGTCCACGCCGAAGATGAAGACGTCGTATTTGACGACCCCGGCGCGGCTCGTTTAGTCGACAACGAGGCGGCATTGCCGTTGGCGTGCTGCGCCGCCGCTGCTGCCTTGCGCTTCCTTGACGGCTGTTGCTGCGTCACGGCACCGTTTGTCGTGTGAGATGGAGTCGCAGCGACAGAAGGCGTGTGCTCTTTGGAGCCGTTCTGCGATGCTGCCTGCTTAGTGGCATCGCCGGCAGCCTTGCGAGAGCTGGAACCAGAGCTGGTTTGAGGACCGCTGTCGGCTTGGGTGGCGGCGGCTGCTACCGACTGTCGCGAACCTTTCTTTTTGTCGCCGTGAGACTTGTCGTGATCGAAATCATACACGTCGACATCGTAGTCTTTATCCTCGGCGTAGTTTGGGCGAAAGCTGCCCGTGCGATTACGCGAGCGGGTCCCATAGGGGGCCGAAGCAGTTTCCGAGTTGACCTCCTTGTCCGCAGCATGCGCCGTAACCGACGATGCCGCAGTGGCTGTTGCTGCTGTTGAGGGATCACCAGCCGACTCCATGTCTGGTTGGGTGGCCCGTGACGAGTCCTGCCGGCTATGTCAGAAACCGAGAGTAGTGCCGTGTATCTGGCAAAACAAGATGCGACTCAAGGTGTGGTGGGGGTGGGAAAAAAAACAGAAAAAAAACCGTATAGATGGATAAAATAAAAAAGGTGAGAATGGAGGATAGGGCAAAGACTCACACCAGGTTGCACCATGTGAAAGGGGAAGAGAAACAGGAAAAGGTAATTCGGGGGGGAGAAGAGGAGAAAAGGTTTAGGTGTGTGAGTGTGAGATGAAGCAAATCATGTAGAGATGCATGCCCGGGCGAGGTCAGTGTCAGTCGAGATCGGCGCGTATACAAGGGAGAGAGAATATAGGGAAGAAATTAGCAAGAAAGTCAGTGAGCCGGCACGGGCTCAAGAGAGCAAGTGACGACGAGTGTGAAAAAAAAATGAAAAAAGGGACTGGCCAGGTGAGAGGAAAGCTGGCCGAGCGCATGGGGAAGCATATGAGGATGGGATGAGTGAAGGAGGGAGAAGAAGAAGAAGAGAGTGGAAGGATGGATGAATTGGATGGGCCTGGGGCTCTCTGGCTGGGGAGCCGTGGCCCATGGACGTGGGACCCAGGGTCCCCCAGGTGCCGGACCAGTACGCCGTAAATGCGTGGGTAGGAAACGGCCTTGGTCTCTACGGAGTAGAGTACTCGTACCTACTTCTCTGGCCTCGCTCGCTCCTAGTTCACTATACGCTGTTTATCACTTTCAGTGCTGCACACAGGGCCGTAACTCACTCATACGCCCCCCCGAAGACAAGTGTTTTTCGGGGGGAAAGCTGCAGCGCCAGTCAATAGCAATGAAGCAGCCACCGGCCTCGAGCCAGAGATGGAAGCGCCCCATACTGCTACCAGTGCATGGGGGCGGAGCTAACCGCCAGGTCTCTACGATGTTGCTTCCTAACATTTCCCACACTTATTTAACCGCCCTTTTCATACACGCTGAGATAGAATATACTTTATATCTACCTTGGAAACTATTGTCCACCTGCTACCTGACAAACACCCTTGTACGTCTGCACAGCGTCAATCTGGCTACTCCGTACACGGCTTTTACCAAGGATTGACCAGTAATCACCAACGACGACGTACGTACGGTAAAGAAATCCTGTCTTTTAGAGATGTCGCACAGCCCTGGTCCCTTGAATATCCCCCCTGTGTAATTCATTCATCACTTTGTTATATTCGACACTGGGAGCCTCATTTACCCTTACCTTCTGCTCTCATTTTTCTCCCCTCCCTCCAACTCTTGTATGCCCATCCACGCGATGACCCAGCTACGCGACTGGGGTTCGTGACAAGATGATTATTGGTATGAGTGCCGACGTAGAAAGTCTCACCCCCTTCCCACCACCCGTGCTGAACAAAGTCAGCACAACCCGGTTCTCGTCGATTAAGGTATCTCATTCGGAGATCTCTCGTTCTCTCTCATTCCCTCTACCTGTCGAGGCAACACCTCATTGAGTAACAATATTACGTGGGGAGTCTGTATTGTGATATATAACCGCTACTGCCCAAGTAATGAGAGCACACGCAACAGATTTGAATGACCCGTACATGTAGAGTTATCAGTTACGAGTACCGTACTGAATAAAAACCGTGACAGCACACGCGCATGGGGTGGGGACAACTTGCGCTCAACCTAGTCAGTCGAGATCCACTAGGCAATTGGAGGAGGCAGGCAAAGTACACACCACACAGAATGAAAGTGACACCACCACCACATCGGGATGCGCAGTTTTTTCAAATCGAGGTAGAAGGGAAACAATACGTGGTATCCTAACTGTATCCTCGTCGTCCCGCCTCTCTTATTCTGCTATTCCATCATTGTCGTTTTGTGTCTGGTGGGGGGTGCAAATGGTGTGGGCGACCAACCAGCCGTCATCCGCCTCTTCCGCCACCTTCTTCACCTCTCCGTCACACCATGGGGCGGGAACTCTCCACCCTCCCTGAGCGACCCTCTGGAGGGAGCCAGATCCCTCCAAGTAGCCAGGCCCTCTAGTCCTTTTTTCAAGCGGGGAAAAGGTATCTATATATTAAACTATTGTCCAGAAATGTGTATGCCAAAGAGGGCCGACGCATATAACCTTTCCATTCCTCGTCTATTCACTGCAGCGTAACGAGTAATACTGATATCTCAGACGACGACGCATGATTGATCCAGGCAACAGACGTGCCACTATCGACGCAAAGAAAACCAGTGAGAGCAATACCCCCCGATGCTATTGCTCCTCCTATAATTCATGTGTCGCAGTCGGGGAGCCCGCCTTCTGATTCCTCCAATTTGTCGGAACAATGAGCTGAATGAACTGTCGGAATAAGTTATTCCGATCCGATCAGAGATGTCCTTGATATAGACGGAACGCCTGTACAATCTCTATTTGCCTTAAATAACAACAACGATACACACATTAACAAAAAGGCCAGAATTCCGAGCCTTTTTTTTCTGTCAATACAGCAGTGAATCTTTACCCGGATAACTCCTTTCACTCTAGAACATTAGACGAGCATTTTACCGATATTATCATACTTTTTCGTCGTTTTAGGAGGCGGGAAAGCAGAGCTATCCATATATTGTGTTCTAATAAGGACGGTGTCGAGTCTAATAGTATTGTCATAGTGATTCAGTTCATAGCTTAGGTAAGCGGGATTCGACTCTAAACCCGTCTAGTCCAGCACCACGACAAGAATGCAGAACAAGGGCATTAACACCACTAAACACCTAACCTACTATTTGAATGCAAGTCAGAAGTGTCTGTGGTGTTTGTTCTCACAAATATATTGTGTTATCTAACTACATCCTGATACTTTCTTTCCGTTCTCAATCCCCGCCGTTCCTCTGACACAGTCTTGCTCATGTGTCGATCCTGATGTCTATACCGTCAGACTCGACACTGTCCCTATCAAAACACAGCACGGGGCAGCTCTGCTTTGCCGCCTACCAAAACAGCGAAAAAGTATGACATATATAGCGTTAAGTCCTTATCTTTTTTTTTATTGTGGAGCCGAACTCGACAGTTTCATTGTAAAGTCCGGCTTAAGCTATGTATGTTTTCCTATGACCGGAGTGCAAACAGGGCCTATCTTTCCTTCGGTCACACGCGTTAGGCGATTTGCCCAAAGCCTCTCTAAAAACATGGTCGCGGTTGTGGCTCTTGTATTATGCAAAATCGGGGTGCAACCGATGAGTGTTCGACACTTTATGTTTATAATGAAAATGACGACGGGTACATACCATGTTCCTGCGTGCACTCGATCAAGGACATCTGTATAGCCGCCATCTGCGCCAGTACCTTATCTCTAACCGCTCATGCTGTCGGCAGGTTATCATCCCAGAAGATTTTAACTCCGTCAACTCATGTCAGTAACAAAAACGGGTGTCGGACGGCGTTCTCGAATGTGAGGCTAGACCCGCAGCACTGGGGTGCTCATGGAAAGTTTCTATCATGTAGAGTCTGGAGGGTGTGCAGCTCTGTGGATAGAATGTCGACCTTGGCATCGCCACAGCTGTGATCCATGTAGACTGTCGCACGCACAGCCAGCGCTGTAGTTTCCGAGTCCCCGTAGACAGAACTGGCTCGTTGGCTGAGTCTAAAGATGTGACACTGATCCCCGTGAAATTTGTCGTCGAGAAATATCCTTTCTGAGTTGATGCCCAATGCCGCGATGGCAGCGATAATATTTTCCGACGTGAAAATTTGGAGATGTGGTAAATCCGTTTGACGAATGCGAATATCAAGTGTACATCGGCCACGTAGAGCAGATTAAGAGGACAAAGGCGAGGGCGAGGGCGAATGCAAGGGTGAGAGTGAGGGGGGGTGAGGGTGAGGTTAAAAGACATAGTAGAAAGAGTGCGCGTGAGCGCGTGAGAGCGTGAGAGAGAATAGATACATTAGAGAGCGGATGACTAATCTGAACTGGGAGGGAGAGAGGGAAAGAAGGAAAGGGTAAAAAATGCTTGCCTTAGACATGAAGTGGCAAAATTTAGATCACAGAGAGAGGAAAGGAAGAAATCTAGAAAATATGGCATCACCTTAGTGTTTTCGTTTGATAATTTTCTCTATTCTTTTGAACTTTCTGTGTCATTTGGCCCAACGAGTTCTCTGCATTCTAGGTGTATGGGAGTAGAAAACTATATTGACAAGAGTAGCGCTTACCACATCCCAGGAAGGTCATGAAAGAGAATGGCGAAGCATCACGAGAGACAACGTGAGAAAATGAAACTGTCTGCGAACGTGATAATCACCAGGGGCGAAACCCTATAGGATCCAACCCATTTAGCTAATATCAAATGGTGCTTCATCCAAAAGGTGCCGTATACCATAATAAACAATTTAAGTGCTCGGTAGGAGATCGGGATGTTGCCTTGCTTTATTTAGACTACTTCTCCTCAATGACGTAGGAGTCGTCGATATTTACTGCTATCAATTTTGGTCACCTTATTTCCTGGCCCAGACCTAGGTGGTGTATACATGCGTCCCATGAGCGTGATCCTCCGTGGAAGCATTGCAGGTGCAGCAACAGTAGGGGAGATAGCCACTCATATCTCCCGGGCTGAGATTAATGTTGGCAGTTCCTTCAGTAAACTCGCAGGACCCGGAAAAGTCATCTCCAGGGTACCGGATCAACCCAAAGAGTTGGGACAGCCTCAGTTGGTCGAGGATATCCTCAAGCTTTACGAAAAATGCTAGCTCTTTGTCAGTAAAGGGCTTGTCCTGATTCTCAGCGTAGTGGAACTCGGTCGGCTTCAGGAGCCCAACGTTGTCGAAGGCCCACATGTGAGGCTGGGGGGATCTCGTCCCGGAGGAAATCGCTTGAGATCCAACCCAGGGAATAGAAGTGCGGTTGTAATCAACTAGCTTCTAGTTAGGTTTGAGGTCGAAGTGACGATACATCATGACCAACCCAACGGATCGGTCCATGGGCGACAAAGAAAGGCTTGATAATAGCGGTAATAAGGGCCTCAGCATCCGAGCCGAGAAAACTATCTCGAGCATCCCTTATCATTGGAAGGTTCTGGAAGTGGTCATGGGAGTAAAGCGCGACGATACAACTAGTGACAGCGGTGGCAGTCACGATGAAAATTCTTAAGAGTTTTCACTGTATCTGGAAGATTGAATGAATGGTTGAAGATGAAATGGATGCTAGAGAGTCCCAGTGAAAGAAAATGCGTCAGGTAGGCACCTTAAAGCTTTTGGATATTTAACAAAGCAAAAGTGAAATAGAACACCCTTGGCCAGGCGCCTCGATGTCCTCATGTGGCATAAGCCAAAAACAGGGATAAGACAGGTTGTGATTGTCTTCGTGCCTGTTGTCTCATAAAATACGTGCTTTATCACAATTGGCCTCTAAGCGTAGCGCCGTGAGGCGCCTGTTGTACGACATTGGCGTATATGGAAACATGACTTTTGACTCTGGCATAGTCAGACAGACGTGTTATTACTATACGTGTAGTAACACCACTTGTCATACTTTTCCGTCGTATTTATTAGCAGAAAAGTAGAGCTGTTCCTAGATTATGTTCTAATAAGAATAGTGTCAAGTCTAATAGTATAGACGTCAGGATCGATGTATAAGACTACCTAATACTATATGTGTCATAGTAAATCAGTTCATAGCTTAGGTAAGCAAGACTCGACGTCTAAAACGTCGAGTCCCGTACTATGACATTAATCCTAACGTCTATAACGTTAGACTCGATACTATCCTTATTAGAATATAATACAGGGACAACTCTGCTTTCCCACCCACTAAAACGGTGGAAAAGTATGACACTAATTATATCGTCTACCTTACTTCTATATTGATTGCTTCTTCCCTCAACGGCGTGACAGAGAGATGCTCTCGGGGACCGAAAATAAGTACCCCAGGCACTAATTTTCAGGCCCCAGGACTGCGACACACACTTACTCCATATTGTGCGACTCGTTTTATTTTTAGAGGTATTACGGTCAACAATAGCAAAACTAGCTCTCTCCTGCTCTCTCTCTCTCTCTCTCTCTCTCTCTCTCTCTCTCTCTCTCTTTCTTTCTGCTTGCCTGGCTTGTCGACCTGGTTGTCTGTACCACGTAGCATGTAATGCGAAGTATGGGGATACAATTAACTCGCGAGTCGCACTTGCTCTCATAAAAGGAAACTGTCGTGGCGACCCACATTCGGCGTCATCTACATCTTTCCCCGGGTCCGCGCATTTAATCCCTGCAAAACAAAACAAAAAAGAAAAGGAGAAGAAAAATGACGAGTATTACAACTGTTGATACTCCGTAATCGGTATTATGCACATGACAGCAAATACGGAGTATTAACAAGAATAGCAACATAGAAAACATCTGTAAATGCAGCATGGATAATGATGAGCATGGCGGGGAGAGAGAGAAAACCACGTTAATGATTTACGCCTGATACTCTGGCCATGCAAAAATCTACGCAGATGTGCAAAATCGTCACCTTACCACTCGTTGGTGTCCAGTCATGTGCGCCACCGCCTACTACTCGTGCGTACTCGTTCATACTGTATATATAATCATATACACGACAACATCACACTGAGGAGCTTTGCACGCGACAAAGGGGAAGAAGGGGGGCGGGAGCGAGCTACTGCCACTCGATCTGACGTGGCGCCAGTGTAGCAGCTGCTCGGTACGACCGTACAACGTATATGTACATGCATTATTAGTACGGATGCTCAGACTCAAGTATTATTACTCGTAGGATCGATACATCTGTTGCACCACGGACTATAGGCCAAAACCGGGACACATGTGTCATCGGGATCCCCTTGATTCTCGGAATGCTCTTTTCTTTTCTTCTTCTGTTCTTGGGCAATTTCTTCATCTCTGATCTTTTTTTATCTTTGGTTTTTTTCTTATGGAAAAAAAAAGAAAAGAAAAAAGAAACATTTGAGCCTATTGCATTTGCTTAGCCTGCCTTTAATACTTCTCTTTATGGCGGTAATTTTGTACAGTCATAATTGTCGATGTGGACGCGGGACCATCCCTACCGACAGGGATTTTGATTGGTTCTCCCGTAAATCATGATACAGCTTGAGTGAGAGGGTACTGACGTGGTACGGATACTACGAGTACGAGTACTTATCCGTATGGTTGTAGCGTGTCGGGCATTCTCACAGCACACGCACACTCACATCACGACGTTTGCGGTGTTTGTACATGGCAAAGAAAAGAAAGGGGAAGAAGAAAAGACAAAAGGTGCCGATGGGGGATGAACGGGAAGGCTACGGACGAGGGACGTAAGGAAAGGGAGGTATGGACGGGAGCGAAGGCAACATGAGTAGCCGAGACAAGGCATCAACAATGCTCTTCCAGCCATGCATTAGGCTTCCGAATTACCTGTACAGTCATGTTTCCGCGCCCGAGGGCACATGGAGGCTGAAAGAGTTGCTCGGACAATCAATTAAACCATGGAAACATGCCGCTCAGAGTCACATTACAGACTGGAGTCTGCGCGTGTGTATTATTATTGCCGGCAATAGTAATAATAATCACTTCATCATTCCGCCGCATTCTTCCGTACAAAGCATAAGGGGTTCCCGTATCCACCAACCGGGGAGTGTTAAAGGGGGGGAGGGGGTGTTCAGTGCTCGTAGATACAGGAGAGACATGAACACACATGTAGGGAAGGGAGGAACAATAATCGCGCCTCTTCCTGCCAGCTATATAGTGACTTTATAAGTATGTCGTATGTACAATCCGGCAAGAGCGAGAAGCGCGCATAGAAGGAAGGAGCACGTTGATAGAGCTCACGTCGTAATACTAGGATGGTATGGTTGGGGGGAAAGCGCCTTGTATGAGATCCCACCAAGCGCTTAGATTGTTTGTTACGGTTTAATACTGCATTCTACAGCCTGCTACCAATACCGGTCGGCGGGAGATAACAGTAGTTGTATATTCGGGGAGGAAGTTCTATACGTTTCCGCGATGTTTGAGAGGGAGGCCAGGAAGTGGGAGGGGTTTCAGAAAGAAGGAGAGAGAGGGAAAAAGAACACAGCTGGAGAGTGGGCGGCAGGCAGCGCCAGAGTGTGGGTGAGAGAGGGGGGGAGGGGGGAGGGGGGAAGCAGAGGGGAAGGCGCTCAGCAGATGCGAGCCAGTTTAAGGTCCCTTTCTACTTCTGGAATTCCCAGTGGGCTGGTTGGTGCAGGGTTTTAGGGGATGCGGCCAATGGGCGGGACCGCGGGGCAAAAAAGAGAAAAAAAAATCCTGACGAGATCGCCTGCAGGCCTTTTTTTACTTGGATTATTTTCTCGAGAGTTCTGCCAGCGGGTGGTAGCTCATTGCTAGACTGCTAGTAATGCAGTAGCGCCAAGTTAGCAATAGACCATATTATTATTACTTAGTAGATGCTGCTATATGATACCATACCACCACCCACAGTCAGCGCGGTACACATGTGCACGTGTGAGTAATGTATCTGCCCGCAATCCTACGAGAGTTGTGTAATAGTTGTGATAACTGATTGTCGTGAGTGGTTCAAGATAATACCAGGCGCATCAGGTGCTACCGAGTACAACCCCAAGGCAGATACGACCGAACAATTACGTGTAACGATTCTTCATCCCTCCCTCCCTCCTCTCTCTCTGGAACTCTCTCTCTCGCACGAATACGCTGTAATACTTAGTACTCGTAAATGAGCTCTCTGTCTGGCCTGTTGCGGCTTTCCCGGTGCCAGGAACGCCCCGCGTTAAAAGTGGTCCCCCTGTCGGGCGGATTGGCAGCCTGCTGACGAATCAAGTATGTCATGCGTTTCACTCTTGTCACGGCTATCTTTGAACCACGATCAATCAATCAGTACAAATAGATATCGCATCGGAGAGATGGGAAACGCCGCGTTTTATTGGGCTGGTGCCTTGTTGAAAAATTGACGTACGTTTTGCCAGTGTATTACTGGTATGAATAGGGTTCTTTGCCAATCGGAATAGTGGTAGCATGTCCTGATTGCCTGATGCTTGGCCTGATGGTACAACCCTAACGTGTTTTTACAAATACCATTCGTGTTCGTTTTACCTACGTCATATACAACAGGTCGTCCTACTTATGCTCCATACATTTCTCCATCATCCCTGGATATATGCATGACAATGTGAAACATCCTTCCACAGTGCTGTCAATAATGCATTCCCATCACACGAATTCATGATAATGCCTCAACTGCATCGTCATGAGATCTTTTTTTTTTCCGCGCAGATGTGTACGCAGGGTAAGACGGATATAAACTTGTCACGTGGGTTCGTGTGAAGGGGTCCATCCACAAGGCTCATTCACAAGAGTGGGGATTTTCGTCAGGTCACGTCAACGTCGCGACTTGCTGAGCAAACGAGAATCAGCTACGACGCCCTTTGCCGTGAGCAGGTTTTGTTTGTATTCTTTTCCAGACCAACTGGACCGATCCTGTCGCTTTATCTTATGGCCTAATTGCCTAATCTTTGCGAAAGCTAACTCTCCATTTCCCTCCCGTCGAATGCCACCGACAGCGACATACCGTGCATCATGAATAGCATGCAGGGTCTTTTACATGAGACCACCTTGCAGTCTGCTCAAGGTGGTCGTTCGACTTCTACCACCGGATTTTCCGGAACCTTGTCTGCTTCTACTGGTCAGAAGCGGAGTTGGTCCGACGGCGATTCAAACAACTCCCACTACCAAGATTCCAACCCCGCCAAGGGCGGCCCGGCCGGCGTCCAGTTTCAAAGAACCATCAGCTTTCTGCCTGGCCGTCCCAAACGCCTGTCTGCCAGCAGGATTGTAAATTGCGATAACGAGGGTGAGGGTGAGGGTGAGGGGATATCAGAATACTCTCAGAGGCAGGCGATTTCTGCAACGCCCACGTCGACGATCGACCCGGAGCTCAGCCTGTCGCACCCCACGTACGACTTGCCGGCACAGCTTGTGGATAATTTTGCTTCGGTCGGTATCAAGCAGATTTATCCGTGGCAGAAGAACTGCTTAAAGGGCCCGCGACTCCTCGAGGGTACCAAGAACCTCGTCTACTGTGCTCCCACTGGCGGCGGCAAATCCCTTGTTGCTGATTGTGAGTACATAAAACAAAAACGTATTTTCGCCTATGTGGACATGTTCTAACTTATGTCAGTGCTTATGCTCAAAAGAGTACTTGAAGAAAAGGGCTCCAAGGCCCTCCTGGTTCTCCCATATGTTGCTCTGGTGCAGGAAAAGGTACGGTGGCTGCGAAAGATCGTTCAGGGTCTGCAATATGCAAACACTCAGGATGAAGAGGACAAGCCAGGTACATGGGCTCGTCGTGCAGACGAGGATTTCGTGAGAGTTATTGGATTCTTTGGTGGCGGAAAAGTCCGAGCTACCTGGGCAGACTTTGATATCGGTGTCTGTACCATGGAAAAGGTATGCTGGGATGCCGTCAGCATTTCCCCCATGAATCTGGCTCACTGACTGGTCCGTAGGCAAATTCTCTTGTGAATGCTGCCATCGACGATTGCGTCGTACAACAGCTCCGAGCTGTCGTGCTGGATGAACTGCACATGATTGATGATGATCACAGGGGGTATCTCCTGGAACTTATGACGACCAAGCTCATGAGCCTTGAACAGCCTGTCCAGATAATTGCTATGAGTGCCACTCTCCCAGTAAGCTCGATACCCTATCTGAAGAAGAAAGAAGAAGCCCTTCGTGACCCTGTCTGTTAATCCTGATTGTGACAGAACATGGATTTGATGGCACGTTGGATCGACGCACATTCATACGAGACCAGATACCGCCCAGTACCTATACATGAGCATCTCGTCTGCAGCGGCAGGGTGTACCCAGCTGCTTCGACAGGGGACCTGATCAGAAAGGCAACTCAGTTGAGTACCCAAAACTCCACACAAAGTAGGGATAGAGCAGTCCCGACGAGGCTCATCGACGCATCGGAGCATAAAGAGTTCCGCGATCCAGTTCTCAATGCTGTCGTGACTCTTGCGCTTGAAACCGCCTCGTCCGGTTTCGGGGTCCTGGTCTTTGCATCCAGTCGAGCAATGGCGGAAGGCGACGCTCGCTGGATAAGCAGAGCGATGCCTGAACCCCAGGACCTTGATCCCAAGCTCCTTGACAAGAGGACGGACCTCTTGTCCGAACTGAGGAGTTTGAGCACAGGCCTTGATCCTGTTTTGGAAGAAACTGTTATTGCTGGAGTGGCCTTTCACCGTAAGTCAACCTCCCCTAGCACGGGCCACAAATTAATGCTAAATTCTCTCTCCCCCAGATGTGAGTTTCCGAGACCGTTTCATATATCTTCCCATACTAACTGTCTAGGCCGGCTTGACTACTGAGGAGAGAGACTTAGTTGCAGCGGCCTATGACGCAGGGACGATCATCGTCTGTGTCGCAACATGTAGCTTAGCTGCCGGTATAAACCTGTGAGTCTTTCTCTCATCGCAAAGATCTCCTTCACGATTTTATTTTGCTTACTCTACTCTAGTCCGGCAAGAAGGGTTATTCTGCATGGTGCACGCATGGGCCGAGACCTGGTCGGTCCAGCGCTGTTGAGGCAGATGAGAGGCCGTGCGGGGAGGCAGGGCAGGGTTCCCGTAGGGGAGACGTACCTATGCTGCTCTGAAGATGACTTGGAGAGCGTTGTTGAATTGATGCATGCAGACCTTCCCGAAGTTACGAGCTGTCTCAATGCAGAGAATCATCGATTGCAGAGGTAGGTGGGACGCTCCGAGCTGCCCTGGCGATTCTAGGCATAGCCGCTGACTATTTTCATAGAGCACTCCTCGAAGTCATTGCTATAAGGCTGGCAACTAGCCACGAATCCATACTGGGCCATTTCAAGAAGTCGCTCTTGTGGCATACCCACGGCACAGAATACGTCAGCAATTGCGTTGAGATAAGCCTCAAGGACATGGAGGAGGCGGGGTTCATTACCAGGGATATGCACTCCCAGTATGCAGCCACTCAACTGGGGAAGGCCATCGTCTCGTCAGCCATAGACCCAGACGACGGCATCTTCATCCACAAAGAGCTCAGTAGGGCTCTCCGGTCCTTTGTCATGGACGGCGATATGCATATACTGTACACCTTCACTCCAGTACAGGATTTCGGAGTCCCGGTCAACTGGCAGATATTCCGGAACGAAATGGAGATGCTCGACGACAGCGGTATGCGTGTACTGGCTTGTCTAGGTATAAAACCGACGACAGTGCAGAGGCTGTGAGTGTGCAATCAACTGCCACCCCCCTCACAAATCCGTTTGCTTACCATTCACGACAGGGCACAAGGTGCAGCTCTCAAGACGTCGTCGCCAGAGGAAAAGGAAATGGCACGGGTGTATGCCCGCTTCTACCTTGCTCTTCAGCTACGAGATTTGTGCAATGAGATGCCCGTTCATGCTGTTGCTCGAAAGTACGACATGCCAAGGGGAGCAGTGCAGAACCTCTCGCAGACTTGCCAGGGCTTTGCGGCTGGAATGATCAAATTCTGCGTTTCCATGGGATGGGGGTAAGTATGAAAAGTCAAGTTGTGGAATTGACAGGGATCCTAAAATGACTGACAAGAAATAACCATCATGTAATAGTGTTCTTGCGGCAGCTCTGGATCACTTCTCGGACAGGTTGTTGGCGGGTGCTAGGACAGATCTGCTGGAACTGGCCAAGATTCCTTTTATCAAGAGTCGAACAGCGTACGTCACAAGATCACACCTTCATGCCTACCAAAATTACGTTCCAGTGAAGAATGCAGAGCTGATATATATTTACGAACTTGTGGGCAGTCGTGTGTTCTGGGAGTCCGGATTCCGCAGTGCCGGGACCATTGCCAGCGTGGACCCGAAAGAGCTCGTCCCAGTGCTCATGCAGGCACAACCAAACAAGATCCGTCTCAAAGAAAAAGACGTGGCAAAGTACGAAGAGAAGCTTTTGGCCAAAGCAACAATCATCTCTGCGTCGGCAAACAAGATCTGGCGTACAGTTTCCCTCTCTTTTCGATTTCCCATGCATCCCTTTTGCTCTCTAACCACAGTACGCTCGCTAATATTGTTACCACAGACGCCCAGATGCAAGTGGAGATAGACTTAGAATAGATATGACATGGTCATGCGTGTTTTGAGTTTGTTTATTCATTGTATGTAGGAATTGATATCCTATAATATTCGTGGGTATTATTACCCGTAGTATATTAGTCAAGGACATCGTCGCGGAGATTGAATAGCTGCTGGAGGACCTCGTCGGACTTGGCCCGCAGAGCTGAGTGGTACATGACGTTTGTCTCAAAGACTTTGGTTCCCCTGACCAGGCTGGCCGTGTCACGGGCAAAGTCAAAGTCGACGTACATGTCGTGGATGAAGGAGGCAGCATAGACGGGGACCTGGTTGTTGGCCAGCTGCTCCTTGTTGTAGAGGGCTGGCCAATTGTCAAAAGCGGCGAGGCGTTCTGCCACGGCGTGCAGTTTGGAAAGCTCTGGGTATGTGACGAAGTGGAAGGGAAAGATGTTTTCGCCCGAGAAGTAAAGGGGCGTTTGCTGCTGCTGTTGCTGCCCTTGCTCGCCGGGGTTGTTGTTGGTGGTGACAGTGATGGGGAGAGCATCGGGACGCAGCCAGGGGAAACAGGGGTTGTCCCTACCGACGCGGTACGCAGCCCAGTTGGAAGCTACGCCGGGGCCATCACAGTAGATGGCCTCGTGGATGATGGCGTAGATGATGTTGAAGTCGAGAGGGGTGCCCGTTTCGAGGGGCGCGAGGGCGGCGCGGGACAGGAAACCCAGCTGGTCAAGCGAGGCCTTGAGGCGTAGGATGGTGGTGTGAACACTGTCGAAGCCGCCGTGAAAGCCAAAGTTGATACCTAGCGTGAGGAGGCGCGGTACGGTCAGAATGCCGCCCGAAGGAAGGGCGACGTGCCCACCATGCGACTCGATGTGCGCGGCCACCTGTCGCACGGCGGCCACGTCCTCAGGGAATTTGTGGTAGTACTCTTCGTTGCGGCGGACGATGCGCGGGAACAGAGCGCTGTAGACTTGGTCGGGTGTTTTGCCGACGGGGGCCAGCCCGCCGGTCAAAAACACCTCCTCCAGGCCTTCTGGGTGCATGGACAGGTAGCTCATGCTCACGAAGCCGCCGTATGACTGGCCGAAGATTGACCATCGCGCGCGGGACTCGGACCACCCCGCCGTCAGGCACAGGCGTACTGATTCGAGGTCACGCACCGTGTTATCCTGCCGCATTAGTTTGAGGTAGTCAGCCTGCGCGGAGACATTGTCCGACGCGATGCGGTCCAGGCTCTCGGCCGACACGGGCGTGCTCAAACCCGTGCCTCGGTGGTCCAGAAGGAGGACTTGGTACCCCTTTGCCAGGGCCATGCGCGTCACAGGGTGGACCTGAGGTTCCGAATTACCGAATCCAGGTCCGCCTTCGAGGTATACCAGGTAACGCTTCTTATCGCTATTGCCATTGTCATTGCCGTCGCCGTCGTCAGCGGGGGCCCCACTGCTCTTGACCACACGCCGTCCGAAGAGTGTGATGGATACGCCTGATGGCCGCTTGTAGTCGAGCGGGACGCGGAAGAAGAGCTCTGTTACGAGGAGCTGACCGGGAACGAGATGGTCTCGGCTGCTGATCAGCTGGGCTGCTGGGATGGGGAGCTTTTCGGGGCCCATGGCGGCTGTCGAGATGGGTTGCTGCCCTTGTTGCTGTCTGATGGTGGTGGATGAAGCGGGTTCGGCGTCCGAAAGAGAGATGAACAGAGGAAGACTGCCTGGAATGGAATACGTCGATGCGTCGGAATGAATACGGCTGCCCTGGGAGATGTCTGGTGGCGTGAATGGCATCTTAATTTGCTGACGAGGATGGATCTAGGATTTCTTGCCAAAACGAGAAGGTGACGATGGTTTATAACGCTCCTGCCAAAACACATGGGAAATCTAGAGAGGTATTTCATTCATTTTTTCTTGTACTGCACCATTGACGACGGAATAAAACTCATGAATTGAAATAGCTTAGATACCGTAGAGATCACCGCACTTTTAGTCACTAATATTTATTATCTCTGTCATAGTATCGTGGTGTTCTACATGAATATGAGGTAGTCGTGACCGAGCACAGTATGTAATATATGAGCACTGTACCTCTTTCCTCCCACTTCGCGCATAATTAGTACAGCTGCAGCTTTTTCAGACCTCCTCTTCCTCTAGTCTGCCAGTAACGCTGCCTCATAATAAACCCTCTCATGCTGCGCGTGTATGGAGCTCGATGGCCTGGCAAGCTTCTCTGCCGACAGAGGGAATTCCATCTCACTCTTTCCTCGAGTCTCGACCGCCACCATCGCTCGATTCACAGTGCGACTCGTGTCACCGCGACTCGTGCTGGCCATTTTAAACATCAGATCAGGGGCAAAAAGACAAAGACCACCGTCAATCTCGCCGATCTACCACAGGGCCTTCTACCGAGGCATAAGCCGACAGTAATTAATCATGATACTCGCGATGAGCCGGCCTATCCCACTGTGGTGCTACAGGCCCGTCGCAACATGCAGAAATTCGACAACTGCGTCCTCTTGACCCGCGTCGGTGGTTTTTATGAGCTCTACTTTGAGCATGCCGACGAATATGGCCCATTACTAAATCTCAAGGTGGCATCTAAGAAGACGAGTGCTGGACCGGTGCCCATGGTATGGCCTTTTGCGTGCGTTTCCGTTCTGGCATAATAACCGTGTTGACCCGCATTTCAGGCCGGGTTTCCCTTCTTTCAACTCGACCGTTTCCTTAAAATCCTGGTTCAGGATCTTAACCGCTATGTTGCCATAGCCGAGGAATTCCCCAATGAGGCTTCGGAAAAGGTCAAGTCGGGTGGACTGATGCACAATCGTCGTGTATCTCGCATCATCACACCTGGCACTCTGATCGACGAGAACTTCATGGACCCTTATGCCAACAACTATGTCATGGCAATTCATGTGGGCCAGCATGATACCGCGAGCAATAATTCGGAGAAGCAGAGCACCGTAGTACCGGATACTCTGGGCACCATGCCTCAGCAAGCTTCTCTCCCTCTTGGGCTCGCGTGGCTCGATGTCTCCACTGGGCACTTCTTCATCCAAGCTACAGATCTCGCTTCACTTCCTGCCATCTTGTCGCGAGTCAACCCACGAGAGGTAGTACTTGACCAGAGCTTTGGGACGCAGAAAGACCACGGTATATTCTCCATACTTGCCGAGGACAGGTATTTGATCACGTATGCCACTGCCGGGACCCTCCTCAACCCGTCAGGTTGGACACCGTATCTCGAGTCTGATGTCCCTGCATCAACAAGGGACAGCCTGACACAAAATGAGGTTCTAGCCGGCGATCTGGTCCTCAACTATGTGAAGGACAGGTTGCAGGGGCTTAGCATGAAACTTCAGCCGCCGCTCAGGCATGAAAACATGGACATCATGACAATTGACAAGAACAGCCTGCGCGCCCTCGAGATCAAGCAGACGATGCGGGATGGATTCTTTAAAGGCAGTTTGCTGCATGCAATACGACGCACCGTTACCAAAAGCGGTGCCCGTCTGCTCAATGAGTGGCTGGGCTCCCCTTCGACCTCTCTGGATGTCATCAAAAAAAGACAGGATGTAGTAGCGCATTTCATTGATTCTCCGGACATCCGTGATTCAATCATCAACCTTCTCCAGCACAGTCATGATTCTCAGCGCTTGGTTCAGAAGTTCGCCTTGGGCCGTGGTGACCCCGACGATTTGCTTGGAATCGCATACACGATTCGAGCCACCAAGGATATTGTGGCTCTTCTAGAGGAGGACCAACATCAGGATTGCCTTAAGTCACTCACTTCCCGCATCAATCTCGATGAGCCCTTGAAACTGGCTGCTCGCATCAGGGATGCCATTGACGAAGAGGGAATTCTCAACCAGCATGAAATGGAGGAATCTACGGCCGGACAGATGATGGTCCTTGCAGAAAATATTGTCTCCTCCGAGGGAACTCAAGAGGATGCTTCGTCGTTACCGAAGGGAAGGAAGAAAAGGCCTGCGTCACTCAAAGAGCATTATGCCGAAGACAACGAGAGCTGGATCATGAAGCCAGCTGCCAGCCTAGGTCTGCAGAAGCTACATGCTGACCTCGTCTATTTGCAAAAGGAGAGAATCTCCCTCACCGAGACATTGAGGGAGCGATTCCAGGCCTCGAGCATGACACTTCGCTGGACGCCTGGTCTGGGTCACATTGCCCACATCAAGGGCAAGGACCTCAAGCACGTAACCGACGTCAGGTCCGTCTCCTCGAGCCGATCAACTCGGTCATTCCACCTCCCGGAATGGACATCACTTGGACAGCGGCTGGATCAAGTCCGTTTCCAAATCCGTGTTGAGGAGCAACGCGTCTTCCAGTCGCTGCGAGAGCACGTCGTCGTGAACCTTGTCAAGATTCGACACAACGCCGCGGTCCTAGATGAGCTAGACATCACAACATCCTTTGCCAACCTGGCTGTTGAAAAGAACCTAGTGCGCCCACAGCTCAATAACTCGACCGCCCACACCATCATTGGCGGGCGTCACCCCACGGTCGAGGGAGGCCTCTACGAGCAAGGTCGTAGCTTCGTGCGTAATGACTGTCTCGTCGGGATGCCAACCGAAGGTAGATTGTGGCTCATAACAGGCCCCAACATGGCAGGCAAGAGCACCTTTCTGCGGCAGAATGCCCTGATCACCATACTGGCCCAGGTTGGATGCTACGTGCCCGCGTCGTTCGCCGAGATTGGCATCGTAGATGCCATCTTTAGTCGCGTGGGCTCCGCGGACAACCTCTACCGCGACCAGAGCACCTTCATGGTGGAGATGATTGAGACGGCACAAATCCTCAAGCACGCAACGCCACGGTCCTTCGTCATCATGGACGAGATTGGCCGGGGAACGACACCCGAGGACGGCACAGCAGTCTCATTTGCCTGCCTACAGCATCTGGTGACTGTCAACCAATGTCGGACTCTGTTTGCAACGCACTTCCACGACGTGGAAGAGCTTGTGGCGGCCGAGGGATTGTGCACTTCGGACGGTGGTGCTGTTCGCTTTTACTGTACGGACGTCGACGAAGACGACCAGGGCGGCTTCGTCTACATCCACAAATTACGAAAAGGCATAAATCGACAGAGCCATGCCCTCAAGGTTGCACGCATGGCTGGACTTCCAAGACTGGCCATTGACACTGCCCGTCGTGTCTTAGAGGAAGGGACACAACGTAATGAGCCCGGACAGTCGACGGCAAGTACTTGTATGAAATGAAAGATAAAGGGGGCGCAGGTGTCTGCATATGCATATAATGGTTTGGAAAGAATCATCTAGGAACCTTTGTATATGTTAGCTTCTTGATATCCATGCAAAGAAGATGTAAAATATAAAGAAGGAATTTGATAGAAAGTCATTTAAGTTGTGATATTGTGAGTCATCAAAAAAGATCAGGGTTAAAAAGCTCGGAAATAGGTTATAATCATCCTAGGGAGAGAGAAAATCGAGAAAGGAATTGGCACCGACCTTTTTTTTATTTGAGTGAGAATGCAGTGTTAGAAGCTCATTCACACATGATTGTCACGATTAAACAGATATAAAAGGGTCGTCGAGAATCATGTCTCATTTTCGTTTTCCCATGTTGCAGCGGGATGCTCAGCTGACGGCTTAGCAATCTATGTGTCTCTGGAAACCCCAAGCTCATCGAAGCGAATCGACAGTCGTCGCAGACACCGACTGAACGTTTCCGAACAGAGTAGGCGTAGCAGTTTAGTCGCTGCGAGGGTAGAGATGTTAGCATTGGTCTAGCAGCACGGTCACCAAGGGGAGGGAGAGGCAATTGGGGAGGTAAAACGTACAAGAGACCACCGAAGCCCTCCTCGTCAGACTCCTCAGCCTCAGACTCGTCCTTCTTGGTCTCCTCGGCGGCGGCGGCTCCGGAGCCACCGGCAGCAGCAGCAGCAGCGGGGGCGGCGGCGGCGTAGGCGTCGGGGTTGGCGATGCGGTCCTTGAGCTCGGCGATGGCGTCCCAGCTGTACTCGGTTTCGAGGGCGAGGGAGATGGCCTTCTTGTAGGTGTTGATGAGGGAGTGGATGACGGAGGGGAGAGTGGGGAGGTTGGTGGCGAGGGAGATGCAGGTGATGGTGGTGATAGCCGAGGTGAAGGTCTTGAGGAGCTCCTCGTCGGTGATGTCGAGGACGCTGGAGGGGAAGGTCTGGCCGTCGTCGTAGACCTGGGAGATGCCCATGCCGTAGGTGAAGGGGGAGATGTTGAGCATGTTGAGCAGGGTGGCCTCGGAGGGGCCGACCTTGCTGCCGGCCTCGACGAGCTTGAGGTCAGTGGTGATCTCAATGGTACCACGGGCGATCTTGGTGGGGACGCCAAGGGCCTGGAAGAACGAGGTCTTTCCGGGCTCCATGCCGGTGTTGCCGGCAGGGATCCAGACATCGGCCGGGGCCAGGGCACCGGCACGGGCGGGGGCGGCGACCTTGTTGACCAGGATCTTGTCGCGAACCTCCTTCAGGTCCTGGTTGGTGAAGACGAAACCGATGTTGCCCTTAACGAAGGGCAGGAGGCGCTCGTACTCGGGGTGTTCGGGGATGAAGGTCTTGAGGGCACGGCGAACCTGTTCAAAGAGAATTTGTCAGTCTCACGTTTTTTTTTCTCTTCCCCTGTTTTTCCGTTCACGCAGACGAGCATGCGAAACCAAAAAAAAGGCAAGACGTACCATGGTGTTCTTGCCCATCAGGACAACAGCCTGCGAGCGGAGAGACGAGCGAATCTCGTGCATCTGCTGGGAAGAGACATTGTCAATCTCGACGATGAAGATGGACTTGTACTCCTCCAACAAGCCTTGCAGCTTGTCGAAGTAGCCGGACTTGTTCTTGCTGCCCCCCATATCTTCTTATTTACGAAGGCAGGTTGTTTAAGGGCTAGCGTGTCGTTTGAATTGGTAGTTGGGGGGGTTTGACTTGAAGTTGTCGTGATAACGAAGGAAAGGAAATTCCAAAAGGATTTTCTTTTTTCAACCGCCCAGTCTTTTTGCTCAGAATTGTGCTGAGGGGGGACACACACTTAGGGCTTACGGGGGATCTAGTCCTGTTTCGGGTTTCAGCGAGGCTCTTATCTAATCGGAATCCATGCCTGAGGTATTACTGCGATCAGTTGGGTCCTGACGAATAGCGGATTAGCTTCACACACATGCATGATGAGTGACCCTTAGGATCATAGAGGTATACAAGTAAGATATTCCGGCTCTCCTGGTTCTGCTCATTCTTCCCGTCAATGAGATCATCCTGCTCCCAGGCGTAATGCGGCTGGCTAAGTACGTTATTCAAGAGATGTACCTATGATTATGCGACTACTGTTTCGGATGGGGCTATTCCGCTCTGCTGTCATCAGATTTGCATTACTAGATCTCAGGTACGTATCTCCGTACACTCATCAGTCTGAGAATATGACTATTAGAACACTCGTTTGGATAGTAATAGACTATGTCGTAGCAGTACAGTATTTATTGTGGCTAGACGTACAATCCGACGAACATGCCGTTTACTCACAGGCATTGATAAAGATGGGCATACACCTCAATGTCCTTGGTCTCTGAGGTAAGAGGCGGCACACGAGAACTAAAAACAAAAGGAAGTTGCTGTCATCTGTGTAGCCTCTCCCACGTGGAATACTGATTTTTCTCCAAGATGCTACACATCGACAGCAGTACATGTACTTGAGAAAGCGCCGTGACGCACGACAGGAGGACGTTCCTTGTACAGGAGAAGACATATGCAGCTAAGCCATATTCGGTCTAGAGCACCCAAATTTCTCTGGCCTCTCATATTCCATATGAAGCAAATGCAGCAAGTTTTCTTTCTCAGTCGACTTCAAGTAGAAGACTTTCCTTCACACACTTACACACACAAAGAAAACCGACCCATTGGGATGAATAAGCTGCATGTACGTGTAACTCCGGGTCTCATTCACCGCTCAAGATACCCTCGAGAGCTTTGCGCCCCTCCCCTCCCCTCCCCTCTTGGGGCATCTGAATAGCAACCATGAAGATCCCCTACAGCCAAGTCCATGTCAACAGCGACATCATCTTTGCCGGACGCTCAGGTCAGATCCAGACCTTCAATCTCAAGGATGGATCTCTGATCTTTACATGGAAGCATCCCGACGTGGGCAAAGTAGCGGAAGCCGTCAGCAAGAATGCCCAGGCAGCTGAGAAAGAGGAGAAGCCTGACGCTGTTGCGGCGGCGGCGGCGGCGGATATTGCTCCCAAGGAGCAAGAGCAGGAGCAAGGGCAGGAACAGGAGCAGGAAGAAGATGGGCCCCCAGCCAAGCGCCAGAAGATGGCAGGTGACAAGGTACCCGCAGATGAGACGGCCTCAGCTTCAGCAGAAGCAGCAGCCCTCAAGAACGGAAAGAAGGACGACGGCGAAAAGGCCTCGAAGAAGAACCACAAGTTCAAGAAGGCGGTCCGTCCGCCGTTCCGGGTGCCCGAGCGGCCCATTGTGACGCACCTGACCACTACCTCGGACGGCAAGTATCTCGTCGCCGTGACGGGCCACGACAAGGTCATCTGGGTCCTCGAGCACGACGGACAGGGCCGCCTGACGCAGCTGAGCCAGCGCGCCATGCCCAAGCGGCCCAGCGCTGTGGTCGTCGCACCGGGCGCCAACGGCGACGACGACACGCAGATCCTGTGCGCCGACAAATTCGGCGATGTCTACTCTCTTCCGCTAGTGCCCGCGGCTGGGGCCCCCGGCGCGGCCGTGACACGCCCGGCCGCCAGACCCCTCCGGCAGCCCGCGGCCAACGCGCTGACGGTGCACTCTAAGAGGAACCTCGAAGCCCTGCGCGACCAGCAGAAGCAGCTGGAGCTCGACCGAGCACGCCTCCTCGAGGCCAAGGACAAGGAGGCCGAGGGGAGCAGCGGCAGCAGCGGCGGTGCCGACGGGAAGCGGCCCACTCCTACCTTTGAGATGACACTGCAGCTCGGCCACGTGTCGATGCTGACGGACCTGGTCGTGGCGCAGGATGACAAGGGCCGCCGGTACATTGTCACGTCGGACCGCGACGAGCACATCCGCGTCTCGCGGTTCATGCCCCAGGCCCACGTCATCGAGGGTTTCTGCCTAGGCCACACCGATTTCATCGGTGCTATGGCCGTAGCCGGCCCATCCAGGCCGGACGTCCTCGTCTCTGGCGGGGGCGACGACCACCTCATCGCCTGGGACTGGCGTCAGGCCAAGCCCCTGGCCAGGGCCAACGCACTCGCACTCGCCCGGACCGTCGACCCTGCCACGCCGCACGTGGCCATCTCGAAGATATACACCTTTGTCTATCCCGGTGAGGCAGGCAAGCAGCTCACATATGTGGCTGTCGTTTCTGAGGGGTAATTCTCTCTCTCTCTCTCTCTCCTGTCATTCCGTATGAAAGCATAGTGTCCGCGACTAACCCAGACTTCCCCTCAATAGAGTCAAGGCCATTCTCACCTGGCAGCTAGCCTCTGACAACACCTTCATCAACCCTGGAGCCATCCAGCTCCCCGGAACGCCCCTCTCCCTGGCCGTCGTCGCCCCCAGCACAGAAGAGGGAGCTCCATCCAGGATGATTGTGGCCATGGAACCAGATGTCGCCACCCCGACCGCTAAGAGCCTCTGCTTGTTCACCCTAACTACGAGCGAGGGGAGGCTAGCAGTCGACCAGATCTCCGACGAGATTGGCGACTACGCCATCGCCGGCGATGGCGAAAGCCACCTCGAGGCCTCTGAGGAAGAGGTGCATGGTCTTCTGTACGGTATCGGTGGTCTAAGGAAGCAGAAGATCCTCGAGGCTGAGGGCGAGATAGAAGCGGAGGCAGAAGTACCAGAGGGCGGCGAGTCCGAGGTACTAGACGATGATGTCGTGGAACAATAGAGTTGGTAGAGAAGACTGGGACACGTGCTTTGTTTTCGTGGGACACAAAGTTACCCTCACTTTTATCATTACTTATGGTTCCAGCGTCATATCCGAGAAGTAGTTCGTGAAGATGAAAAGTTAAAAAAAAATGTAGAAATTTCTCATAAAGCGCCTACGCAACATAACACACCCCCGCTCTTTGACCACAACACCACCCCCATACTGACCTCCAAACTTCATCGCTTCGTCTATGCCTTTCTTCTCCAAACGCCAACATTATGAGATCTTGCGGATGACGTTGTCATGATTTTGATGTGCTTAGGCTCTATCAGCCTCTTCCGGTCTTCAAGATGTCTTGCCCAACTCCTCTCTACTCTTCTCTTACCCTCCCCCCTTTTGCCGAAAGGAAAAAGTAACGACACCACGCTGCACCTCCGTTCATGTCTGAGCCCCTTCCCCTCCTTCTCCCCTCTTCTGTTTGTATCCTCTTCTTTTTATGGGAACGTCCTCCCATTAATGTGTGTAGAAGGGCCATCCCCTCGGGAATTATTGATTAAGACAGGGTTTTGTGGATGTTGAGAAGAAAGAAGAAAAAGAGATGGTGGGGTAAAAAAGAGAAGAAGAGAGAGAGCTGCCGTCAAGCGGACATGACGAAAACGAGGGATGTGCCGGGAAATGCTTCTCTTCTCATGGCCCGTCTAGGCCTAACGTGAAAAAAAAAGGGTATATGGGTGGGAGATGAGGAAAAAAAAAGGATGACAATTTTGTAACCCTCTGCTTGTCGTCACACGCACAAACCATACTGACCCCAACTTTAAACGTCTTCTTTCGTTCTCTTCCGCTTTTATTTTACTGCGAAGCACACTGGACGCGCTCGCCTCCGGGCGCTTCATCTTCATCCTCATCCATGGCGCCGCCGCCAAAGACGCGATTCTGCGAGGTCGTGTCCATATCCTCGAGCTCAGCGGGCTCTGTCATGTCGTCGTTCGGGGCGTCGGCCTGGGCGGGGGCGGGGGGGAGGACATTCCTCAGGGCCTCGAATGCTGACTCGTCCTGGGTCCAGTTCTTTTCGGGGAAGCGGACGTTGAAGCGAACGTACATGTTGCCGTAATTGTGGTGGCGAGCCGAAGGCATACCCTGTCCGCGGATCATCTTCACGGTGTCTATGTTGATGTTCCGTGTTAGCGGTGTGCCCGAAGGATGATGGAGGGTTGAAAAAACTAATAAAGAGGTGAAAAGGGAAAGACAGGAAAACAAACGTACCCTGAGCAATGGCCTCTCCAGGAAGAATATCGACGCTCAACCAGCGGTCGTCAAGGTGCTCAATGTAGATGGTGCCACCAGCGAGGGCGGTGACAAGTTCGATGTCGCAGTTGTAGAGAAGATCGTCCTCCTTGCGGGTGAAGCGGGCGTGGGGCTTCTCCTCAATCTCGAAGACGACGTCTCCGGCCTCGACGCCGGGGGCCTGGTCACCCTCGCCCTTGTACTCGATCCTGGTACCGGAGCGGACGCCGCGATCGATGTGGACGTGGAGGACCTTGCGGTCGACGACCGTTTTCTTTCCGTTGCACTGCTTGCAGCGGTCCTTGTCCTTGATGATCTCCCCCTCTCCGTTACAGTCGGGACAGACCGTCTGGAAGCGCTGGATCATGGGGCCCATCTGGCGCATCATGGTCTTCATGCCGGCGCCATCGCAGCCGGAACACTTCTTAACAGCCCCCTCCTTACCGCCGATGCCCATGCACTTGGGGCAGATGATGGACCGCTGAAGGGCCAGCTTAGACACCTTGCCGCGGTAGATATCCTCCAGGGCGACGCGGTGGGTGTGGTGGATAGTGCGGGCCTTCGGGGGGGCCCGATTTCCCCTCATGTCGCCAAACATGCCTCCCATGCCGCCGAAACCGCCGCCGCCGCCGCCAAAGAATTGGGCGAATAGGTCCTCGGCCGCCATGCCGCCGCCGCCGCCGGCTCCCGCCTCCAGGCCGGCCTCACCATACTGGTCATAGGCGGCGCGCTTCTGCTCGTCAGAGAGGATCTCGTAGGCGTGTGAGATCTCTTTGAACTTCTCCTCAGCCTGAGGGTTGTCGGCGTTCTTGTCTGGACGCTAAAGGTCAGAATACAGCTGGCACTTCATATATCGAAATGACCGATATCGAAACGGGGACTCGAACTGGGACGTGACGACATACCAGGGTGATACCTGAGAGCGTTGACCTTGTAGGCCTTTTTCAGCTCGGCATCGGTAGCTGTGGGAGCGACCTGGATGTGGTGGTTTGTGTGTAAGCAGGGGTGCGGCAAGAATACCAGAGGGAGAGAGGGAAGAAGGAGGGAGGACATACACCCAACGTGTCGTAGTACTTTGTCTCCTTAACCATGGTCGCGGCTGTTTCTCAACGGTGCCGGCCTGTGTTGCTTGTTTGTTCGGAGAGTGATGCAGAGACAGGCGAGGGATTCGTTCTTTGATCCTGTGTTGCGGGGACTTAGTCAGTCAACGTGAGGCGTGAGAAAGTAGAGAGGAAAAAGCAGTGGCAGCAGACTGAGGAGAGAGGCGAAGAGGAAGGGAAGATTAGAAGAAAACAAGATGTTACCTGTCTGCACTGAAAACGAAGGGGGAGGGTGGGATGAAGGTCAACAAACGTCCCCTTGGTCGCGATATGCTAGTGATCTGATGGCGGGGCCGTCGAGAGAGGGAAATTTCAAGGAATCAGTGGGTGTGTGGTTCCAACAAGGGCGGAAGAATGGAGAAGAGGAAGGAAGAAGAATCGTGTTTGGGGAGAGAGAAGGTAGAAAAAAGGACAATGGAGAAGGATTGAAAGAGAGAAAGTTGTTGTTAACACAGACACAGACGCAGACATAGACACCTCTTGTTCTATTTTTCCGGCCTCTATTTTTCCTTCGTCTTTATTACTATTTATTCCCTTACTCGTAGAAGAGAGAGAGGTCCCGGTAAGAAGAGGCTGACTTGCAAAGTCCGTGTGGTATTCCATGGAAGGACATCGAAGAAGGGCAGAACAGTGTGGCGGCCAAGATAGTGCAAGACTTCTGAGCCTATTGCGCTAAAGGCGGGGGGGTGGTTCCACAGGGTGCCGAAGGAGCAGTGAACGTGCAGTGAACAGGTGGGTTTGCACTGAAGCAGTGGACAGTGAAGCACTGAAGCACTGGTACCAAGTACGTGGGCAGCAGAGAGACTGGAAGATTCCATCTTTAGTGAGGCTTCACGTGCAGTTCTTGATTTCTTGTTTTATTTGAAAAGAGTCAGAATGTACGTGCACGCATGTGGTAGTCGCGATTACGAATACAGCATTTCCCATTATACTCAAAAAGAAGACTCCGTACTTGCCATGTTGAAAATCGCAGCCCCTTGCTGCATTATCCCCCCCCTTCTTCCCTCTTAGGCTTTCACCAAGGCTCAGTGCGTCATCCTGCCCTCGGCCAAAGTACTGCCCTAACAGATTCGGCATTAGATCAGCCTTGGCCCGGGTCCCTCCATTGGGCCCTGATAATATCCTTGGAAAACAAGGACTGTGCGTTTTTGCCCTTTCTGTTCTAGTAAACACAACATAATACGGCATCTCCTTTTCTAATTTATCTTTTTATCTTCTCTCATAAATCTTTTTTTATCTTCATCGTTCTTAACGTCCGGTTTACCTGTACGGTGACCTGTGCTCCATACTTTAGAAGCCGACGAATCGTCTGACTGAATACGAAGTTTGCGTACCATTAGCAACCCCGTAACATTACTCCGTACTCCGTACTGAGGATACTGCTAGTCAAGTCCGGTGGAAACCTCGGTGTGTGTGCGTCTTTGCTTCTCACCAGCATGACGTCTTACCTGCCGCCGGACAGTCATGGAGCGACACACCGCCTGGGCAGAATGTGTGATGCGGTACCACTTTTCATGCTTCACTCCATTACTGACTTATTCGATTATAGGTTCTATTTCCAAATAGCTCACTGGAAAATTATACAGTAATTAACAGCCTCATACTTCATCTACAACCTGAAGAAAATTACATCTGCTCTTTCACCTCTTCTCAAAGAGCATGAAAAAGGAGCATAATAACAAAAAGAGTATAGAAAAAGAAGAGAAGAAATTATAGAAAGAAGAAAGTGCCAAGCCATATGGTATCTTGATATAGAGCAGACAGACACTCAAAGAAGAAGAAGAGGAAATAATATGGCGATAACATCACGCCCCGGAGTGCTTTTTCTGTTGTTTCCTTTTGTGTTTGCTCCCTTTTTTGATGAAAGAAATGTGAAGAGGGGGGAAAGGGGGAGGGGGTCCATCCAAAGAAGAAGAAAGAAAGTAGACAACGTATGAAAAAGGGATAGAATAGGACGAAACTCAGAAAGCATCCTCAAAAGGGCAATCCACACTATCGTGCCCATCACGCTCACAAACGGCACACCACTTCTCCGGGTCCACGATGCCGCTCTCTTTGCCTGCCACGGGACCCGAGTCCGTAGGATTGGGCAGGTCCTTGGGCGCCGCCGGGGCTGAGGGCGCAGCACCGCTTCCTATGTTGGGGTTCCGGACGGCCTTGAAGGGCGACAGCGGCGCCGGGTGGGCGCTGTCGTCTATGCCACCCGCCAGCCGGAGGTTGTCGTGAGACGGGATGGTGGGCAGGGTCTGCTTGTGCGGGCCGCCGCTGGTACCGGCAGCGGCCGGCTTAGACGACGCCGACGACGTGTTGCCGCCCTCGGGGCCGAACATGTTGGTGCACGTGAGGATATCGTGCCCGGGAGCCTCGCAGATCTCACACCACAGCGTGCTGTTCTCCGTGGCGTTGGAGTGCGCGTCGCTCTCGATCGTCGTGTCCAGCGTCGTGCCGCGGCGGTGGTGTCCCGGCATGAGGCCGAGGCCGGCGTTGGCACCGCCGTCGCCGCCGCCACTGCCGTTGGCGGCAGCGGCGGGGGCCGAGGGGACGGGCGTGGGAGGCTCATCGGCCGACCACGTGTCCGGGGACTGTGTCAGGACAATCGTGTCGCGCGAGTCGCGGAGCGATGAGCGCTGGGCCTGCGTCTGGGCCTGCGTCTGGGCCTGCGTCTGGGCCTGCATCTCGGACTGGGGCTGGGACTGGGACTGGGAGCGCTGGTGCTGGTGCTGCGTGTTGCTGCCACCCCGGAGTTCGAGAAGCTCCTTCTCCAGCTTCTCCTCGCGCGACGTCTTCTCGTTCAAGATCGACTGTAGCTCCGCCACCTGCCTCTCCAGGTTGTCGCGGGCAATCTTATGCTCGATCACGTCGCCGGGGAGGAGGGAGCCGCGGCGATTGGCTGGCGGCTGACTGGTGCGGTTACCGGCGGCGCTGCTGTTGCGGTTGCCGGCGGCGCTGCTATTGCGGTTGCCGGCAGCGCTGCCCGTCGAGTCTCGGCTGAGTGAGTGGATGATGGCCTTGAGGCCCCTGATCTCATCCTCTTTCGACTCCAGTTCCTTGGACGCCGTCATCGAGATCCTGTTGCCGGGTCCGGTACCGGCACCGCCGCCAGTCTTCTCACGTTCCCGCAGAAGCTCGGTGCGCGTCCTCTCCACTTCGCCTCGGAGGAACTCGACCTCGCCGCGGGCCTCGGCCTCTCCCCTGCGGGCGTCCTCGAGGCCCTCCTCGAGCTCCTGGACCAGCTCCTCGAGCTGCTTGAGCTGGTTGGCGACCGAGTCGACGTCGAGGTTCCTCGACTCGAGCTCCCGTACGTCGGCTATGAGTTCCTCCATGCGCTTCTCGTAGACACGCTCCGTCTCGGTGCTGGCCATCTCGAGCGCGTCGATGGTGCTACGGAAGTCGGCGCGGTGCGCGTCAAACTCGGACGTCAGCATCGAGATCTTCTCATTCTTCTCGCGCAGAAGGGCCCGGAGCTGCACCGTGTCCTTGCCCTCCGTCTCGGCGGCCAGCGCAGTAGCCCCCGGGCCGTCAGCGCTCTCCATAAGGCTCTGGAGCTCTGTGAGGCTGGCCTCCATGTCAGCCAGCGCCGATGACTGATCCTTGAGCTGCCGCTCGCGGTCCTCGAGTTGAGCACGGAGCTGCTCCACCAGCTGGTCGTCGGTGGCCCCCGCCCGCGCAGTGTTCCGCGACGGCGACCGGTTCTGGGCGCGCGAGGGCGATCGCATCTGGTTGCGCAGCGACGCCACCGGCCCTAGGTTGCCATTGGCCTGGGCATGTGGCAGGGCTAGCATATGGGGGTCGTCGTCGAAGCCCAGAGCCGAGATGCTGCGCGCAGGCATGCTAGGCTTGCGATCCACCGACCTCTTGTTGGGGTCGCCGGCAGTCCCGCGTACGCTCTGGGCGAAGCGGCTGGCAGTCGGGCTGGCATGACGGCCAGGTGTCTTGGCCGGCGGGGGGGCACCGATCGAGGGTCGCGGCCCGGGGGTCATCTGCATGCGGCGCACGGGCGACTCCGAGCGAGGGACTGACAGTCTGCCACCGCTGGTGCCGGGGCGCTTGGGTCCGGGGCTGGATGTCCTGGCACCTGGACCGATGGAAGCGCTAAACTTGGGGAGACCAGGCGTGGGAGGGGTGAAGTTTGTCGAGTTCTGGGAGCCAGTGCGGAGGCCGGCGGTGCTGAGAGTGGCCGGGTAGGGGGATTGCTTGAGGGCCTTGGCGAGGGGCAGGAAGATGCCGGCCCCAGGAATGGATGTGGTAAAGTAGGAGATGCTGAGAGGTGGGGGTTGTCAGTATGACGTCTGCCGAAGATGTACGGAAGAACGAGATGTGCCCTGGAGACATGATAGACAAGGGGATGAGGAGCTCACCCGTCAACATCGCCGCTATTCTTCCCACGCATGGCAAACTCGGCATCGAGCTCAACACCGGCAAAGGTGCCCTTCTTGCCCTGGACTGGACCGACGAAGCGTACGACTCCAAACATGTTCCCGGGGACATCGACAGTGTCGCCGACAGTGACTGGGTCGACGGAGAGGGAGGGGGGCGCACGCCCTGGCGTGAGGGGAGCCATGACGGCAGAGGTTCCGTCTGGGCTGCAAGCCGTGAGGTCGTTTAAAATGGTAAAGTCGGAAGGTGAGGGGAGAGGGGGGACATTGGATATATTCTTGTCGCTGGGCAGAGGCGGCGCCGTCTCACTCAACACGGCGAGGGACGGCTTTCGCGACAGACCTCTACCACTGTTATGACTGCCTGTGTTGTTATTCCTATGATTACCGGCAGCGGCACCCCTAAGATTGGATAGGGAGCGTGGCTGAGACGTGTAGGCCGCGGAGAGGTTTGGCGCCGAGGCCGGAGAGGCCAAGGGTCTTCGTAGGGATCGATTGCCAGGTCCGGCCTTGAGAGTGGTGGTGGTGACGGACGAAGAAGAAGGAGAAGATGTTGTCACGGCAGCAACAGAAGAAGCCATCATCTTTTTTCTGGCGTCTAGGGGGTGTTCGAGCCCGAACCAGGGGCCAGGGGCTCTAGCGGTGGGTGTTAGGGGGGGGGACCTAGGTAGAGTGAGGGAGAGACCTGAGCCACTAGATTGGGTGTGCTTGAGCAGTTCTCCAGTAGTAGGTAGCGGGAGTGCTGATTGGGGACTAGGGATCCTGTCCGAATAAGGTGCTCGAGGAATAGCAAGACAGCGCTGTCTTGGAGCGGGTAGGACGCTGGAGTCCACTGGACGGGACACCCGTTTTAGTGGGTGTTCAATACGTTGTGTTGGGGATATGAGGTTTTAGCAGGGGATTCCTCTGGTCTTGAGCTCTTGTCACTGTCAGACTGTTTCCTCTCAGTTTTACATCATTTTGTTCCTGGTGTCAACTGACCGTTGTATCCCTTTTCTCCCCCCACAAGGGTCATCTTTTGATAAATTGGAAAAGTATAAACAGAGGAGAAATACAAAGAAGGAGAGAAAGAGAGAGGGAGAAACAGTGAGCGTAAAGAGCTGATATGATGATCGGTTCGTTTTGATATGATACTCGTTGGGCTCGTCGTCGTCGTATCGTCAGATCGTTCTGATGGGCGGCTAACACCCACTCTAGTCGTCGTACAAAGAGGCAGACAATAGCAACAGTAACCCAAGAGAGAAAAGACAAAAGTATAAGGAGACAATATCAGTAGATCGAAGTTGAAGATATCGGAGAGGAAGAAGAAAGAAAAAACAGAAATAAAATCTAGCTGAAAAAAGAGAAGAAAAAAACAGCATATGTGGGAACTAGAGGGAAGGGGGGGGGCTCGATGTTTTTATCTGCCTACCTGGGCCTCTGGGTACCTTGCATACACATTGCATCACAAGCAGTCTGTCAGCTTGCATATCTGCATCAAAGGTACTTAAACTCGTAGTATTCTACTCGATACACCTGCGCTGCGATGCAATACCGTACATACAAGTCTCTCTGTCTCCATGGAGATTTGACGCCGTCGTGGATTGTAAACATCGACCCAGCGTTAAACATGATACTTAGCTACGAGCACTGCAATCGTACTCCGTACAGGCACATCGAACTCGTCACCGCCTCTTGAGTACTCTGCCTCTTCGCCCTGCATACAACGTTTTGCAATTTATTATTACCTCCTCTGTAATCTGTACCTCGTCCCACATCTTCATTTCTCCTGTATCCTGTACCCGTATTGCAGAAGTTGCAGGAGAGCACTGCCCAGTAATAGATATTGTCACTCGTACTGCTGCAGATTCCGTTGCCACTAATCTGTCGTGATACTAGAGTAGTGTATTACTTGCTGGTGCCGTCTCAACCTCCCATGCTCCTTTCGTACAAAAGTGCCATCATGGAGACTAAGTATTATTGGCATCCTCGCCCTCCCCCTCTGTCGATTCCTTCCGACCCCAAGTGGCTGGAGTCCATTCATCGCGTGCATCCCCGCTCATTGTGATCCCTCCTCCCCGCAGGTTACATGCGTTCGGTTCAGACAAGAGCAGAATCCAGGGGCACTGTCTGTGGAGAAGAGCGAGGCATGGATGCTGACCGAGATGCTGTTACATGTATGTACTCCGTACCTGTATAGTAAGATACACAATCAACACACCCTTCCTGTTTTCTATCTCGGCATGCACAGCCATGTTTGACCAGGGAGAAACAATTTCTCCTCCCCCCCCCCCCCCCCTTTCATTTGGCAAGTGCAACAGGTTTGTCTTGTAGAATGAATATTTGCTCTCTTTTCTTGTTGTTGTAGTGATGCCGATTGACTCTTTTTTCCTCCCCGGGCCGTCACCCTGAATCCATGTGAAATGGCTATGACCTGTTCTTCCTCTTCCGGGCATTCCGCTCCCGCTCGTATTCGTTGGCCTCCCGACCCTCCTCGCTCTGTATCTCCGCCACGATCCTCTTGAACTTCTTCTCGTACGCCTCGTCCTTTGCCTTCTTGGCCTTGAGCTTCTCGCGCGCCATGAAGTGGGCGTCCTTGCGCAGCTCGCGCATCGCGCCCTTGCGCTCCTTCTTGTGCTCCGCCCGTAGCTTGGCCATCTCCGCCCTCTCCCGGTCCGGGTCGTAGTGCTTGTCCGGGTCGTACGTCTCCTCAAACTTGGGAACGAACGTCTTGATGGCCAGCGGTCGGTGGTGGTGCAGCTCCAGTGGTCGACGGGACAGGCTGGCCAGCCGCGTCATGCGCTCCAGCTTGGTCTGCAGCTTCTCCGCCACTTCGGCCGTCTGGCTGGGGAGCCGAGCCTTGCACTTCTTGCCCGTCACGTGCTTGACCACCGACAGGACCTGGCCAAAGGTCTCGACAAAGGCCTCCTTGCCTGTCCACGCGTCTGCAGCGACGTCAAGCACCTGAAGCGTCGTGTTCAGGATGGCTACCTTGGCCGATGCCGCGGCCTGCTCCTCTTGCGGCCCAGGCTGCACACAGTCGCCGAAGTTGAGTCGGCGAGGCGTCACCTTGGCCGCGGCCCCGTCAACCCGTAGAGCCTCGTCGGACCGGTGTTGGGGGAACTGCCCCAGCCCCTGTCCGGGCGCAGCCGGAGCCAGGGCACAGAGGGTGTTGAGGAGGAAGTTGATCACCTCGGGCACGTACCTCTTGGCGAGCTTCTGGTATTGCAGCGACAGCATTGAGAGGTACACACCCACGGCGTGATCGGCAAGCGTCTGCGGCACCGTTTGCCCTAGGTAGCGCGACATGACCAGCATGGACGGCGTCACTACCTGGTGGAAATGATCCGACGTGGGGAATATCGCGCCCACGGCCGTGAGGAGTACCAGGTCACCAGCTTCCAATGCCAGCGGTCTCTTGCTCTCCGTCTGACCCATGGCGTGTCGAAAGGCGTTGGAGATCTCGACGGGGAACATCTTGGATAGAGAGTGAATATGTCGGATGATGGCCTCAAGTACTGAAAACGAAGGCCAGACGTCGGCATCGTAATCGGCGTCGAACGGAGACGAGATGAAGTCGACGAGCGCCACCGTAAAGTTGCCTAAACGCTCCTTGTTCTTGCTGTCGAGTTTTGGGTGGTATAGGGCTCGGATTCGCTGCACGATTGTAGGCAGCGTGTCGACCGGGTATTTCTTTGCCAGCTCCTCGAACTCTTCCTTGGACTGGGGACACGAGAATGTGTAGGGGAGGCCGCTCTCGTCGCCTTCCTTTAGCGCCGACTCCTTTGCAGAGGAGTCCGCCTTGAAAACAGGGTTACGCGACTCCTCCTCGTTCAGTAGGCCCCTCGTAAACTCATCCTCCTCCTCAGCCTCCTCTGCAGAGTCTGATTCATCGTCCTCGGTCGATGCGACGTCGGCGTCGCTATCATCGGCGAGATCGAGGTCGGAGCCACTGGCCACCAAGTCGTCGTCGATGATGAAATCGTCTTCGTCGTCGAAGCCCAACTCGGTGGCCGTTGGCCTTGCCTTGATGCCGCTACCCAGGCCAAAGTCATCCTCCTCGTCCTCGTCCTGGCCATCCTGGCTGTCCGCAACCTTCTTAGCGCCCCGTTTGCCGCCATCCTCGTCGCCATCGCTGTCCGAGACAGACTCGCCCCTCATGCGCTTCTGACGCTTCTCCTCGAGTTCCTTGAGGCGCTTGGACTCGTCCTCTGCCTTCTCCTCCTCCGTCTTGGTACGGTCGGCTGGCTGTGCCCTCTTGTCCTGCGCCAGCTTCTTGACCTCGAGATCAAAGTTCTTCTCGAAGGCGTCACGGGCGACACCACCGATCGTGGTCACGTTCTGGTTCTCAGACGCATCGGGGCGCTTGGATTTGTTCTGCCTCAGTAAAAATTGCAGATCTGGTAGTTCCTGGTCGAGTTCGGCGCGCAGGTCCTCGTCGTCATCCTTGGCCTGCTGCCTCTCGTACTTGTGCGCCTTGGACTTGGCAATAACCTCCTCCATGACCTCCTTCTTCGTCTTTTTGCGCTCGGGCTCGTCGTTTCCAGGCTCAATGGTGCCATCGGCAATCATGGCGCGGACCCTCTTGAGGCGCTGCTGACCCCGCTCGGACGCGTCGCTGTCTTCAGCCTCAAGATCCTCCTCGAAGTCGTCCACCGGCATCTCGTCAAATGTCAGGGATTTTCCCCCGTGGGTCAACCCTTCGAAACCACCGTCCTCACCGTCGTCCTCCAAATCGAACATGGAGTTCTTTTTATGGCTCCTCATCTTCCCGCGAGCGAATCGCTCCAGCATCTTCTCCTCGGGCGTCATGGTGGGGTCGTTTTCACCAAATCGCTGATCGATGATGCCTCCGACCTTGTGGCGGTGTTGCATGTCGAGGAGCAATGTTTGACGGCGCTATTCAACAAGAGAGTCTGTAAGCCTTGGGTTTCCAAACAATCTAGAGTAGAGCGTATGCCAAACAAGGAGATCTCCGTTACCTTTTCCTCGGCGGCCGCCTTGGCCTCTCCCGGTCGCCCCTTGATGGAACTGGTGGTAGGCCGGTTGCTTGTCACCTCGAACTTTGGAGTTTTAGCATGCTTGAGGTCGAAGGGGTTGAACTGCTCGCGAATGCCCTCCATCACGGCACCTCTGTGCATGCGCCGGTCTTGTCGTGCCTTGTCATCTTGGGCGATGCGCTTCTTCTGTTTCTTGGATTGTTGGGGGCCAACAATCCCCTGTTCCCTCAAAGACGCCTTGAGGCGCTTGAGCTGTGATCCGGCCATGGCGGCGGGCTTTTGACCGTCGGTTGTCTGCGGTTTTTGTTGGGTTGAAGAGTTGGCAGGTCTTGATTCGAGTTGCTTTGGCCGTTCGCCTCTGAATTTTCCCGCCAGAAAAAAATCTTTATCGATAAGAAGGTCCGGATTCATAATGCCATACACCATAAGAATGTGGGACCACACTACATACAGTGTGATTAATCCTACCATTTGTCCTTTGCTCGCATTTTAAATGGACAAATGGCGCTAATCCACGTTATGAAGTGTGACGACGGCCGCCGGTAGCTCCTACTTTTATTACAGTGGACAGACAGAAATTCACCAACAAGGGGACAGAGGATGTTCACTCTTCATCTTCATTAGACAACTCCTCGCTTCTAAATTGGCACCATGGTATTATTGTCTGGTCTCTCATCACTCGCCCGAGATGAGAGGGTCATACTAGTCGGCATCGGCCTGGCCACGTTTGGCATCGTGAGCACCATGATGGCGGCCCTTACCATCATCCGCGACGATACTACACTACCGCCATCGCAGCCCAAGGCGCGTTACATCACACAGGAGACAGAGGACTCTCTTGAGGTGGAAACGCTCGAGAGGCTCGTAGATCATCCGAGCTACTCCATCCGCGACGTTTCCATCAAGATCCTCTGTGACCGGGCCATCAACGACCCCGAAGTCATACAGACGTTGCTGTATGGCGTCACGCGCCCCGACTACGATGAACGGATGCGATCGTTACGGGCGCTTGCCCTTCTGACAAGTACGCAATATTATTCTCGCTCACCTTCCTTTCTTCTACTTCCATCTCTAACTACTTGCACAGGTTTCGATGAGTTGTCTATTCTCCATCGACCTCAGACATACTCCGCTCTCGTGAGGTCTCTCGAGCTGAGCCTTGATGATGTTCCACGGCCTAAACTGGATGACCCCCACTGGGACGAGTACTACCTCCGGGACGTAGCCGAGAGGTTCTGCCTCATGTTCCTCCTAGATCTACTGAACAAGAACGACGCCGGTCTGCTCGTCAAGGCCAAGTTTGTCGAGAAGTGGCTAGCCAAGCAGGACTGGGGCGACAGCCCAGCAGAGAGGCGAAAGCTGTTCTCGGAGTACATGGATCATAAGAACAACAGAATTGTTCACATCGTGGGCCGGATCAGACACACCAAGGGCGGTCTCAAGGCACTTCAGAAGGAAGGGCTGATGGACGCAAGCCGCGCTAGGCGCCAGCGACAGGAACTTCCAGATGTCATCATGGAGCTGGAACCCGTGATCCTGCGGGAATCAGTCGAGGTACTGGAGTCGCTGGTCCCTCGGACACGTGAGCAGTCAGTAGAGGAGCAAAGACTTCGCCGCCAACACCGCGAAGCCATGGTCCTGAATGACGGAACGCGACCGTTTGGACGGGAGGACATAATCGAACGAGACCATGACACCATTGACTAGTAGCTTCTATGGACGTTGGATGTCACCAACATACAAGACTGTTGCAGCAACGAAGCAAAAGAACAAGTGCAGTCAACGGTCCCCCTCCCCCAAACCAGATCTAGGCATGGTCAGCACAAACTTAAACACGACCAGAAAGCACAGCTGATCCCTGAGGCATATAGCAAAAGCTCTCGGTCACGATACCCAGCATGTCTTGGGCATAAGGGGGTCTCGATAATCCTGTAATGGAGACGCAAGGTTATGATTCCTGGTATCATGTATACTAGAAGGCGTTGCGGCGTAGCGATATACTCAGGCCGGTCTTTGTACGCTTGGCGACCGGGTGGTCCTACAATAACTAGGTTCACCTGGTCCTCTCTCAGTGAGGCAAATGATTCTTTTATCATCAGCATTGTATTGTATCGAAACGTATCGTAATCAAATGTGGTATAAATACTTATTCTGCCATACGTTCCCTCCACTTTCTCCAGTGTGATGTACGCAATCAATATTATATGGACAGTATCAACCATACGTAGTGAGGCGTCGTTGATGGGGGTCGATGATGCGTCTGAGAGCGACCCACCGACAGTGTTGCTGCTGCTGCTACTGCTGCTACTGGGCTTTTCAGTGGCGACATGACAAGCTGTCACTCACAAGCATCGATCTACCTGTACATATATACCTGTGACGTACAATTACTCAAATACACGCCAACAATCGATCAAACCGTGGTTTTCTTCCATCACGGTTAGAACACTCTCATTATCGCAGACCATTTCCCCCAAGCGGGCCTCCCCTACGGCCGTCCCAGCTCAGAAGATGAGCTCAGCACAAGCCAAGGGTGCAAACGCCCCAGACGATGACGAAGAAGACGACTACATGAACATGAGCTTCGCAGAGCCGGAGCCCACAAAGGAGACATCCATCCAGCGGATACAAAGACTGAAGCGAGAGTCCCGGGCCCGCGGGATGATCAAGTCCAAGGCGGAGCGTGAGGCGGACGAGGCGGCAGCACGGGAGAAGGCGCTGTCGACATCGTTGCTCGACGACCCGCGGGCCAAGAAGAGCAAAGGTCTGGCCATGATGGCCAAGATGGGCTTCTCGGGGGGCTCTCTGGGCGCTCAGAAGCCTTCGGTTGAGCAAGGCCGGACGGAGCCCATCCACGTGAACATCAAGGAGGACAGGGGAGGCATAGGGCTCGACAGCGAGAGGAAGCGCAAGATGCGCGAGGCGGCGGAGGAGCAGGAATCGTCCGGCGGCATCAAGGTGGCCAAGATCGACCCGCTGGAGTACCGGGATCGCGTGAGGCGAGAGCGCGAGGAGGCAAGGCACGAGAAGCAGTTTTACGCGGCGCAGAGGATGGCAGAGCGTCTAGACGACAAGCAGGACTCGCAGGACTCTGAAGATCATTCGGATGACGACGACGACAACGAGAAGAAAGAAGGGGAGGAGAAGAAGAAGGAGAAGCGCCGGCCCTTGGACTCGCGGCCGCTGAAGTCGATACCCGTCATATATCGGGGCCTTGTACGCCACCGCGCCGAGCAGGAGCGCGAACGACGCATGAGGCGTGACCTGGAGCAGTCGCTCTCGCGGCTGCCCACATACGACGACGATGACGAGGACAACGACGACAAGAGGGCCCTAGGGAAGGACAGGGTCGTCTATGTCGAGACGGAGGAGCTCGAGGACGAGGATGAGGAGCTGGACGAGTTCAACGCGCTGAGCTTCGCAGAGAGGCTAGGCAGGGTGCTGGACTATCTGCGTTCTAGTCACCAGTACTGCTTCTGGTGTAAGGCTGGATATCCTGATGGAGAGATGGATGGCTGTCCGGGCTTGACGGAGGAGGATCACGATTGATACAGGCTTCCAGGGCGGGCATGGCTTCCTTAGTCACGTATACCTAGTACGAGTACTTTCACTAGTTGTTCCTCTCTTAGATGAAACGGGCGGTTAGCAATATAAAAAAGGTTACCTCTTCTCGCAGCGTAAGGAGGAATATTATGGGAAGAAAAGGACATCGGAAAATAGCCCAAGGGTGCGATGCGTCGGTGGGCACTGAAAGGCAGCCTAGTCAAGGCCATGTCAGTTCTACACGATCAAAAAGGTCTGGTCAGGGTACTAAGTATACAGATTACAGGTACTCTGGAGATGGCAGTACATCTAAACAATCCAGTCAGAATGCTAGTGGTAATAGTATCACTCTTGTGTTATACCTGATGGAAAATATTCACGTCTACTACAGTAATAGAAAAGGTCATGGGGGCCAGATTGTAGCCGGCACAGGTCAATATTTGGTTAGAATCGGACGCATCAACGAGTCAGACTCTCCACGCAACCAAGTTTCGTTCCTGTTCGCCCAAACACCCCAGTCTCTTTTCCCGCCCTGCCCTTGCTACTCCTAGCCACACACACACATACACATACGAGTACTCCGTATACACTATTACTTGACACGAACCCCTGACCTGACAACAAAATGTACATCCAAAGAATATAAGACGAAAATCCTTCCATGTGACAAAAGAACTATATATATACATACATATATATATATAAAGACACAATGGATCACATCATCATTCTTCGTCGACAGGAACCCTAGCCAAATCGTTGCTCCCTCCCATCCTCCTCGACCGTCGCGAACCCGTCACGAAAGTAACAAAAGAACACAACCGGAGTGAGGCCTCCGTCAAGAGCCCACAACATCCCCCTCCAACCCCCCCCTCCCCCCGGCGCGGCACGCGAGATCGAGAAGGAGGGATCTCTCATCCTTTTAGGGAAAAGAAGGAGATTGCCACGGGAGGTAGAATCAGAGAGAGAGAGAGAGAGAGAGAGAGAGAGAGAGAGAGAAATGGACAATCAAGGTACAGCTCCTCGTGATGGTCCCAGCAAGGGCGTCTGGGTGACAAAGCTGGTTCTGCGCATGGCCGCGGCCGTCAGTGGCATCATCCTCATCGCCCTCACGGGCGCCCTGACGTCCAAGTACCTGACCAAGGCGTCGTACTATTACAGCACGCCGCCCGTGCTTGTCCTGGCGCCCCAGGCGGGCATAGCGTTCGTGTGGGCCATGGTCGACGGCGCCTGCCTGGCCTTCCGGAGGAATCACGAGGGCGTTCATCCCGGCCTAGTCGTGGTCCTCGACCTGCTCCTCTGGCTGGGCCTCATTGCGGGAACTATCCTGTTCAGCTTCATGCACTACGTCTCCGACCCCTATTACTCGGATGACTACTACGACTTTGACGCAGACGACTATGATGAGCTCAGCTGGGTGCACGATGTTGGCAGCGCCGTCTTGGCATTCTGCTGTCTCTCTGTGTATGTCTTCCCCCCCCCTCTCTTCTCTTTTACTCCTTCCCTTCCTTTTCCTTTCTCAATCGTCATCTCCTCTGACATCTGGCATCTGACCTCTTCTCACAGCGTCCTTCACTTCACCCTCTTCATCTTCGCTTGCATCCAGGTCTCCCGTCGCAACCGTCCCCCCCGGATAGTCTACTACGCGGCTCCGATGCCCATGCAGTACCCCATGTACTCCTACCAGCAGCAGCAGAATCCGTATCATCCCCATCCGTACCATCCTCATCAGCAGCACCAGCACCAGCAACCAATGTACGGGTACCCCTCTCCGCAACAGCAACAGCCCGTCTTCATCCCCGCCGGCCAGGTCCCACCTCCAGGATGGATACCCGTCGCATATCCGCCGCCGCCGCCGCCGCCGCCGCCGCCGCCGCAGCAGCAGCAGCAGCAGCAGCAGCATGAACAGCAGGCTGCCGAGAATAATACCCACGGAATTTCTCCTCCAACATCACATTCGCCCCCTTCCCTAGCTCCACGGGAACCTTCTCCGGTAGATGTGCCGCAGCCAGCAAGAGCAGACCCGGGACCGAGTGGGACGGCAAACTAACATGCATCTTTGTACATCTTGTATATATATACCCCCATATCAGTCATCCCATCATAACAGCGAAATGAAATAATAACGATTTTTTTTTAAAAACCATATCGTATGTATAATATATGCTGGACACCAGCTGTGCATTGCAACAAGCAGCAACCCAACTTTTTCCGCCATGTTGTTTTCTTTTGTCTATCCACAATAGCGCCCGATACTCCTCCATGCTACCATCCTACAAACTTGTCCCAACCCATGTCGGAACTGCCGATTCTCCTAATAATGCCCCGTTGATTGTTTTCATGCTCTCCCTCCCCCTGTCGAAAAGTAGCGTGTGGAAAGGCAGGGTTTACCTCTTCTTGCCCTTCCTCTTGTTGGGCTTGCCACCCTGCTGCGCACCGCTCGTCTTGGCCTTGTTGAGCGAGTCGGTGCTCTTATCGAGAATCTCAAAGTCGGAGCTGGCAGAGTCAGAGCCAGGGCTACGCTGTCCTCCCTCCTGCTGCTCGGCCTCCTGCTCGGCCTCGTCCACGACAATGCCTTCGACAGTATCAGAGCTGGCGCCGGAGCTGAAGAGACGACCAAAGGTCGAGCGGACGGCCCACATGGGGACGCGGACAATGGCGGTGTCGGCAAGGGTGGGTCGAGGGAGCTCGTTGGTCTTGTGTGGTCTTTGGTCAGTCTGGGTGTCTTTGGATACGATGGAGGTAGGGAGGAGTGAGAGATTAGAACAGTGTAGGTGGAAACTCACGTCAAGCAGGAATTCGTTGGTGTTGCCCTCGTCGTCCTGGTCCTCAAGGTAGACGTTGCCCAGGGAGTCGACGACGAGGATCTTTCCGTTCTCAGCGACGACCCTCTTGCGGGCGACCTGGGTGCCGGGGGCAGGAGGGGCGAGCTTGGCGGCCTTGCGCGTCTTCTTGCGGCCGTCGTCGCGCTTAGTCTCCTTCTCCTGCATGCGCCTCTGCCTCCTGTTCATGGGCTGGGCGGGGGTGTTCTCATTGTCATTGTCGCCATCAGCAGCGGCGGGGGGGGTGGTGGGTTCGGGCTCCTCGGCGATGCCGGGGATCATGCCGCTGCCCCAGGCAGAGTCGCGGGCGAACTTGATGTAGCGGTCGACGAACTCGGACTGGCGCCTCCAGCTCATGTACAGGACGAGGTAGTGGATGGCGCCGCCGCAGAGGAGGACGACACCGGCGACGGCGGTGCCCAGACCCGGGCGGTACCGGTTGTAGTAGTAGTCGGTGCCCTTCCAGAGGGGAAACCCGTTAGCGAGGAAGTAGTCGTAGCGGTCGCGCTCCGGGCTGCGGAGGATGTTGGCGATGAGCGAGAGGCGGGCCTGGGCCTCGGAGGCCTTCTTGACCGCAGCGTTGATCGCGGCCTGCGACGGCTTCTTCTTCTTGGCCGCGGCCGCGTCGTCACCCGCACCGGCGGCGGCGTTCTTAGCGTCCTTGAGCATCGACTGCTTCACCTTGTCCGGGTGGAGGGATCGGGATCGCAGACGATAGGCCTTTGTGATTTCGTCGTGCGACGCGGACCGGCCAACGCCGAGGATGTCGTAGAACGTGGACGAAGGGTCGGACTCGTGAGCCGTGATTTCATCGCGGATGCGAAAGATTTCACGGTCTGTATTGGGAAAAGACAGGGCAACCGGTCAGTAAACACCGAGGCATGGGCGGGAGCAGTTGATTAGGCGGTAATATCGCCAGTCAATAGCACTATTCACATTACCTTCTTTGCTCCATGCTGCCGTCAACGGACTCAGGAGAGCCAACAGACCAATGGAGAGGTACGAGACCTTCATGGTTGCCACCTTTTGGGCTTCCTTCTTAAACAAGGGCGAATGAATGAACGAAAGGGAGAGGAGGGGGTGGATGGAAGAAAGAAGGGAGCAAGAAAAAAAACAAAAGAAATGGAAGCCCAATAGGTAAAGGATGATCCTTCTTGGTGCTAATAGAAACAACCACTGTGACTGGGCAGCCAATGCTGTATCAATCTTGGGACAGCTCAGAGGCCAGATTTGCAGTTATTAGGGGACTTTTTTTTCCGCCTCTCCGTATATTTCTTTCCTTGACAACTGACAACGGGGTCCTATGGGGAGAGAGCAAAGAGGGTCCCCCTCATGTCGATTTTGGAAGGCAGAGCGCTGTAAAGGGAGAGTCTTTTGACCCTATAAATTCTACTCAGAGGGCGCACGGGCACTCTCCATATCCAGTAGCTAGTAGCTAGTAGGTACGAAGGGTGGTAGTTATAGTGCGTGCTATAGCAAGTGGCTGGGCCATGACTTCCATATGACGAGCGGTTGTGTATGTACAGAGTGAATCGGTTGGTACCATGATGGAATCGATCGCAGTAATCTGTACAGTGACACTAGTAACGTGATGGTTCGAAGAATGTCGGAACATGAATATTAGTCAATACCTGGGGATACCACTACAGGCATTATTGAGAGAGGAATGGAGGATGATGGAGAGCAGGTTGGAACGGCTAATACCTATATGTACCTGATATACTCACATGAAAATCAGCAAACAGAAAGCAATTTGGCGCAGTGGAAGCGCGCCGGGCTCATAACCCGGAGGTCCTACGATCGAAACGTAGAATTGCTAGTTTCTTTCTTTTTTTTTTCAGTCTTTTGTGCTCCTTGATTAGTCATTGCTGTATCACATCACTGCACTCTCCCCACACCAACACCAGTCATTGGGTTTGAGTTTCTATGGGAGATATTATTCGTACAAATACGGACTACTATTATTCCGAATTGCTGCTAGTCCTCCATTGATCAGCATCTCGTACTCTGATAATGACTGATAGTCTCCTTCAGGCTTCATGGTTCAATGCTGTATAACCCACCCATTTGGCGTTGCTAGTGGTAGAATCGGCTGCTACCTGTACTACCAGGGCCAGTGTAATAGTGTAATGCTCCTGCTGGTATTATGACAGTCTACTGCTGTATGTCTCTCAAGTCATGCAGCCCAAGACGTTCTCTCTGCCACTGGTCACAGTGCATTCAAGTGAATACAACCAGCTCACTCCAATTATTACTCACAACAAATGTGCAACCCGCTTTGACGTTTCAACTCCTCACAAGAAAGTCACCTCTCATCAATACTCCATCAATTGTACGTCCGAGTCTTTTCCGGTGTACCGCCTAACCCGCCAACACTCTCCAGTCTTCTCTCACACACACACAAAAAAAATCCTTCAACGAATGCACATAAATTACCAAACGCACATAACAAAGTCAAAACCAGGGAAATAATGGCAACTAGAACCAGAAATTGATCAAGAATAAAACAAAAAGTCAAACGACATGACCAGTCAGTCACGGCGCTGGGCACACACACATGACTGCACATGTGGGCGATGACTCTCTATCTCTCTCGGTGACTCGGTACATTGAGGCTTCACAGCATCAAGAAGGATTCGGACTCGGCGGCCGTGGCAGCCTCGAATACGAGGCAGACAAAGCGTCACAGACGAGGCCAGAAGGGCAATCGAGCGACCGAGAATCGATCTGTTAATACTACAAAGATGACTGGTTGGCAGCAGTACATACTCGTACATGTGTGCGTGGGTCAAGAGTGTGCGTTTTGCGTGTGCGTTGGCCCCCCAGTTCATGCGCCTCACAACTCACTCACAGGAGAGCAGTCAGAGGGGCCTGCAGAACGGGCAGACGGACAGGCAAGAGACAGGAATATACATGTACCAGCTTCTTAGGTCCAGGGACGCAGAAGGGACCACCACCTCTGTTATTAGATGATTCCCGAGGACCGAGGACCCAGACGTATCACGTATGGATAGTACACACACACGCACGCACGCACACAACACCCCTGGCTCCGTTTGCCTGCCAAAGGCTGCCATCGCCTGCCACATGCACATTGATGGGTCCCTCCCCTTCGTCCACGGTTTCGCTCTGACTCTTTCTTTCACCCTATGATCTGTCCAACGGGCATCAGACCCCACGATCGGGAGAGGACGGTGGACCGGAGCAGACGAACTCGGAGTCGACGAGGCGTCGAGAGTCGAATACGGCAGCGCCCAGCAAGGACACAGAAGCCCCCATTACATATATATTGTGCTCCGTAGTAGCATAGGCCTTGCATTCTCACTAGTACGACATGATGGGCTGTGGGTTATGAAGGGGAGGGGAGGGGGGGGGAGGGGGCTTGTCGTAGAGGCCAATGGTTGTTGGACAGGAATTCCATCTGTGTGATCCCTGCTTTTGCCTATTCTTCCTCTCTGCTTGCTTTGCTTAGCTGCTGTCGGCAGTCCACTTTGGTCAAAACGCCAGCCACTCCAATTTTACGGTGAAGGACCGTGGACCCGAGCCCCGCCTCCTTGCTTTTGTGCGAGTGCAGGTTGATGCAGCTAAATGATTCTTTCTTGCATCTCTCGTCGATTCCATTTTTTTTCTCACCTCTCTTGATCTTTTCTTCGTTCTATAACAGCTCCCATATTTAGTTGTTTTTTTTCTCTCTATTCTCTTCCTCTTCTTCTTTTCATTCTATCTTGTTCAATTGAAACGGAGTATATTGCTCTTATCCACTTCCCCGTCAAAACTTCAATTTCACTCCGCTCCTCCTCCTATAAATACCCCTGCCCCCGTTTTCTCCTCCTTTTTGTTAACGAATAAAAGATTAAAACGACATATTATATCAATTCGCTCTGATATTGCCTCTTTTTGTTACCACTCAATTTTACGGAGCATATCCCCTTGTCCCTACCAACTTCAATTTACCTCAGAAAGTGACAGTGCGGGGAGGGGCACACGCAATTACATCGTAAACTATACAGCACAACGCCTACATACACAACACAAGACACAAAAGGCACGGACACAATGGGAAGCTTCCTAGATGCATTCGGGGACGGCGTCTCCGTCCACGACGGCGGCATCAGCCGGCCCAAGCGTCACCGCTCCCGCTCGCGCGTGTCCCACCGTCACCACAAGACCTCCACCACCAAGCGATCGCGTTCCCGCTCATCCTCTCGCGGCCGCAAGCGTGGTCTGACCTCGTCGACGTCCGGCCTGGGCGCCGGCCTGTCCTACCTCCTCGAGGACGACAAGGACAGCCACAAGCGGTACTCGAAGCACAACGCTTCCCGCGGGTCCCTCCTCGATACCTTCGGCCTCGGGAGCAGCGCGGGCGGAGGGCACCAGCACAACGACGGCGGCAACCACAAGCGCTACTCCAAGCACAGCAACGCCTCCCGCGGCTCCTTGCTGGACACGATCGGCCAGGGCCTCGGGTTCGGGGCCGGCGGTGACGACTCGAACCGGCTGGGCCACCACCACAACCAGAGCCGGTCGAGTTTCTTCGGACTTGGCTCGTCCCGGCCGTCGTACTATAAGCGGTCGTCGCGCCAGGGCTACGTTCACCGCGCGTACAAGCGCCTCAAGAAGCTGCTGCGTGACCTGGCCCGCTGGGCCAAGCGCCACCCCTGGAAGGTCTTCTTCATGGTCATCATGCCGCTCGTCACCGGCGGCGCCCTGACCGCCCTGCTCGCCCGCTTCGGCCTGCGCGTGCCCCGCTCCCTCGAGCGCCTCATCGGCGCCGCCTCAAAGGTCTACATGGGCAACCCGTCCGGCGCCTTCGGTGACGCCGTCCGCATCGCCGGCGATTTCTCCGGCTCGGGAGGGGGGGCATCCAGCAGCCGCCCCTCCGCCGCCGCCGCCGCCGCCGCCGCCCGCCCAGCCGCGGGGAGCATCGGGGGCTCGCTCCGCCGCGAGTACTACAACCCGCCGCCCGTCTCGGGCGCCTACGGCTCCGGCCCGGGCGGCTACGGGTACAGGAGCGCCTCGCCCATGTACTACAACGACCTCGCCTACGGGCAGTCGCGCGATACATACTCCGGTGGCGGCGGTGGATCCGGTGCCTGGGAGACGGCCGCCAATGGCATTGCCAAGTTGTTCATCTAGCTCTTCACCCCTGTTCCTTCCTGACCCTTCTTCTTTCTGTCTTCGTCCCCTCTTCAAATCCTTTTTTCTTGTCTTTGCTTTGTTTTTCCCGTAAGATCAGGTTTTTCATGCGCGACAAAAAGGGGAATGGTTTTGGATTTCTAGGTTAGAAAAAGCCAACTCGGGGTGTTACGGTGTTTTCCTTTCGCTGGCTCCTTCTTTTCTCAGTACTTTTCATTCTGTCGATTCCCCGTCATATCGAGAGACCCTTTCTTGTTCCCTCTCCAATTTCCAATTTTCCTTTGTATGTCTGCAGTCTATACACGTCCTCACTCTTTCAATTTCAGTCACGCCCCAGAACTACTAGTAACAGCTAGATTTTATACACAAATTTATTCACTGTATGGACACTACTTGTGACATTTCGCCTCGACATTTATTGCGCACCTACCTGTGTCTCGGCCCTTAGCAGGGATCCTCCTCGCTACGCTCGTTATTCAATTGAAAAAAAGTCAAGATACATCGTGGCAATTATCATTCAGTGGTCTAATGTAAGAGAAAAGCTGAAGTAGAGCCGACCAGATCGAAACATTGAAAAGGAAACAAGTGAGTGTAGAAATGAGAGAAACGAAAAGTTCGAGTTATCTGTGCAAAAGGTTTCTTTCTTCTTTTCTGTCTGCCCCTTGACATTACCATGGCACTAAATATTCAGATATCGGTGACACTACAATTGTAACACTGTGTGTGAAAAAAAGAAAGAGGGTGACAGAGATATCCTACTAAGGCGGTAACATCACGAGGGTGATAAACAAAACAAAACAAAAAAATAGAGGGATGAATATATACCCATATGTCAATCATGCCTTCATCAAACGCCAATTCCCAAACCGAACATGGTGGGGAGAAGATAGGATAGTAGAGAAGGAAAAAAAACGCAAATTACCACTCCCGTCCAGATCATGACGACGCATTAGTGCCTTTGGTCTTCCAAAACTGGACAAATCGTCCGAGACGATTGCCTTTTCTGCGGTGCTTCTTGCCGTCCGTTGCCCCTCCCTCAGTCTCCATCGGTACCTCCATCGAGAGCTTGCTCCTTTCGCCGTGAGAGCTGCTGATCATACGGCTAATGCTAGCGAGACTAGACCTGCGCCTGCCAAAAGCCGCCGATGACACCGACAGCGGCCGCGGCTCATGAGGTCGCGGGAGTGACATGCGTGCCTGGGGCGTGAAGCTGCTGTCGCGCGTCGTCGCCGATGTGCTAGATGTGAGCGATGGGATATCGTAGTCCACTGACAGGCGCACCTCGGGTCCGGGCTCGCCCATCAGAAGCGACTGGAAGCTGTTGTCCTCGTTGACAGACGAGGGTGCCGTCGACAATCGTTGCGTGTCGGCTGACATGGGTGACCGGGGAGACGACGCGAAGCTCATAGAGTAGGGGCTGATGGGTGTGCTGCCCGAGGGTCCGAGTGAGACTTGGTGCGGGAGCCCGAGTTCCATAGAGGGTGGTGGCGGCTCCCTCTTCGACATGCTGCGCGGGGACTGGCGTGGCGAGACGGACACATCTGAGCTGGCGGGAGCCAGGCCAGTTGTAGCACCTGGCTCCTCCGCAATCACACTCTCCTGGAGAGACCCTCCAGAACGCTGGGCACGGATAGACTGCAGGGTGAGCGGGTCCCTGTCGCTGACCCCCGAGCTCTTTCGACGATGCATCATGGGTGGGAGTTCCAGCGGGGTCACCGCCGGGGGCGTCGCATCGCCGTCAGAGTCTGTCTCCCACATGGCTTGGGACCCAGAGCCGCGCCTCCCGTGGTCCTCCTCCTCTTCCTCTTCCTCGAATACGTCAGCCATGGTGGAGCTGCTGCCGTATCGGCTAATGGCAGCCCTACTCATGTCGAAGGGCGGGAGATTCGGTGCGGATTCGGCCCTCCTGTGGTAGTGCATACCTGGGCCGGTGAATCCACGCATGCCTTGGGCGCTGTGCAGACGGCGGCGGCCGGCAGTTCCGGCCGCGTGCTGTGCCGCGTCCCATTCGGCGTTGCGGGGGAGAGGTGTGTTGAAGGGGCCGAGGGCGGCGTCCAGGTCGATCATGGGAGACGACAAGTCATCGACGGTCCACTTTCGCGGCGGAAGATCGGGCGACTCAGTGATGGTGACGGTGGGGGTAACGGGCTGAGGATGAGGCGGGGGTGAGGATAGAGTCTCGGCATCCGGGACTTGTTCGTCCTCATCCTCGTCGGGCGGAATGCCTGACGCAGGAGGTGTGGGCGGACGGACCGAGTATTTTGACCTCTTAGGAATGCGGGGGAGGATAGAGCCGGCCCAGCCCTTGACCATTTTGCGCCTCTTATTCTTCTTGCTGCGGCTCGGCTTGGATTCGTCCTGAGATTCCGAGTGTTCCGACGACGAGCCTGTAGGAAAGCGGGTGGCCGAGTCCACTGAGCCTGAGCTCGAGGGGCGTGACCGAGAGTGAGTGACGTGGTGGTTAGAGAAGTGATCGAGTCCGAAGAAGGTCCAGCGCTTGGACTTCGTGGGGCTGGGTTCGGGCGAGCTGACGTCTGCCGATCCGCCCAAGACGACGAGTGCGGGGATCGAGTTCCTTCGTCGGGGGTACAAATCGGGTTCTTCTGCCTGCGCCGTCGGGGTGCGCTCAAGGATGGCCCCGGCCGTGCTAGGTCGCGAGGTGGCACGGTAGGAGGATCCGGAGCTTGTAGTATGAGAAGGGGGCGGTCCCGGGCTGTCCCTGCCCGTAGGCGCCGTCACAAAGGACGAGACACTGCCCGATACGCTGTGGCCGGGCCTGACGGTGACGGTGCTCGACGTATCCGTGGACACAAGTGATAAGGGTCGAGGAATGTATTCGAGGGTATCGGAGAAACCGACTCGGGCCCTAGAGGTAGACGTTATGGCTGGCTCGCTAGGCTCATTGGCGGGCTGCTGGGGCTCGGGTTCAGTCTCGGCGCCACATTCGAAGACGGGGGTCTTGGGCACCTCCAGAAGTTGGGTATCAGTTGCCCGGTCGAAGTTGGTTGGCGACGTGGGAGCGCTTCCGCCAAAGCTGAAGCTGGGGTTGGGAAGCGGGAGGTTGAGGTCGCTTATAGACAAGGCGGCACTCGACACGCCACGTCGGTGTCCTCTGCGTCGTGGTTGCTGGGGGGTATTGTTGGGCACGTTGACCAGGTCTCCGTCAGCCTCGAGCCTAGTCGGGCTACCACTAATGACGGCAATCGAGTTACCCTCTCGGATCCTACCACCGACGAACTCACTCCCACCTCTACGATGGCCATGACCTGTCGGCCTGGGGGTAGAGACAGAAGAGGTGACGAAGTGCGACGCCCTGGGAGGGCTGAGACAGTCATCCTGGGGCTCGGAAGGAAGGGTGGCGCCGGGGTTGAAGCTGAACTGAGGTAGAGCGGCTCGCGTCTCGGCCCTCTCAGCGGCCAGCTTGTAGGATTGAAAATTGCCCTCAATGGCAGATACGGGACGACGCTTGGCGGGACGGTAGGGCTCGGGCTTGGACTTGAGCTCATCACCGGAGTCGGAGCGAGCAGGAAAGGAGAAGGAGGGAGTTGGCGGAGGAGCAGTACGAGGCTCCTGTGCGAGATGTTGGCCTCCTGGGGTGCCGAAGGAGTCGGGATCCATGGTGTGGAGCAGAGTAGCAGCAGGTACCAGTTCAGGGCTAAAGGCAGTGGCCATGGTTGCGGCGATTATCCTCCAGCCGCACAGCAGCACTTCAACAACTGGACGGTGGGTTGACCTGGTGAATCATAGGGAGGCTCGGAACGAGAGCGGCGTCGAAATGTTGCTTCAGGTTGCGAGCGAAGAGGCGTCCGTGGTGCCGGCCTATGGGTGTTTTGCGGGGGAGGAAGCGTGAGGTCGGTTCTCTCGTTCGGACCGCGAATGGGTTCTTGAAGACAATATATGACCATATGCTGTTTGTTATTGTGAGCGCATGGCTCTCTGGTGGAAACCCCTCGAGAGAAAAGGAGGGGAGGGGATGTTGTTGATGGCTTCAACAACGCACCTGTAGAAGGCAAAAGCGCAAAGAAATCAGGAAAAAAAAAAAAGAAGGCGAGCAAGTAAAAGGGGTGAGAAGATGTTAAAAAAGGAGTGGACGGTCACGAAACAGCAACCAACTCTTCTCGAGAAAGAGGGCAGCTAGAATCGCACCAGGCGTTTGAGAGGCAAGAAAAAAAAAAAAGGGAAGGAGAGAAAGAAAACGAGAGAGAAGCACGCACACGGGCGGCAAGAGATGGATTGAAGAGTTGGCGTTTTGAAGATGGAGATGGGAGGACGGGGGGTGCGGCCAGGAAGAGGAACGGGGCAAAGGCAGGCATCGAAGGTGAAATGGGGTGGAACCTGAACAACTGGGACGTGGTAACTGGCCACGGACGGCCAAGTACGAGCCTGCGAGGGGAGAGTGAGTAACCACAAGAAGACAAGGTACAAGGTACGAATATACGATATTATTACTCCGTACGAGTACAGCAATGCCCACATGTCCACATGTACATGTACGGGGTACCTGATGACTACCTCAACAGAGCACTACACGATAGGTACAGGATTCAACGTCGTCACTGACCAGGTCAGATTAAAAAAGGTCAGAGTCAAAGAAAAAAAAATTATAATAAAAATAATAATAAAACCGGGTCCAGCTCAGGGCCCCAGAGCAAAAACCAGGAAGACCAGGAAGACCGGGGCAGAGTACAAGGGTGGAGCATCTTGTGGGGGTGAAGCTACACGGGACCATTGGAGAGAGGGAAAAGAGGGAAAGAGGGCGGAGGGACTGTGCGTCTGTGCGGGCAAAGGTCCAGCGCTACGGCGATGACTACTCGTACTATGATAGTACGGAGTATCTCTACTCGTAGTCCTCCTGTTCTCGGCATTACCACGTACGGCGGATTACAGAATTGGCTGTGCCGTAGCGTAGATTGACGTTAGGTATGGAAGCAGACAGATACGTACGAATATCTCTAGAGTTTAACGCTGCGCCCGTTGATGGGATTATTACAGTCACTCATACTCACTTGCAGTCCAGCTCATGCTACGTACTCGTACGGTACTACGACTACGACTACTCATAGAGAGACTACTCAGAGGGAGAGTGTTATTTGCCGAGCAGCATCCATTGATACGACTCGGAGTGCATGTAATACTGTACCGTGCAGCAACAATCAGCTCCCCTCATCATCCTCGTACTCGTACTCGTCAGCGACCCTCCAAGGCGGCTGTGCCTGGCCCCCCCCCCCCCCCCCCCCCCCCCCTAGGAAATTGGCCCAGCGCCCAGGTTAATTCTAGTCCGGGCGGGCTTGAACTATTACAGGGAGATACGGTACGAGTACAGATTGCAGCTATCGACTAAAGTACTATAATATGTACATACTCGTATACTGCAATTTTTATTATCCCATCACGGGCTGGCAGCAGCGGGTCGGATACGGAGCATAAAAATACCTACATGCAGTGACCTACAGCAGGCAACTGCACTGTAACTGTATTGCATCCGGTGCATCACCACCAACTTACCAACGGGTTTTCGGGTACGGTACCGGTGCTAGCAGTTATCAAGTGATAAATTTACCATGTAAAAGTACTCATACATGTACTCGTAGCAATAGTAGTATCAATATATACCGTACGTGCTGTACGGAATACTATTATTACCTGTATTTTACTAATCTGTACAGATTACTGTATCACGGATCACGGATCACGGACCACAGACTGCCAGAATGCACAATCTCTCTGCACCAACAGCACACAGTATTTATGCATCATCTGCTTCGAGCCTTCTCCACGCCATCGCCACCGTCCCAGGATGCCCACCCGCCTGCCGAGCCAGTTCACTGCGAATACTGTATGTACCTGTACTCGTACTCGTACCTGCAGGCCATAATATCTAGGCTCATACTCACCTGTCATAGATATCATACTCGCACGTCCACACGGCTGTCCAGAAATGGCGAGCAACACGGCTCTCCCGGGTTCATCAATCATCATCCCTGTCCTGCCAGATCGTGGACCGAGACAACTCACGCACACTCGAGAAGAATCAGAATCACACACTCGCACAAGACACTTATCAGACAATGGGGGTATCACGACTACACACGCGCGCACGCGCACGACAGCAGCTATCACGTCGCACTCGCACACAAGCACATTTTCGAGTCCCGCAGCGCCACATGGGTAGGGTTGTCGGACGGTCATCGTCTAGTAAGAGGGAGAGCGTCAAGGAGGAGGAGGAGGGGGAGAGTCAAGTCTTCGCCTCAACAGCCACCAAGGACGAGATACCGCCTGTAGTCTGTAGACATGTCGTGCTCAAGAATTCAAAACGTACACCAATAACCGCGGGTTTCGGATATCCCATGACGGCCGTCCCGTCTCGCCCGCCCTTCCGTCCGCAGATGGCCAGGCCATATATTGCAGATCTCATACTATTTATTCCGTACTTGAGCAGGTATAGCTACAGTCTGCGAGTACAGTCTACTAGCCTTTATCTATATCTATACTCGTACGGGTACAGGTAGGCAGGTAGATGGCGGTCTTATACGGAGCACAAGAGATATTAAGCCGTTTGACTTCTCAGAGCGAATAAATCTGACACCTCGACGCACACAACAACAAACGGCCACACCCAACTAGTGACCACGCAACGCAAGGGCCCCCCCCCCCCCCACCGCTCCCCTGCGCAGTTTCACCGACGCCATGCAGCCGACATGGCTTGCTTGGGCTGCTAGGCCAGGCCCTCCTCTCCTCCTCTCCTGATGAATGGCCTGCAGGGTTTAGATAGGGAGGGGACAGACGGGACCAACCAATTCGTCTGGTTGCCAGCCGCCAGTTCGTACGGTACGATGTAACGGATGGGCAGCGTTGCTGATTTGGCCGGACCCAGGTAAGAGATAGAGTCCACACGCACCCGCTCACGGCGCCCATGACCCCCTTTTTTTTCCCTCAACCCGAGTACGTACCGAGTGTACATGCGCAGGTAGACTGCACCGCACCGCACAGGGTGTCGTTGTCGCTAATCAAAGGTACGAGTAGCCGTAGTAATAATACTCGTGGTGGTGGTAATTAATACTGCGCGTTGATACCTGCCTACAAGTAATACTCTCCTTACTGCTGCTATCCCTACAGATCATCAGTCAGTCTCCTACGGCCCAATATCGCGACCAGAGTACGACAAGGTGGAGAGGGGATAGCACGGGGCTGGGTCTCCCCCTCCCCTCTGCCCCTCTCCTTCCCATGCGTCCATCTTGTTGTGTTCCTGTGCCAGTGCGCCTAGTTAGGATTCGTATCGTTTGTTTATTTATTACCTGTAGGCTGGTGCATCGCTAGCGTCTACGTGAGGTAAATCTGATAATAGCGATTTCTACCTCGTACCCGAGGCCCGTTGGCTGGCCATCAGGTCATCATACAGTCATCTGCACTATCTGCTACTGCATATCACCTAGTCAGTTTCAGCCGTAACACGGCATGCTCGTCTTGTGATGCCGCAAGTGGACTGGCCGCCATGCATCCAACTGAGCTGGTAATAAGCACGAGTAAACGAGTACGGTGTGTTGATATCGTCTTTTTTTTCTCCTCGTCTTCTTGTTCCGTATCATCATGCCCCTCTACGTTCCGTCCTCGTTGATACCACTACTACTCGAAACCATGGCATTTCATCTCGTAGGCCTCGCCCGGGACCCAATTGGCAATCAGCATCATCATGGCACAGTAATAGTGGCCGATACTATACATACACACTACACGTACTATTGAATGAATAATCTCCGCACATAGGTCACCAGTCGTTTTGGCGATATTAGCACCATCTCATCCCCATTTTCTTGTTTCTATTATTACTACCATGACGATTCTGGTAAACGCTTGCTGGCATTATAACTCGGTAGTTGTACACGTACTCCATCAACTCCCTAGTCGTCTTGTTTATCACTCCATAACGACGCAGACTATATGAGAAAGGAAGAAGAAAAGTGACGACAATCAACCAATGGTTCAATCATGATGCCGCACTAGTAGCTGTCGAGCTGACTGTCGTCATTTGTTGTTTACCTCGACCGACTCACTTTATGCCATGGCAACCAGGACAGCGAGAAGCGAGACTGCTAGTTAGTAGTACGCATTCGAGAAGAGGAGCGAAAGAAAACGAGGAAAGAGAACTGTCTTAGTATCATCATGTTCCGTCACACCGCAGATTTCAGACCTGTTGCGCATGTACACTTGTGGGTCAGATAGCCTTGTACGAGTATGTCTTTCGCCATAATCCCTGATTTTACTCTTCGTCCGCTTATCTGTTTGCTCTTGAGAAAAAGCTCCCTTCAATATGCCATCTTTGTAATTACGTCGTGGCCTGGCCCCCGGGTAGTATTACCTATACTCCGTAGAGTGTACGAGTACTGATAATCCAGATCTGGGGGTTAAGGCTATGCTTCTTACCGCTAGCATACCCTTGTCCATGTCTTCTTCTCCCGTGCATTATTACGGATACGTTGTAACACGGAGAGTTATTGTCATTATACTATTACTCGTACTGATCCGTTTCTTTATTGCCATCTTCATTATTGTTGGTACGGACTTGGCACCGGGCGGTGCACCTTGCCAATTCAGCGAGCCGAATCCGAGGCTGGAGATGATTGTACTCGTACAGGTCTTTGGGACCGCTAACTCTGTACATTAACAGTCCACACGTATTGATGCATGTTTGTTCAATGTATTCAAGCTAATCTCCCACGCTGTAATAGGAAAGAGGAAAGAATCAAGTGAAGAAGGGAAAGAGAGTGTTCTTATTCTTCTCGTCCCGAGATTGCCTCTTCCGAAAAGAGCAGACGTACTCGTGCGCGAGTATATATATAGATTACGCAGTCCGACGCTACTGCACTTACAAACCTACTGGTCAATAAGTAATGACAGTGCAGGTAGTATTAGATGGCTGTTTGTGCTATTAAGCCGTACGTGATCTGGTCCTCAATACCCCAGCCATCACCCATTAACCCTGCCTTGCGACACGCACACACACACACGCACACAAGAGGTAGATAGACCCCTGATGACCCGATGGGAGCCCGGGGCCGACTCTGTCCCCCAAGACTCCCAAGGGCTTGCAGGCGGCTGTCACCGTGCGGCTTGTCGATCAATTTCTCTTTCCGGAGTCGCCTACCTCATGTTGGCTCTCTCACTGCGTCCGATGCATCTGCAGGAGCCAGGAGCCAGGAGCCTGTCGACCTGTACAACCACGGCTTATTACTCCGTATTATCTATATGTATCCTATCGCAGATGCTCCAACACCCAATTCTAAGTGGTTCATTTTGCTTGTTTCCAAAATAATGGTGTGCAGCTTCCGCATGGTTGCCAGAGTAGCATAGTAGCATACACCACCTACATGAGTCTGCGTCTCGTGAAATGCTTTTTTTCACTACCAATAATACTAACTGTAATCTATACTCACAAGTAATACTAGCATTGCCGGGTACGCCTCGTACTCCCTGGCAAATGCACGTGCGTACTTGCGTACTGTGGTAGTGAGCCCATACTACTCTCCTCAGACCTTCCATACTTGTTCTACGTAAGTGCGCGAGCAGTTGAGGTTACGATATTGCGACATACATATGAAATAACGCACGTGATAATCACTGCTACATACATACTCCGTACACGTAAACCAATATAATACATGTACTCCGTAGGCCCGGAGTTATCAACAAAGACCAGATAAAAATAACAGCAGGATTGCGATCTCACTCACAAAGTAAACAACAAGGCTGTGTTGCGACGGCCGATTCCGTACAATGTCATCATAGTTCGAGGTAGCCGAGGAGCCACGAACCCATCGTGACCAGGACTAGTCAGGGGGGGGAGGAGGGCCTTGAGGCTTGTCCACACTTGTAGGTCCCACTGTGTCTTGTTTCTTTTTTCTTTTTTTTTTTGCTCAGCTTTTCCTCCGGATTAAAAAACATCGTCTCTGTACCTGTATTTTAGTGTTGACGTACGGACTATTAATACTACTCCTGGCTATAAAATCGTTATAATACAATACAGCTTACTCGTACGAATATGCAGCTGCCCTTCTATCGTTAGTCTCCTCTTTTCTTTTTCTCGTCTCCCCTCGCACCAACACTTGCAACTCAGCTGCTTCTTCCATCATCCCTTCTCTTGTTATTCCCTTTTTGCATCTCTCTCCTTGTTGGTTTCTTTTCTTGGAGGGGGTGCGGCAAACACTCACGGTTCAATCAACGCGTCTCACGTCAATTTAACAGTGAATCTTACTGTATCAAAACCCACCAACGACATTCTCATTGTTACTACCAGTTATCATACAGGCTATTCTCTGGTAACAGGTAGCGGTGATGCTAGGCGTACGGTAAGTTGCTGGTTTGCTTCATGGCTTTCATGCCCTTGAAGACTATTAATTAATCATCCTGCCCCGTATTTGGAGCTAAATAAGTTGAAGTCCGGCAACTCAAACCCAGTACACACGAGATCCTAGACAGCCGGGATACTACGAGTACGTACAATTATTACATACTAAACGGTAACGCGGTCAATCTCGCTATCCTACGAGCATGTAGGAGTACTCGCGTATAGTGTTGCGCTGTACGAGTACTTGACAACTCGATCATTGCCAGCGAAACTTGTCTCGCCGGAACGTGAGGAATTATTGCCAAAGAGATTTCTGCGACCTCGCGTAACATCGCCATTCGTGTCGTGCCCTTGGGCCACCCTTTCCGCCTTGTCTGGGTTGCCATGCGTGCCTGAGACCGGCAAGATGATGATGGTTTCATAACAGGTTTCCTCTTGCCCCTTTGAAAAAGGGCTGGGCACATTGCGCGGTCACGTCCCCGACATACGGGTATTACAGTGATACATGTACATGTCCAGATCTGTAGTACATGTAGTCCTTTCAGCGGTCAATTACTCTCTCAATGTCACGCACACACATAAACTCCGATTACATTGCATCATGGTAGAGTCATAAGCCATTCAATGGCAATAGTCACAACTTGGGATCGAGCTGTGAGTACAGGTTAGTATTATTGCAATGTATCACACTAATAACGCTACTACGACGTAATATTAGTGGTAGTAATATGGATGGGATTACTCCCCAATCCTGTTGATGGAAGCCCCCTGGAACTAGAATCCATGTCCATAGTTGCGACTACAATGACGCGCGTTTTCCCCTGTTATCAGACCGGCAATATTAGCATTGCTGATCGCAGACCAGGTTGCTCGTAAGTTGACTTGTGTGCACCTGTGAAGTTAGGGAATAATTGCAGTTTCAGAAGAAGAATAAAAGGAGAGGGAAAAGGAGTACGATTAGATCCATCGACAGCAATCACCGTTGAAGTTGGCGTTGATTCATTATTCCTGGACTCCTGGAATCTACGAGTACGATGTGAATACCGAGCATTATTCAGTACCCAGGGTAAAAGGATAGAATCTACCGACCAGCAACCCGGCGACAAGTGCGAAACTCTTAAGTACTGGAGTCTAGCGCTGCAATAGTGAAGGTAATACAGGTACCGATTACAGATGTACAGATAAGATGGACCCCTAATTTGCCACTGAGCAGCAGCGCCACGCAGCCAACTCTTCTTCCCAAGCCACAGAATCTTAGTACCTGCACTGGAAGTTGCTCACCGCCCGACTTTAGTATTCCCCACCAAGATTTTTGGGCGGCAGAAAATTTCCGGCATGATTTTTTCCATCCGCCGCCATTACCTCGTGCTTCGGCTCAGTGGAATCGAATTGTCCTAACAGCATCACACGATATCATCACCTTGTCGTATCCACTCTATAGGAACACACCCTACAAGGAAAATAACAAGAACATGGCTCCTGAGGCCGTTGAAGTGGAGAAGCCCACAAAGAAGCTGGGCATGCGAAAAAATGGTTCGTGATGCCGTCGACTCCGAAAGGGAGGGGGGTGTTTTTTTCTTCAGAACAGGGACACACTGATTGACGAATTCAAATACAGGCCAGCACTGGATCGCCCCCAAAAAGGCCTTTCGCCCTACCGCTGGCCTCTCCTCGTACGAAAAGCGAGTCAAGGAGCGCGCTGCCATGGCGCAGATGAAGGCCAAGGAGAAGGAGCTGAAAGATGAGAAAGAGCAGGCGCGCAAGGTAAAGAATCATCCTTGCCCCTTTTATTCCTTCTCTTTCTCCTTCTGTCGAACAATCTTTCCCCTGACAAATGAAACAGGACAAGATCACTGCCATTAAAGAGAAGCGCGCGAAAAAGGAAGAAAAGGAGCGGTACGAGGAGCTAGCTGCCAAAATGCACAAAAAGCGCGTGGAGAGGCTCAAGCGCAAAGAGAAGAGGAACAAGCTCATCAACTCGTGATGATGGGGAACCGAACAAGATACACTGAAGACGAGAGGGGGGGGGATGTTTGGAAAGAAAACGAGCCCATTATTTGTTGTCTTTTTATTATTCACGACTTACGAATGCGACGGCTGTCGATGCTCTGCGAAGAAGAGATTTGGCGAAACGGCAAAATGAGAATCTACCTTGGAAAAAACTTGGAAAAACTTGGAAATCTATCAGGACCTTAAATTCTCCCAAGAGCTCTCTTATAAGGCCTCGGGGTACTATGCGCCTCTTGTTTCATATCGATTTGATTGAATGCGTGGACAACCGTTTCTGTCGGCTATAGGGTTAGCCTGGGTAAGAAGAAGGAGGTATCTTCATCAAGATCACATAGTGAGACATACCATTTCCGTCACTTTCTATCGAAGGAAACTCTGTCGAGGGACATGAACGAATCATCGCAATCCCTAAAAGAAAACCCAGCTACATGTAGTTCAATATCGCCTTTATGCATAGTCGGTTGTGGATGATACTCGCGGCATGTGACAGATTGGTCTCCCCCCTCGCTCAGCCCCACTTCACTTTCCCAGCAGCCAAATCTACTAACATCACTTTTTTCTTTCTTCTTGGCTCTCCCCCCTTCGATATTGCGTCACACCTCGGGCCGCCTGTACAGAGAGTGTGTGATGGAATGTCAATGGCAGACCAAAATGCGATAACACAGCCGGCGTCGGCAGCAGCAGCGTCGCCCGGCTCGCTGCCCTCTCGTCGACCGATCGGGCGGCACCAGGTCAAACGTTCGCTTTCGGAGTTGACGTCCCCGGTCAAGCTGAGGAACAGCAACAGGAACAGCAACAGCAACAGCAGCGGCGGTGGCCATCACTCACGCAACTCGAGTCATGGCCACCATCATCACCACCACCACACCCACCATTCTCACCATCATAGCCGTCATCGTCGGTACGATAGCCGCGAAGTCCAGAGTGCCCAACCGACCACGTATCGAGCCTCCCTCGAAGCACCGCGACCCGAGGCCCTCCCGGACAATAACAACAACAACAACAACGGTAACAACAACAACAACAACAGCAACTACGACAAGAGCAACAGCAACTATGGACGTACGGCCATGGCGGACGATGCCGTATTCAGTCGGTTCAGCTTTCAACAGCCTCTAGTTGCGGCGAGCAAAGAGGATATTCTGCGACGAGAGCAAGAGAGGGCTAACCGGCGAGTAGAGTATGCCTTTCCCACCCGTCCCTCTCTGTCCCTCCTGATATCTGTAAAAGGTGCTGACCGATCTTTCGCAGAGACCTCAAACAAGCACTGGTCCAACTACACGCCTACTCGACAGGCACGACCCGGCGGCTAGACGAGACGTACTACGCGGTCCTGGAGAAGACGGCGGCCGTGCAGATGACATTTTCGGCGCTCAAGGATCTGGCCGGGTCGTCGGGCGACGCAGCCCGGGACTTTGATAAGGACGCGCAGGATCTGGAGGAGGACATACGCGGGCAGCTGCGCGCGCTCGACAGCTTCGAGAGTCAGGAGGGCAGGATACGCTCGCTGCAGGAGCGCATCAGCGCTGGGCGGTCGAGGATGCTATCCCTAGTCGGCAGGGTCGACGAGATCGGCGACATGGTCGAGAGGTGGGAGCGGGCGGACCGAGAGTGGCAGATCAAGATGCGCAGGAGGCTGAGGGCCATCTGGGGCCTCGTCCTCGTCGTGGTCCTGGCCCTCACCGCCCTCGTCATGTCAGCAAATAATGACGGTGGGACTGATGACAGCGGCAACAACTTGTCCCCTTCTTCCGCTGCCGCCGCAGCAAGCGACGCGGCCGACCTGCCGTCTCACCAGCTGCTGCGCCACGAGCCTCTCAACATAACGAGGCTGGTGCCTACGTTGGACAAGGATGCTCCTCCTGGTCAGTCTAGCACGGACGGGCAAGGTTCACTATTTCGGTCGAAACCACAGGCGACTGATGACAGGTTACGCCAATTTGATGAGTTGTGAGGCTTTCCCTTCTTCTCCCCTATCCCGTCTCCCTCTCTTCTTTTCTTTGTGTGTTTCCTCTGGCAACTCTCGTTTAATTGCATCTCTTTCTTGCCCCTATGTGTGTTCTATATACTGTTACTGGTCCTGGCTTTTTGTGGAAAAAGAAAGATAGAAAGGAGCGTTTTGTACATGTATTATTCTTAGATACCCTCTCACAAATTGATTTTGCTCCACCGTACCTTTTTTTTTTGTCGGTCTTGGATTTTTTGTCTTGGAGATGTTTGTACGCGTATGCAGCAGCTGTTGGCAACCGCACCGCTCTAGCTTTACTCCGCACTATGTCATGACAATGTTAATGCTACTCACATCAACGGCACTCGTGGGATATAATGACGACTGGGGCGTCGAGGGGGGGGGCAAGTATTGTGTGTGGCAGATACGTGTAGGGGAGGGGGGTATGTCTCCCACCATGAGCTGAATCTTTGTACCCCGTACTACCTTATAATTTAATCCATTCTACAGCAAGACCTGTCTTGTGATTCATGCGGGCCCCATTGTCATGTGTCCAGGGATTATATATGAATCATTATACTAGTAATGGAAGTACTCGTACTAACTCGTAATACAATAGTACTCGTAGAGAGAGTAATAGAGAGAGTAATAGAGAGAGTAATAGAGAGAGTAATAGAGAGAGTAATAGAGAGAGTAATAGAGAGAGTAATAGAGAGAGAGTACGAGGAGTACAGTACCCCGAGGTTACAAAAGTACGAGTATTCGGGGAAATCGATCCGAGTTATTGGGCTTCGACGGTCTACAGATGTACGAATTACAAGTATGGGAGAAAGGGGGGTTTGGCAACTAGAGAGAAAAAAAAGATGGGGGCCGGATAAAGGGCACGATATTTACAAGTATTACATGCATGCAATCGTGATGGGCAAGAAAAGACAATGAAAGAGAGCACCTAGCCAGACCGTATCGCAAACAGTGGCAAGTAAAAAGCCATGCAGGTAAATCCACTCGAGAGGGGCTTACGCGTTCGCAACGTTTCCCTCACTCTTCTCACTACTGCATACGAGTATGGAGTACGGAGAGAGAGGAGCAAGACTGAGGGGGGGGGGGGGAAGGTCATGACAAAAGTGCTTGTAACTTGTTGGGCGTATTTTGCTTCCCCTACTATTCCCTGTCGTAGTAAATGCAGCGAAACCAGCATTGCCAAGACCGAAAGCATGTCGATTCACATTGTAACTTGTCAGCCTGTCCAGCCCGCCCAGCCCGTGCTCCATACTTACTACTATAGTAACACCGATACAGGTAGTGATGATATTCGCGTACTGTTACTACTGCGCAGGCAGGTGCATGGAAGTCTTCGGTTGTATTCGAGCACCCCGCGCTCGGGGGAGACAAACTGAGCTTTATACATACTAAAACTGGCCACGATCCGCTTACTCTTAGCCTTTGTCGCCTTTTCTGCCCTGTCTCTCACTCTCCACCGCCTTGGCATATCAACTCTGTGAGTATCTTCCTCGTCCCAACAAGACTGAACAAGGAACACAGAGTTTTACCCAGAAGAGGAAAGAATTGCATGAAGTCTCCGTCTGCTGAGAGAGGGATTCCGGAGATGTGATTGACACGTACATCGTCATTTTCTTTCTTTCTGGGCTGATGACTTCGTTTGCGTCAGCCTCCTAATTCATCCGTCTCTTGTTATAGCCACTCTGTCCCACCCCCACTTCGACTTTCGTCCCCTCGACGCCACACTGCAGACACGTTCTTGGGGATAGGACGGGAACCTGCCCGCAACTTATTCTCTTCTACACACATCCTTTCCTCTGCATATAAATACAATAGTTTCTCGCTGCAAAAGGCACAGAAACCACCTGCTCAACCGAATATATCGACCGACAACCCGTCATGGGTGCTGAAGAGCCAGACCAGACTGCTGCCGTAGCAGCAGCAGCAGCACCCCCCACCACTGAGCTTCCAGTCCGGCCGGCCAAGTCGTCTTCCCCTCCTCAGGACGGACGTCCTCTGACGGGAAAGCAAGAGCACTGTGAGTGTCAACCTTTCTTCCCCGCCACGTTCTTTCTTCCTCTTCTATCCTGGAGGGCGACTCTGTCCTTCTTTTACCCCTCCCCCCCTTCCAGTGCCGAGAAGACGTGACCATTGACGTATTCGCCACCTCTCAGACCTGAAGCGCGAACTCATATCCGAGCAGGTTCAGTGGGAAATCAGTGAGCTCAACTCACCCACCGCACTGCGCCGGTTTGGCGCCCCCTTCAAGTCGGACCATGGCGAGGTACCGCCTCAGGCGTCGGAGCTTCCCATCTTGCGCTACATATTTGTCCACCACATTCGAGACTTCCCCTTCCTGGACAAAGCTCGCGAGAAGGAGTTTTGGCAGGACAAGCTCCAGGTGGTAAGTCACCCTCAACAACCCTGCAGTTTATCCGGACTTGGTGTGTACATGTAACGGGAGGAGGGGAGAGTGCGGTGGGTACTAACCCGGTGTCATCGTCTAGTTCCTCGAGTCCTTTGCTGGCAAGCAAATCTCGTCTTCCGAGGACCGCTTGGAGGAGACCAAGAGGAGGAAGCTGGCTATCAAGGCCCGAAAGCTCGTCGAGCTCATGATGGTCTCGGGCGTGCCCACCTCGTCCGGTTTCGAGGAGCGCATCCGCTTCTCTGAGATTGAAATCGTCGACAGCAACGCTATCGATGCCGGCGTCCTCCACAGCTTGCCCGAGGGCAACTACATCAACGGGATCGATGTCAACGTCGCCGGTGTCCGCACCACGGCCATCAAGGGCAAGATCCGCACCCGCAAGCATGCCGAGTTCCTTCTGCGCGTTAAGAGGAAGGGGGAGCTCGAGCACTTTGTCGCCAGGAGGTACGGCGATTTCAGTAGACTGCACCGCCGTCTGCATCTCGAACTCCCCGGACGCGTGCTCCCCGCCTTGCCCCACAAGAACAAGTCGGACGCGAAAGCCTCGGGCCTCCTCGGATCATGGGGCTCTTACGGTGGAGATCAGGACTCAGACGCAGACTCGGTCGATTCTGGCTCGACTCGTCGTACGGCCGTGTCGGGCATCTCTTCACTCCTCTCCCCTACCCAGAACAGTAAGTTGAACCCGTACCGACCTGGGTTCTTTGGAGTACGGCTACTTATCAGGAACACCATATTAGGCCACCGTAAACCGAGATCCGTAACCTCTGCGAGATCTTCCGTCTCCAAGACGTTGGCCTCGCCCAGGATGTCGGCTGACGGACGCTTGGCTCCGCCGTCGGAAGGAAAGGACCAGGTGAGTTGGCCTATCTGATCGTTCTTCTCCAATCCATTACATATATCTCGTCTAACCTATCCTAGGATGTCGTTCTTGGACGTGAAAACCAACGTGTCTCGCTGCGTGCCTATATCCGCACGCTGTTGCAGAACACACAATTCGCAAACACAAAGGCGGTGCAGAACTTCCTTGAGAACGACCCTATAAACCCCACAGATGAAGACATTGACGACATTTTGCGGAGAAAGGAGGTGGATGAGAAGCGCATCGAGGAGCAGAAACGCTTCTACGAGATTGCCCGGAAACGTGCCGCTGATCTTGACGAATACATGGAGCAGTCAGTACATGTCCGCACACAGCAGACGGATGGATACGATTGATTAACATGCCGCCTGACAGGTTCCGACGTGACATCGTCGAGCGCAACGGTCTGACAAATCTCTTCGCCGAGATCAGGGAGAAGAAGAAGATTGAGGATCTCAGTATCCAATACCGCAAGTTTGCCGAGTGGCTGCGCATCGAGATTGCGGCCGTCATCTACCACATCTTCCTTGCCGAGGACAACTCACCGGAGCTCTTCGCGCAGGCCAAGCGGATACACTCACTGATCCCATATACGGTGCTCAAGAACGTGATCCGCATCGCCAACCCTGCGGCCGTCATGTCGGGCATTCTGGACGTGTTCCTCGCGCAGCCCTTCGGTTCCCGGTCGCTCCTGCAGCGCATCTTCTCCCTGACGCTCAACGACGGCATCAGGAGCTTCCAGAAGTCCATCGGCGTGCTCGACGCCAAGATTGGCGACCCGGTGTACTCGCTGAAACTCAAGAGGTACACCGAGGCTGAGGAGCACATCAAGACGTCGATCCGCGAAGAGGCCGAGTCGGAGGACATGGATCTGGTGGTGACCATCTTGCGATCGGACCTGATTGAGCCTGAGCTCAATGGAGAGCAGTTCCAGAAACTCTTCAACGCCTACGTAGCCTTCAACAACGCCGTGGAGAATATCGACGAGGAGCTGAGGCAGGGCGCGCAGCTCTTCTCGTACCTCAAGCAGATGCTCAAGCTGTGCACTAGGCAACGCGACAAGGCCATGATGCTCGAGCTCATCGAGGAACCCACCACGCTCCAACTGTTCCGCGACCTCTTCACCATCTTCTACGAGCCCCTCGTCAGAGTGTACAAGTCGGCCAACGTGTACAACAGCGTTACCGATTTCGCCGTCTTCGTCGACGACATAATACAGGTGGTCGACAAGTGCCGGGATCAAGACGCGTCTGCGGACCCCAACCAGACGGTGCAGGCCTTTATTGACCTGTGCCAGAGGCACGAGCACAACTTCTACAAGTTCGTGCACGAGGTGCACGTCCACGACAACGGCCTCTTCACGCAGCTGATGGGGTGGATCGAGGGCATCCTGGAGTTTCTCCGCCACGGCCCCAAGAACGGCACCATCAACATTGACGCCCTGTTTACCAGGGCAGTGGAAAGCGGCTCCGTCGACAAGGAGAAGGCCATTGCTGAGATTGACTCGCTCATCGCGTGGCAGGAGGCCCGCAAGCGCTGGCACAGCGATAAGACCCGGCAGAAGATGGCCGCCGAGGGCACGGGAGGCGGCGGGCTCATGCTGTCGGGCTTCAAGTCTACGGATTTCGGCCTCGACGACCAAGACATCGAGGATATGGCCTACGACGACGGCTCCGACGAGGAGGAGGAGGCCGAGCTGGAGGACGACCTCGATCCCATCGACGCCGAGAGGCGCAGGCGCGCAAAGCGCCAGGACAATCTGCGCCGTACGGCCGGCGAGCCTCCCAAGCCGCCTGTCTCGGAGGTGCACAAGCTCAAGGAGGATTTCATTGTCATGCTGCGCAATGTTCTGGCAGACTAGAAGGGGTGGCTTTTGTGTTTTGCTTTCGTTTTTTTTTTCTACGCTCTCCTCTCTCTTTCTATTTGTCCTCTTAAAGAGGAAGCGGTTGGATACGCATCTTGTTTAAATAGTAGAAGGGAGGGAGAAGGGATATGCATGCATGTAGCATATAGTCAGAAGATAGGCTTGGAAGAAGAGAGCCTTTACGACTTTATATCACACATATACACATACATTTACTACCACCCTGCGTATGTTTGACAATAAAGACAACGTTATCGAAGATGAAAAAGAGAGTCTGCAACTTTGGCATATAGGTATTATGTATGACATGCGTATTCAAGACATGTATATATTCACGCGCGATAGTGAAGGTCGCAATATCAACCATACGACTACTCTTCACGCTCGAGTCCTGGTAAACCAGACCTAAGATTCTCTCTCTATATATAACAAAACAGGATCCCCCTCCCCCCGGCGCCCCTCCTATACAGGCTATTACGGATACCGACTATCTATACATACATACACAACATATACGTGGTAAATGCGTAGTGCGAAGTGTGGAGCCATCAACAGGAAGACTCCGGGAAAACTCACACAGGTGGAGTCTAGGGTAGACGTGATTATAATGCAAGAGCTCTGATTGGCCAGACGGGCCGAGGATAACAGCGCTGCCCATGTGTTTTTCCCGGAAGACCCAAGGAAAAGGAAGGGAACGTCTTGAGACTTGGGGCCTTTTGGCAGAGAGGCCCATCAGACCAGGCGCAATGCCAATTGGCCGAGCACCGAAATGCCACACAGCCAGAAAAGTGAGTGACCACCACTCTTCTTTCCCAAAGTAATCCTCTCTCGGAACGGACGAGAGCCCCATCGTTCCTTTCTTCTCTCTCTCTCTTTCTTCGTCTTCCCCGTCCTATCCTTTCCCGCCAATTCCAATCATCTGCATCCTCTTCCTCCCCCTCCTCCTCGTCGCCCGCCCACACCCTCCGGAAAATAGAACCTGTGGATGCCAGCAGCTTTAGATTGAAGCTGGGTGTTAAACTGCCACACGCAACATTTTCCGCCCCTTTGTCACAATGGCTTCCTCCATGGCTCTGAGGCGTCTAGCCGCCGGCTCCTCTGTACGTTGCTCTCTCATTCCTGCTCCTCCTATGTCGCGTCGGACAGGTGGAAGGAAAAAAAGGCATTGGCTGACCATCATGCAGATGCAGGTTCCGAGACTGTCTAGCACCAGGGCTTTCTCTACGTCGCGACACCTCGGTGAGTCCCGACTTACGAAACACCACATGCGATCGCTCTCTTCTTCTCGGTGGCTGACTGGTCGGGAAACACGATAGCTCGCGTCATCTCTAACGGCCCCCTGCGGGCAAAGGAGGCTTCGCCCCATGTGAGCAACAAGTACCACGTCATTGTATGTTCCCATTCCGACACCCCCCCTCTCCGAAGCGTCTCTCCGGAAGATGCAGTGAAATGTGCGCGCGGCTGTCGATCGATCGGCCTGCAAGTTGGAGAGTACCGCTGACCCGCTGTTCTTTATGCGCGCCTCAGGACCACGAGTATGATGCCCTCGTTGTTGGCGCCGGTGGTTCCGGTCTCCGCGCCGCCTTCGGACTTGCCGAGGCTGGCTTCAACACCGCCTGTATCTCCAAGCTCTTCCCCACGCGAAGCCATACCGTCGCCGCGCAGGGTGGCATCAACGCCGCCCTCGGAAACATGCACGAGGATGATTGGAGGTGGCACATGTACGACACCGTCAAGGGCTCCGACTGGCTCGGTGACCAGGACGCCATCCACTACATGACCCGCGAGGCTCCCCAGTCCATCATTGAGCTGGAGCACTACGGTTGCCCTTTCTCCCGTACTGAAGATGGCAAGATGTGAGCATCATTCCAGCCCCCCTTCCCCCCAGGGTGCTGCTGCCCCCGGCCGCTCCTGCAGTTGATTACTTGTTTTGCTGAACGAGGTCCACAATGTCTATAGTTACCAGCGAGCTTTCGGTGGTCAGTCGCAAAAGTACGGCAAGGGTGGCCAGGCCTACCGTTGTTGCGCCGCCGCCGACCGGACCGGACACGCCCTCCTTCACACCCTCTACGGCCAGTCTCTCCGCCACAACACCAACTACTTTATCGAGTACTTTGCCCTTGACCTGATCATGGAGGACGGCGAGTGCCGTGGTGTCCTCGCCTACAACCAGGAGGATGGTACCTTGCACCGATTCCTCGCCAATCACACCGTCCTCGCCACCGGTGGTTACGGACGTGCTTACTTCAGTTGCACCTCGGCCCACACCTGCACCGGCGACGGTATGGCCATGGTTGCCCGTGCCGGTCTTCCCAACCAGGATCTCGAGTTCGTCCAGTTCCACCCAACTGGTATCTACGGTGCCGGCTGCCTTATCACTGAGGGTGCCCGTGGTGAGGGTGGTTACCTGCTCAACTCGGAGGGTGAGCGCTTCATGGAGCGATACGCCCCCACTGCCAAGGATCTTGCCTCGCGTGATGTCGTCTCGCGTTCCATGACCATGGAGATCCGCGACGGTCGCGGTGTCGGTCCCGAGAAGGACCATATTTATCTCCAGCTGAGCCATCTGCCTGCCGAGATCCTGGCTGAGCGTTTGCCCGGTATCTCGGAGACGGCCGGTATCTTCGCCGGTGTCGACGTCCGCAAGGAGCCCATCCCCGTCCTGCCTACGGTCCACTACAATATGGGTGGTATCCCGACCAAGTACACTGGTGAGGTCTTGACGATCGACGAGAAGGGAGAGGACAAGGTTGTTCCCGGCCTGTACGCCTGTGGTGAAGCCGCTTGCGTGTCTGTCCACGGCGCCAACCGCCTGGGTGCCAACTCGCTGCTTGACCTGGTCGTCTTCGGCCGTGCCGTCTCGCACACGATCCGTGATAACTTCAACCCAGGCGACAAGCTCAAACCCATCTCAGCCGACGCCGCCTCAGAGCACATCGAGGCTCTCGACACTGTCCGCCGGTCCGACGGTCCCAAGAGCTCTTCCGAGATTCGCCTGGCCATGCAGAAGGCCATGCAGACTGATGTCAGCGTCTTCCGTACCCAGGAGAGTCTGGACGAGGGTGCCGCCAAGATGAAGAAGATTGACGCCATGTTCTCCGAGGTCGGTATCAAGGACCGCACCATGATCTGGAACTCGGATCTTGTTGAGACCATGGAGCTCCGTAACCTCTTGACCTGCGCGTAAGTTCCCCCCCCCATGTTCTCTTTTCGTTTCTTTTCTACTTGTATACAATCAGACTAACTAACCTACCCTCCGTATAGTACCCAGACCGCCACCGCCGCCGCCAACCGCAAGGAGTCGCGTGGTGCCCACGCCCGCGAAGACTACCCTGAGCGTGACGACGTCAACTGGATGAAGCACTCACTCACCTTCCAGAAGGAGCCTCATGGCGAAGTCGAGCTGGGATACCGCAAGGTTATCGCCACCACTCTCGATGAGAACGAGTGCAAGCCTGTCCCTCCGTTCAAGCGTGTTTACTAGATGCCCTTTCTTTCGCTCTCCTTTTCCCTCTGATTTATTGGCATGCCAGTGTAATCGGTTGGGTTGATGAGAAAGAGACCTGGTAAGCAAGTCCACTGAACATACAAGAAACAAAAAAAACAAAAAAAGTGAACAAAAAGAGAGAGGAGGAGAAGAAGGAACAGCATCTATAATTCCTCCTTTGTATGCCATATGGGTATGGTGAAGGGGATCGGTTTACATAATAAGTTACCCCTTGCCGCCTGTGTTTTTTTTCTATTTCTCTCTCATATCTGATTGGATGAGAGATCACATCCTGTACGTATTAACCTACTTTTCGTAGTAGAAGAGAAGGAGAGGGAGGAGTTCTTTCAAGTCGCGAAAGGTGTAAGATTTTCCTTCTATTTATACATATAACACCAAACAGAAAAAAAACGTTTCAAAATCAAGTAATTCAAGGCCAAGGTCGTGTGTACATGTTTGTGCCTCATGTGTTCTGTCAGGGGGTATCCGGTGATGTGTGTCCTTGAGATGAGCAGAGGGGAAGGGGAGTATAGAACAAGAACGGAGAGACGTGAGGGAGACGGAGGCAAGAAGGACGAAGAGAGTAATTCAGCCATTCATAGTGGCCCTGTGAAGGGCGGCCCTTGTCGTGGTGAGCAAACGGTCCTGGGTCTCGATCTCCTTCCTGAGACGGTCGATCTCAGACCTGAGCTTCTCATTCTCCTGTTCGAGTGCGGCGCTGTCGCGGGCCTGGTACGCCGACTGTGTGAGGTCCTTGGATACGCCCGTGCGGACTTTCACGGGGACGTCGTGGAGCTTCGGGATGTCCGTGACACTGTTAATGGTGCGCCCGGGTGGGACGTCTCCGTCCGGCGGCGGCCTACGAGTACCGTTGGGCGAGGGGGGACGATGAGCCTGACGACGGGGAGCAGTGCCGGCAGCACCAGGTGTACCGGGGGTGACGGGCGTCTGCATCTTTCTTGGAGGAGCGTCTTGGAAGCTCACATTCTCGCGTTTGCGCTTGCGACCATCACCGACGGGGAAGAGTGTTCGAGATGTGGAGATGGAGGTGGTGGTGGATGGGGTGGGGAGACTATTTGTGAAGCTGGTGTTGGGACTGGTGTCGGGTGTTTTGAGAGCGGCAGCAGCAGACGGATTGGAAGCCTTGGTTGGGGGTGTGGCGATTCGAGGAGGATGAGGAGGAGGGGAAGTGATGGACTCTATGCTGTCTAAGAGGCTGACTAGACCTCGTTCCTCGTCGGTGGATAAGTCGTCGAAGAAGGCATCGTCGTCGTCGTCGTCGTCTTTGGACGTCTTGGCCTTATTGACAGTCGGGGAGGGTATGTCCGGGGGGCAAGGGGGTCCGGAAGTAGAGGTTTCGGCCCCGCCGTTGTTGTTCAAACCGTCACTGCTGTGCTTCCGGGTTGAAGCGTGCTTGACCCATGAGGTGAGAGACTTCTGCGTATAACTTCTTCTCTTTTTGATGGTGGAGGGGGGCCGGGGTTGTTGGGGTTTCATCTCTGCGTGTATTCCCCAGAGTACTCCTGAAGTATGGATGTCGATTTGATCTTGCCTGCTTGATTCTTCAATCCGTCTCAGTAGCGCTACAGTGATGTCTTGACTCGAAAGAACCGAATCACATCACAGTAGAAAGGTCGCTGAGCGTTGTCGGAATGTGGATGTCTCTCCATGTATCGACACTGAGGGGCGGCGGGGTGAGCAGGTTTGAGACGCCAAGCAGAGATAACGGGTTGCAGCAAGGGCTGATGATCTCAGACCGGTCAAGAAAATCGTAGAGCGGTACAGGAAAAAAAATGAAGCAACAGCACTGCCCAGAGTGAAGCAATGGCAGTAAAAGTAGCTGAAGTAGAAGCGGTGGTGGGAGGAGAAAGAGGAGGAGAAGGAGGAAGAGGAGGAGAGAAGAGAGATAGAGTGATGAGATGTGCCATGTGCGTCGGCGGGGAAACTGGTTAGGAACTTGTCACAGCAGCGTCGGGGGCCGTAATGAGGAGCTGCGTGGGTGTGCATGTTGCCGCCGACAAAAGGGGGGGGGGGGGAACAAGGCTAACTGACGAATTGATTCTCAAGAAAAAGCAAAGAAAAAGACGGATTGAGGCAGGCTGGTGGAAACCAATTGACAATGAATTGTATTAAGCATGACGACAATGGGGTTTGCTTTCTTTTCTTTTTCTTCTTTTCTCTGACCTTCTCCAATGCTGCAAGCTCTTTTGAACATGTAGGAAATTTGCCAACGTTTTGACAGTTGTTAGTAGTGACCAAACCACTCTTCTCTCTTTCTCCGTCACCGTGGTTGTTGTCGTTGTTGTTGTTGTTGTTGTTGTTGTTGCGTGTTGCGCTTTCTACCCCAAAACCATAATCTTGTACAAATAATCCTTTGCGAAAACCAAAGAGAAAAAAAAATGATAACAGAAAAATAACAAGGTAGAATGAAAGAATGAATATCAGGAGGGTAAGCAAAGGGTGTTTATAAGATTACAAGGGAGGGCGATCCACTCAAATGCTGGGACCGAGACGGTCGGTGAGGGCCTTTTGCGTGGCGCTGTAGACATTGTCCGGGGTGGCAGTGGCATCGACCTTGATGACCTTGTCCTGCTTGGAGTAGTAGTCGACGACGGGCATGCTGGTCTCGACAAAGGTGCGGAAGCGCTTGCGGATGGACTCGGCATTGTCGTCGCTGCGGCCCGACGTCTTGCCGCGCTCTAGCAGCCGGCTCTCCATGACGTCCTCGGGGCAGTCGTAGAAGAGAACCATCTTGGCCGGGCAGACGGCCTCCTCGAACTTGTGAGCCTGGTCCAGCTTGCGCGGGAAGCCGTCGACCAGGAAGCGGCCCTTGCCGTCCGCCGAGCCCGACTCGCGCAGAGCGTCGGCCATGGCGTTCTCCAGCAGCTGAACCGTCACCTCCATCGGTACGATCAGCCCGTTCTTGATATAATCGCGGATCAGGTCGCCGAACTGGGACCCGGGGCGCTCCTGCTCGGCGCGCAGGAGGTCGCCGGCCGACAGGTGGGTGAAGCCGTAATCCTTGACCAGCTTGGCGCACTGCGTGCCCTTGCCGGCTCCGGGGCCGCCCAAGACGAACAAGACCGTCACCTTTTCGGGGGAGAAGGTGGGCGTCGACTTAGTAGGAGGGGACAGCTCCTGCTGCTGCTGCTGCTGCTGCTGCTCGGGGGGTGCATCTTTGCGAGGAAAACAACAGAGTGTCAGTAAGTAGGGCATCTTCTTGCTCCGTTTTTTTTTTCTCCTCGATTCCTTTGCTGAAGATTTCCTTTTGCCCTTGTTGCTCTTGGTCCTGTTCTTCTCTCTCATTTTGAAGAAAGGGGGGCGAGGAGGAGGGGGGGGGGGACTGCAGCTTCAAGTAATGATCAACGTACCCTTGCGACGGTTCACGAGACCAATGTACCCGAGGGAACCAAGACCAATGATGGCAAAGAAGGGCCAGAACTTGATACCACTACTAGTGCTCTTGGGAGCCTCAGCAGAGTATGCGCGCCGCTGAAGGGCGAATCGAGGGGCCGCACCGGCGGAAAAGGAGGGAGCACCAGGACGCGACACTCGGCCGGCCAGGCGACGCAGGGGCATGCGGGAAGCCATAATCACGAGATGTCCGCGTGCTATTGTTTTTTGAGGGGCGGAGAGAGAGTGCGTGCGTGTGCGTGTAAAGTGAAAAAGAAGGCGTGAAGTATGGTGTTTGGTATTTTAGGGGTATCGGTCGGGATATTGTTGATGAGCTGGCCAAAGTATAATTTCAATACCTCTAAGGAGCAGTATGAGTAGTAATCAACAATTTTTTATTAGAATTTAGCAGTAATACCTCTACTCCGTAGTGCTCCGTAGGCTAGAGCACTGAAACTGGTGGGTCAGTTTCTTCCGACATTTCTCTGCTGTGGTATCACTTCCGACGCGTAATCACGTGATAAGATACATACAGCTTCACCTCCAACGCTCGGCTTGTAAGAATGAAACCAAGTCTATCTATTGACATTTCGTTCTGAATCTATGGCAGAGCGTTTTATATCGCATCCTACCCTATCCCCCTCCCCCCCCCCTCCCCCCGAAGCTAGGGGAAATAAAAACATAGAAAATATAAATAAGTAAAGCCATCGAGAAACACATGGTCCACTATCGCATCATTGGGGAGGAGGGGCGGGGCATCTGTCATTTCCGAGCAGAAGGAGAGAGAAAGGAAGCAGGAAGAGTAAAAGAAAAGGGACATAATATATGCTAGAAACTTCTTATTCACATCATCCCATACCGCAGATGTATCTATCCCCTTTTTTTTTCGGCAAGAGATAGCAACACGCATACAAAAAAGAAGGATTGAAGACTCCTCCTGATGATGTTTTCGCTCTCACTCGTTCCTCTACCCTTTACATCTATCCTTTATCTCCCCTTTCAAGATGGACGTTGGAGAGCAAGAAAAAAAGAGGACATGAGAAAAAAGACCAGATGATACGTTTCAAAGAAAAAAACCCTTTCATAAAGTTGGAAAAAAACCTTTTGCCTTGTTTTTGTTGTTTTTGTTGTTTTCAAATATTCCCCTCTAATCATCATTGTCCGTCCTCTCACGTTGCTGCCTGCGACCACCACCACCGCTGAAAAGGCCGGTGTTATTGAGCTTGCGCTCCAACTCCTGGACCTCGCGCTCCTTCTGGGCCTTGGCATTTGCCTGCTCCTGCTGCAGGACGACGAGGACGTTCTGCATCGTCGACTTCCAGTGTTCGACGCGCGTGGCGAGTTCTCGGTACTGGCGTTGGCCAAAGACGCGGTACGTCACCTTATGCACGAGGAAGACGTTGCGCTTCTGCGAGAGCTTGCCCTCGACCAGCCCGGCACGGATCACGTCAATGGCCCACATCTCGATCTCGTCGTCGGGGATCTGCAGCGCCTTGGTAATCTTGGCATACTCAATCTCGCGACTCGGCGTCGCCGCCGCCAGGCTGGCAAACGTGAGCAGCCGCATCTTGCGGTGCAGCTTCTCGTGGTCCAGCTTCTGCTGCTCTACCCAGCCCTCGTGCTCCTCGTTGAAGTCGTTGTAGTCCTCGAGGTCCTGCTCGGCAAAGATGTCCAGGAGCTGCGAGTAGACCGGGTGCGAGTCGCCGAGCGCCTGCACGCTGGGGATCGACCGCAGGTCCTGGAAGAGGAAGTGCGTGCTGGACAGGAGGGCCATCTTAACGGCCCGGAGGGATAGCTTCTGCGCCTCCTCGGATGAGACCTCGTCCTTCTCATCACCGTCGAATGTCCTCAGAGCCTTGAGAATGAATTCATATCCTTGCCTTTCGAGGTGAACATTGTTAGCATCGTATACATATTCATCGTTCCATCCACTCTTGTGTGTGTATTAAAAAACAAGACAAGAAAGAGGAACGTAAAGAGATGAGAAAGGAAGGGAGGTCGGAAAAAATAGAGAAAACCCACTGCTCCTCTCCAGCTTCGATGGCAACATCAGCCACTTCCTCGTACAGCGTCCTCTGGTACTCCTCATCGGTGCCCCACGTGTCCATCCACTCGGGCAGGCGGTCGAGGTAGTGCTTGATCGACTCAAACATGCCGTGGGTCTTGAGGAATTTGAGAATCTCCATGAAGACGCGGGCGCGGACAGGGTCGGCCGGCTCCAGCAGGTTGAAGATGGTGGTGAGGGCGTTGAGCGACAGCCCGGCCCCGTGCACTGGCGAGCTGGCCAGAGGCTTGGAGAAGATGGAGCACAGCGCCGGCAGGTGCTTTTTGGGGTCCGACGACTGGAGGACCAAGTGGATCATCATGTTAGACGCCGCCGTGAACTCCTTCTCAGGCACGGCCGTCAACGCCTGCGACGACGCTACCAGCTTGGTCAGAACCTCCTCCTTGGATGCCGTCTTCTCCCCGTTTAGCAGCTGCTTGGCCTCGTCCGCCTTGAGGTACTCGGCCATCTCCGCGGCCAACTCCTCGAATGAGCCATCGACAAATAGCAGCTGTTGCTGCGAAAGGTTCTTTGCGGCCGGCATATTTGTGTCGTTCTGTTCGTTTGTTCGGGTTTTCTTTCGCTGCCCCTTCTAGTTTTCTCTCCCTTTGTTATCTGTTCAAGGATTCCCTTCTCTTTCTCTCTTTCCTTCTCTTCTTGCCGTCCAAGGCCTCTCGATCTCGGCGAAGCGGTTGGTGTCGTCGCGGGGGTATCGAGTCTAGCGGACGAAAAAAAAAGCCGAATAATGAGAGAAAAATTCCCTGGGAAACGTCGAAGATGCGGCGGTGGAGCAGTTCGACGGGCGTGTTCTAGAGATGGGCAATTCTTTCGGTTGGTTGACGGGGTCGGCGGGCCACACAGAAAAGCCCTGGTCGTGTATTTTTGCCCCTCGTACTCTGCCCCCCGCCAAATTTTCCACCCGCCAAAAAGGGCCCAAAGGTTTGTGTGCGTTTGTGTGCGCTAGGATCTATCGGATCAACTACGGCCCGTGGTTTCTCTCGCTGAGTCATCAGTTACATGTCCTTCGCCTTTGGCAGCTCTGTCGGGGCTGTCCTCGCTACACTTGTACATATATAAATTAGATATTCACAGTTTGCTCAATCATATCGAGGGAAACGACAAGGTCCTTTCCGTAAATCCTGTGCCTCCGACAGCCCTTCTGGGAGCTGATCATGCGACGCTCACACATGTTGTACAATACTACTACTTCAATATAAAGACATGTTGAAGTTGTAGACTTGTTGATGTACGGGATATTTACAACTTGACAGGCCATATCATGTTGAGGAGTATACCTTGAGAAAACAGAGACCAGTTCACAGTAATAAAAAATAAAGAGTGTAAAAAATCCTGGAAAAAGAAGATGATAAATTAGAAAATTCGTAACTTGTAAACCACAATTTTTTGTCCTTGCCCGTAGACTAGATTTGCCCCCGTCTCCCTCGCAAACAGAATTATACGGGAGAATATTGTTCTCCCATTCTTCCAAGCACAGAGGAAGGAATCCCCATCACTCTATTTTTCGTTGGCCTTTGTCTTCGGCTTCTTTTTCTGCTGCTGCTGATTTATCTTGGTTGGCTTTAGTCGCTTGCTGACGGTCGGGGTAGATACTTGCATCGTCGTTTTCAAAAAGCGCCTGGTCTCCTTTACCCCCCATCTCCATGAACTCTGCCGGCGCCCTATTATGCGCAGGTCCTTCCTCCTTGGAGGCGTTGATGATGTGGTCCTGCTCGTTATTCTCGGCAGACACTTTGGCCGTCCTGTTCTCGTTGCCGGTGACCGTGGCCGCCACCTGCGCCGAGTAGGGCTTCGACAGGAGTGTTCGCTCGCGGACCGGACCCCTCCTGTGCACCTCGAGACCCGCGAGGCCGCCAACAAGGCCGTCTGTGCTGTCATCGACATTGGTGGATGTCTGATTTATCCAGGGGTGTGCTAGGCACTGGTCGATGGTGAATCGCCTGTCCGGGTCAACGATGAGCATGGAATCGATCAGGTCCACTATAAACCGAATCAATTAGTCTTTGAGCTTTTTTCTCTTCATCCTCTTCCTTTCTCCTTGTCCTTCTGTCATGGAACATATGGAGAGTGTGTGAGAGAGAAATGGAAGCTTACGTGCAGGGTCGCCGACAGAATCCCAATACGGAGAAGGATATTCGAACCGACCACTTTTGATCTGCTGCGAGAGCGTGTAGGGAAAATCCCGCGAGTACAGCTCGTCAGAGAAGGGCGGGAAACCGCAGAGGCAAATGTACAGCACCACACCGAGTGACCAGATGTCGACGGCCTTGGTGTACTTGCGTTGCTTGGAGTCGGCGAGGATCTCGGGGGCTACATAGCTGGGTGTTCCGCAGAGGGTTGTGGTGAAGGATTCCTCGCCAATGATCTTGGCTAAACCAAAGTCTGCCAGCTTGACGTGGAGGTTCTTGTCCATGAGCAGAATATTCTCGGGCTTGATGTCGCGGTGGACAATGTTCCTCTCATGCTGCAGGAAGATGTTTATGAGTCAGCGTTCCCATCCTTCATGGCCATGCAGGATAGACGATGCGGTCGGCCTACCAGATACTTGATACCCTTGAAGAGCTGGGTGAACAGCTTGCGCGTCTCATCTTCACTAAGCCTCTGCTTCGTGACTATGTAGTTGAACAGCTCGCCCTCGGGAGCAAGCTCGAGCACGAGGTAGACGCGATCTCTCTCGCTAAAGGTATCCCTGAGACACAGGACATTGGGGTGGCTGACGCTCATGAGGACACCGATCTCTTGTTGGAGGACCTCGTTCTTGGGCTTGCTCGCGTGCTTGCCAAAGATCTTGACGGCGTAGCGCTGGCCGCTCGACTTGTCGACAGACATATACACCTCGGCAAAGTGGCCCTTGCCCAGCTTCTCGAGAATTGAGTACTGCTGGTGGAAGCCGTTTGTCTGGCGGTTGCGCGGGTAGCGGAAGACGAAGCGGGCCTTTCCGTGGACGGCGATCTCATCATTGTGCTCCAACTCGCGGCACTGGTTGCGCCCCACAATGGCTTCGTTGACAAAGGTGCCGTTCCGCGAGAGGTCCTTGAGCATGACGACTGTGTCGGTACCCTTGGTCTCGGCGAATATGAGACAGTGGCGGTTGGAGATGATCTGATCATTGACAACAACGTCTGTGCATGCGCATGAATGATTAGCGGGTGATTATATTGCCGTAGGTGAGTAGTGACTTGGCCGGTTACTCACCGCATTCTGGATGACGACCGATCAAGTATCCCCCCGAAGGAGCCCTCCTGGTACTCGTGCGCTCATAGGCCTCCTCATCGCGTAAAGCGGCAGGCGTGGACTTGTCATCCTTCTTCTCAGTTGCCAGCTCCGCTTGGTCGAGGCTAGGGCAGGCGTTTCGCTTTCTGAGCACGAGTGGCTTATCACCGTACCTAGAATCGAGGGTGACGAGATAGCCCCAGATGCCCTCGTCGTTCCCATCTTCCTCCTCTTCACCCTCGGCGGTGACGTTCGGGTCGTTGAACTGACTCATGGGCTGAGTATCCTGGGGGGGCGACGAGAGGGCCTGGCTGAGCTCGTATTGCTCCTCGGCCTTGCACGGCGTCACGTTGCCTTGGGCGTTTCTGTCTACCGCCACTTCATCGTCCTTGTCCTTTGAGGTTGAAGGTCCAGCGGTCTCATCTACGGGGTTGGTGACGGGCGAAGGCAGGTGGCGCTTGTTGGAAACGGGAGTCTTGACGGCGGCGACGCCGTTGGCCAGGCGGTTGGATCGACGGGGTTTCTTGGATTCCGTCTCGTCCTCCGGAAGGGAGCCCTAGCAAGGTGGGTAGGATATGTCAGCTTGCGCATATCATAAAGAAGGGGTAAGGAACAGAGAGAACTTCTTGACTCACGAGCGGACGCTTCAGCTGGGTCTTGTCATCGCGAGGCGGCATGTCGGCGGCGAGTGGTGACTCTGGCCGTCGACGACGCGACGAACAAGAGGGCTGCTACGTGTCGAAACCCGCAGCGATGTGACCAGCTTCTCCAGCCGAATCAATGTTCCTGTCTGGTGATTCGGGACAGCCAGGCAGCCAACCTTTTTTTTTTCTTTTTTTCTTTTTTTTTCTTTTTCGGGGCGGGCGATTCACAAGTCGGGGAGTGGCGTGAAGAATGGACAGCAGTGGTATTCACTAGTAAGCACGGTAGCTTGTCGGATCGGATGAGCTTTGTCCTTGTGGAAGGGCGTGATGGTTAACGTATAGGCAGTAAAGGAGGAGTACAAAACGATAGACTAAAAGGGAGGGGGTAAAAGCAACAATGGATTCGAACAAGACGAATGAACAAGATGGAGGAACGACCTATGAGTTGGGATGATGGTGAGATGGGGCAAAAGGGACGGAGGGAACGTGAATGGGGCGCAATCGATGCAGCCCGTGGATTGTGGAGAACGAAGGCAGCCTAGCAGGAACCCTCTAGGCAGCCTTGCGGGACGGAGTGCGGGTATGCTCCTCTAGGGCACTGGTCGAAACCAAGGTACTTGTACAGACATGATCGCTTTCCGTACTTGTATTTTTCCAAATCGTCTTTGCTGTACATGTGTACTGCTACCAGTCCCTTGGTCATGCCGCTTGTCCACCCTCCCTCCCCTGACGGCAAACTGGTCACCAAACCGTTTGTTAGCGGGTCACGACGGGAACTCTTGGACAGACTGACTACAGCGACTGACGTGGCCAAATCAGGTGGTGTTGTTATCACCGCTGTCAATACCAATACGACTCCTCGTCTTCCTACTATATGATTATGCATGTCTATCAGTAATAATGCTCTACAGTATTGAGCGCAATTTGTAAGCAAACATTACCATGACCCCTACCAGTCTTGGGTCTACAACGATGGCCATGATCCATGTCAGATGACTGGCCGACTCGACTGTGCTATGCTGCTGGGCTGGATGCTGTCGATGGCACCAGGATAGGATTAGGGAGGAGAGTCAGGTGGTCGGGCCTTGTGGCGGTAATACCATCAAGATCTCCAACCTTGACAGTTAAACTTGCTACTGTACATCATAAACGATTGAGAAACGTGGTGGGCCCCTGTAAACCCTGCAGCCCTACGTACTCGTACAACTTATCACAAGTAATAATTAAGTGTTACTCGACCAGTCCAAAGTCCATCCATCCATTTTCTTCTGTGACATCATGCTCCCTTTTCTCTTCACCCCTTCTTGTAAATACTCTGCACTCATCGTCGCGACAACACCATCACCAAACAAGCATGGATAATATATAGCATTACCATTAACCATTATAATACGCCTGAAAAAAAAGAAGAGAAAAAGAACGAGAAAAATACTATCCGAGCCATGTCCTCCGCATCCCCCACCAACGTAATGATAATAAAAAGAACCCCGACTCCAGTACTCTTTTTTCTTTCTCCAATTAGTCCTTCGCCAATCAACATTATACCGCTTCCATTCCCCTCTATATGTTTTTTTCTCGTCTGTTGTCCAACTCCTCATCCAAACTTTGTCCCTCTCTCATCATTTGTTGCGTGAACCGTAGAGATGATCGTAGATAAATGCTTCATCCACCCAAAAAACCGCCGTGGGCCCAACATGCCATCGTCTCATTAACTCGCCTTCCCTGGCGACTCAAAGAATCAGAAAAAAAAAAGGGGAGAAAAAAAGAGAGAAATAAAAAGGGGTCGTCATCAGTCTTGCCCAACGCTGCAAGGTCATGCTCGCGAATAGCAGAATCGAAAGGAAAAAAAAAAACAAGGGGAAAGAACGCCCGCATATAGAAAAAAAGAAAACATCCAACAGACAGGCGCAGGCCCCACAAGGCCTCACTTTCGTATTGGATGCCGCAAGTAATCCTTCGATGCCTGGCACGTCATTGCCGAATCAGACAGCATATCTGACTCGAAATGGCATAGGCCCTAGCTGACCAATCGCTCCCAGAATCTCGTCTCCTACCGCTCGGGAATCGGCGACTTCGCCAACCGTCCGCCTGCGCTCATCCGTTTCGCCAGACGGCTCTCCTTGTCGCGCTGCAGCTTCTCCGCTACAGTCATACCCAGAGACTGCTGCGACGAGCCGAGACTTTCGCTGGCCCCTGCTCCCTCTCCTCCTCGTCCTCCTTCTCCACTGCCGCTACCGCCGCTGCCTCCAACTAAGGGCTTCCCCCTCTTTTGGTCCACATAGACCTGTGCGTGACGTCCCAACGGGAATGCCGGTGGCGTCGCTGGTATCTCGGCTCCGTTTTGTGTCAGAAGCTCCGCCACGGGGAAAGGCACGACCTTGCTGTCACCCTCAGCGCCACCTCCCGGCCCAGTTGCAGGTGTAGGAGTGGGAGATGGTGATGCTGGATCTGCAGCTGCCAGGGCCAGCCAGACGGCGTGCGTGCCCCTCATCTTGTCCACCACGTTAGGGTTAGCCCCCAGCGCCAGTGCGTAGAGGGCCTGCTGAATCTCGTTCTTCTTGATCGCGGCCAGCAGCGTCTCGTCGGCACTGGCGTACCGCGATAGCGTCGGCGAGATGGGTTCCACGTATGCCCGGTCTACGTACTTGGCCGTGATGAACCTGAGCCGCTGTTCCCGGCTGGCCTGCGCCGTCGGCTTCTGCGCCTGGTCCAGCTTGGATTCCCACACCATGTTGGACACGCGGTTGCCAATCAGCAGCAGCAACTCGACAATGTCGACCGTAAACGACTTGATGTCTAGAGTCAGCGACCGCACCTTGCTGATGTGCGTCCCCAACGATCGGTGAATCCCACTGCACTCGATGCACAGGATGATGCCTAGGTTGATCGACACCCACTCTACCTTGGAACCCGAGCCGCAGTCGGCGCACCAAGTGTTGCCCTGGTCATTGTTGCGCACCATCTGCAGGAGCTTATCCGGTGTGTCGTCATATCCCGAGCTCGTGGTTCGCACCGCCGGAGGCCGCGCGCCCACCGTGATGCGCCGAACGGGCACACCGCTGCTGGAGCTCGAGTGTTGGTGGTGCCCGTGGCTGAGCGAGTGGGACTTGCCCGTGAGTATGGAACCGATGTCCTTCCTAAAGGAGGATTCGCTCCCCGTCTTGGAGCTTCTGGGGGTCCCTGTGATGCCACGGCCCTCCATGGCACTCTGGAGCGCGTTGTTGATGGAGACGATCCAGTTGTTCATGTCCTCCTCTGATGTTGCCTGATACACACGCTTGGAGCTCGGAGTGATGACCTCGAAACAGAATCGCCTCTCTTGGTTCCGGGCCTCGCGAACCGATGCCATGCGCAGATCGATGGGGTCCATATGAAGATCAAGCTTCTGCTTCCAGTTACTGTACTCTGACAGCTTTCCCTGGTCCAGGACAATCCAGAATCTGTTCATCTCAGTTAGTATTCGATGACGTAAGAGGGTAGCAAGAGGTGAAAGGAATTCATGAACATACTTGTGCCAGCCTTGTCCACTCAGGTTGCCCAGATTGCGTGGATCCACGTGGCCACTGGTACGACCGAGGGCCCACAGAAGACCTTCCTTCCGCTGTGAGCCATGGGTCTGAGTGCTGTCCCGCTCTTCGAGGTCTCGGAAGCCACGAAACTTGGTGCCCTGGCTAGGGCTGTTGCTTAGGCCGCCGGGGGACCTCATGGCATCTGTAGAGGAAGCCTCTACGGGGCTCATGACGCCTCCCCCAGGTGCAACGTTTCTGAGCCGCGAGCCTGTGCTATCTTCGCGCGTCAATTCGGAGTCGGAGCTGGACACGGGTTGGACGCCGTTGCCTGTAGCTGCTGTGGCTAAAATAGCGTTGCTCGCTTGCTCGGGTTCCAGGTGGGGCACGCCACCCTTCTCGAGGACACGACGCTTCTCCTCGCGTTCGCGTCTTTGGTACTGGTATTCCTTGTCCGCCTCCTGGACCTCGCTGGAGAGCGCCTCCAGCTGGGGCAGTAACACCTCGATCTTCTTGGCCGTGCCTAGGAATGACTTTGTCTGCGAGTCGGCAAACTTGGTCAAGTGAGAAAGGACTTCCTGTTCCTTGCGTCCGCCATGTAGATCCTGCATGAAGCTCGAGTAGTCGAATCGCTTCAGCTCAAAGTTTCGCCTTTTGGTCTCGTACTTTGAGTCGCTCTCAGCAAGCTTCTTGGCCTTGACCGAGTCTTGGCGCTGTCCAAGGTATCGCGATACGTAGGAGTAGTAATCTTTGCTATCCTCATCAAACTCGCGCTTCTTGGCCTCGGCCTGCTTGATGTCGATCTGGTATAATTTGTGGATGGGTTCGATGATGGTTCGCTGCAGGTTTGCTGTGTTTTGGCGCTCGTACAAGACAATCTCGCGCGCAATCTTGTCAAAGTAGTGCTCGACAGCGGGCTGGACGGCATTGGCGTTCGTTATGGAAGCCTCCCGCAGGGCGTCCATAAATCCAGAATACGCGTCATTTGCTTCTGTCTGTGCAATGTGTGCCTGCTCTGCTTTCCTGAGGACCTTTTTCATCCGAGAGCGCATGTTGCCTGTCTTTTGTTCCAGAGCTTTGAGGGTGGCACGGAAGACGGGACCGTCGTCGTTGATAGTCACATCTTCGCCAGGCTTGGGGCCTGCCACCTCAACCTTGACAGGCTCCTGAGACGACGTGGTGGGAGCGGCCAGGTTGTTAAAAGGGGTGAGTTCGTTGCCCCCAATCAGTGGGGAGACAGGCTCGTCGATGACATCCCCAGTCAAGCGGGAGTCGACCGACTGCGAAGAGGCGACACGGATTTTGGGAGGGGCAGCCAAGTAGAAGGGTGTCGGCGAGCTGGGACTGCTTAAAATGGTAGGGGGCGCTATGAGAGAGTAAGCGTCAGTGAAAGGAGCCAGGGGCGACAGATCAGGACACCACCTACCTGCAACAAAGTACGAAAAACTGGCCAGGGCATTCAGTCGGTGGGCACGCGAATCATACTCGACAAACTGACGGCAGGATTAGCAAAAGGTGCAGGGGACAAGACAGGATGGTAAGCTCAACATACACAGCAGGAATTTCTCCATCCACCAGTCTTGTCCTCAACGGCCCTGGGTGGCTTCCACTTCCACGTCCACTCGAAGGTGACAGCAGGGCTACCGTTAGTGCCATAGTCACCGACGAGTTCGACGTTGGCATTCTTGTGAAGATTGGGGTCGGCGTGGAACTCGCGTGTCAGGAGATTGTCGACCTCACGAGTGGTGGAGCCGTAGGCAAAGGTGAGGCCGGAGATGTTTGTATCGGTCGCCTGGAGGTCTGCAAGGGCTGCCGATTGCGCCTGGCGAATGACAAAGGTGAATGTGAAGATGAGTTCGTCGTCGCTGTTAAGCTTGAGCAGGAAACCGGGGGCCGATCCTGGGGCGAGGATCTCTGGGTCCTAGATAGAGAAGCGTCAGCTGTCGCCAGCAATCGTGGGAGGGAAACGCGGCGGCGAGACTCACTTGAACAAACTCAACATGGGCACTATCGTTGTTGGGTCTGGAGGCGAAGAGGCTAGTCGGTGGGAAGGCATTAGGAGTGACGTGTACGGACGAGCGCTTGCGAGGACTCGTGATAACAAGGGAAGATATGGTAACTGTTGTTTTGCACGGTCAGCTGGTTCTCCCGTCGTTTGGCGGCAAGCATAGGTCAAGAAGACGCAGATGCTCTCAAGGAAGACAGAGGGACACGGCATACATCTGTTGGGGTCCCTGAGATACAGAGTAGCCCCGTCGTCGGGTCTACTGCCAACATTGCCCATAGTGATGGTTGCGGCAGGATAGGGCGCAAGGCTCTGACAAAAGACGCAAATGTGTCTATTGACAAGGGAATAGACAGATTGTTCACCAGGAACAAGAAAGATTGTATAGCAGACGGTGCTGCGGTTTCTGCATTGCCGTGCGGCAGCACTCGGGGGGGGGGCAGCGATTTGGCGGCGGCGCGGGGCTCACTCAGCGCAGTAGTAGTAGAGGCCTCGTCGTCATCTGACTGGCAAACGTTAAACCAGTTGACAATGATTGAGTACTTTGGAAATGCGAGTTAGCATGGAGGCAGGTCGAGGTGGCCGCGTGCGAGTAGGGGATCCGTGGACGACGCAGACGAGGCGAGGCGAGAGAGAGAGGGAGAAAGAGAGAGGGAGATGGAGGGAAGGGGCCTGTTTGTGGTGGTTGAGAGCGGCAGTACGGAGCAATAATAATTAATACTTTTGGTTTGGTACCTTCGGTAGCTACTCGTACTACTACTAGGCGCAGTTTAATATTGGTAGCAGGAAATAATAAAGTCGGAATAGCAGGCTGTATCGTACTGTAGCCTGTAATAGGTACTAGTGAACAGTATTATTACTGCTGTGCTAGTAAGTATGAACAGTACCCATAGAGTCTGCTAGAGCCTAGTAGTGGTAGTAATTAATGCTTAGTGAAGAGGTGTCATTAGCAACCGAGTAGTATTAGTCCTCGTGCGAATGGATCAGTTGTTGTGAATTGAAATGGAAGGACGACGACAACCCACGGCTACAGGCGAAAAGGGAAAGAAAAGGGCCCGCCGCTGTTGCGCAAGAGGCGCCAGAAGCGCCAAGCGTCACGCGCTGTAGGCTGCAGCGTCTGCAGACTGCTAGGCGTTTGAAGGCTGGAGCAAGACTCCTGCAGGAGGCAGCCAGGGGATCGGGAGATTTGGCTAGCAGTGGATTCGATTTTTCCTGGTGGTGACGATGTTCAGTGTACTCTAGTCTGCAGATATCGGGTTGAATGCATGTAATTTTAGCATTGAGATAATACCAGACTGTACGGGTAATATGTATATATGTAATGTACTCGTGCCACCGGTGCTCTACAGGTATTAGTCCCACCACTTGTAGTAGTACATACCAGTAGTAGTATTATTACTCGTCCTGTTGATTGTGGTCATATTACTGGCCATAGCAACACTTGAAGCACAGCCGTCCGCTCTAGGCAGTACACCAGGCTTGTTGCTCTACCTGCCTAGTAGTAGTACCGTTCTTGGAGCTCACATGTCAGGCCTGTAACCCATGATCCCGCCGTATATTCACATGATGGTCATCTGACACCATAAAGTCCAGCTGTTGGCAGCAGACGTCCGTTACGGCCTGTTGGGAATAAGTTGGTATATGACTCGTTCGCGGTCTGCAGCGCTGGTCACGTCGACTCCAAATGTCGACTCCACACTATTACTAGTAATAATACTAGTAACACTCCTGTACTGCCCCAATTCGGTATTGTGACAATGTCCGGTCCACTTCAATACTACTACCATTATCTCGGTGACGGTCTTACATCTTTCTTCTCCCACCGAGTGTGATAATCGTGATAGCGTCATCACAGCTTACGATTGGGCTGGAGGACGTTGCGGAAGCAGCGAATTGTGGATGGAGGGCGCGACGGCTACTAGACAACATAGGCGACTCCCGTACTAGTGGACACGAATTACTGTTTAGTATCACATTTACTATTACATGCATGTAACATAACACAAGACTGACTTATTTGGCCTCTAAACCCGAGTATCAACATCTCTCGACGCACGAGGCTTATGCGACCAGCAGCCAATATCAGACCAGCGAGTCGACGTTTGACAAAGAGAGCAAGCAGTCTGCCTCGTACTCGTAGGGGGGGTCCCTTGCGTGTTTCTAGAATTGTGACCTCTTGGGATTAGTACTAGTAGGAGCAGTGGTAGTAGTATTAGCAAAAGTGATACCCCGTATTACTGTGTACTGTAATAGATAGTGGTATCAGGGAGCGTTTGGCGTAGCGCCGTAGAAACACTTTTGAGATACTACGGAATATATTTATTACTACTCCGTAATGCTCTATTAACAAAAAAAACAACAACAGGAAAAAACAACCTTGGCTGACAATGACGTCTATCTCTGCCAAGCCCCAAGCGTTATTACTACATCGTACTAGCCCCTCCCCCCATCCCCCCCCTTTTTTATATATAAAAAAATGGCCCCCTGTATTTGATGCCATCCTTGACCCAATAGCCAGCCCATACGAGTGAGCAGTAAGTATAGCAGGGCCCTAGATTGAGGGGGACGCTAATACGGCAGTCAGGCGTCGCAGATACGCACCACCACCACCGCTTTTGTTCCCGTACGAATAGCGAGTTGCCATTTTCTCTCCCTCGAGTCGTCTCAGCAAACCGTTGCAACGAACACCACCTCCTTGATTCCCACACGCACGCACACATCACCGCATCTCGGATTTGCTGGCCTCAATCAGTTCTCTATCCTTCTTCTTTGCATGTGTTTGTGTGTGTGTTGTGCCAATGATCCCGACCAGTCTTGTCTTCTGGGCTGGCTCGAACCCCGTGAAACAGTGACGACGACGCAGACGACGCCGACACCGACACCGACACCAACAACATTTTTGTACCCACTCACCGCTCTCACCCCACCACTTCCGCATAATATAGCCCGACGACATGTCGACAGCCTCACGACTGTCATGGGGTGCCACCCAGCGCCTACGAAGTAGCACAAAGAGCGAGACGAGGTCGCGAGCCGACTCCAGAGCCCAACACACCGTCGTTGATCACGAGGACGCTCGCAGCTTCGCTCTCCGTACCGCCTATCTACACTACCTCTTGCAGCCCAAGGCCAAGAAGAAGCAATACGTCTCAGCCCCAAAGCCCGCGCCCCGTTCGCAGACCAGCATAGGGCAGCTGATCCAAGAATATGGCTCGGGCAATTCATCGAGCCTGAAGTTGCCGCACAACTTCAGTGCCATCATCCTTGCCCGCGTCGGCGGCGTCGTCAAGGGCCAGGAGCGCCTGCCTGGATTCAACGATGCGGCCGTCAAGAGGAGTTTCGCCGAGGTCTACACGGCATTCTCCGACCCCAGCTTCCGTAAGAGCATCGACAGAGAGAGGAAGTTCGAGCCCCTCGTCCTCATCTTCTACTCGCGCGCCACCGAGGCCGCCAAGAAGGGTTGCGCCCCAGACGACGACTCGTGGAAGCTCATCCCAGACCGTCATCTAGCTTTATTCGTCCGTCTCACTCTCAAGACTCTCCGGGACCATGGCCACGATAAGGACAAACCCGAGCTTGCCTCGCGTCTCTCCACTCTCGAGAACAAGCTGCTCACAAACGACCAGAACCTGGTCGGTGGCAGCTCCGACAGCACCGGCGGCACTATCGAGGTCGCCGTGCCCCTGAGCTACGAGGTCAAGGACATGCCCCTCGTCCAGGTCGTTGCTGCAATCTTTGGCCTCAGCCTCTCCGACGTCCAGGCTGAGATCAACGAAAACCGCCAGACCTGGACTGAGGAAGCCGCTCTTAGAGACCTCAAATCCTACCAGCTGCGTCTCAGCGCCAACATGCCCGGGGCCTTGGGTAGCCAAGACTTTGACATTGATGAGTCCTTTGACGAATGGAAGAAGTCAGAGGGACCCTGTCTGTCAGCCATGATGCTCGACATCCTGACTGCTAAGCCCCTCCTGGCTAGGACTTCGACTGGTCCCACTGTACCTAGTAGGCCACAGTCTATGGTCAGTGATGACCAGGTGTATGCAGAGCTTGGTAGGGCCCTCTCCAACGCCAGTAATGGAGGTCCAGCTATCGACCCTAGTCTGAACCTTGGCTCCCTGGCCATCGGTGACAGGAGTAGCATCAGGACCGTTGAAGCACACATCTATACATTTATCCCCCCTGACCCAAGGGCATTTTACAAGTATATCCTCCAGCAGGCCATGACTTTTGACCAGCTCCATGCCGACCCGGAGCTTGACTACCAACCGCTCTCGAAGCAATCTGTGGAGCTTCTGGCTGACCTGTCAGTGCGGTGGCGCGTCCCGCAGTCTTCGCGACTCATCTGCCTTCTTGAGGTGGCCGCTCGAAAATTCATGGACCAGGAGATCATTCCCGAAGAGTTGGATGCCGTCTTCGACTGCGTCAAGGGCCCGCAGCCTGAGCTGAAGAAGCCGCCTCACATCCACGGTTTCTCGACCCCACTTAACGAGATTGAAACAAGCCGGTGGACCATTCACGACCTGGCGGCCTACCAGCACACCCTGTATAGCCTGTACGACGCAATTCTCCGTGAGCTTTACAACCTTATGGAGAAGTGCTACGACGCCAAGGCCCCGCAGATGGGCCCGGTAATGTTTATACTTGAGAACCACATCACAAACGATCCGACATTCTCACCCAGGCCCGAGACGGCCAGCGAATTCGCCGAGCAGCTTTCCCAGCGTCTTCGCCAGAGAGCCGTCGACGTGTACCGGGAGTACATGCAGAAAGAAATACCGGTGTATAAGGAGGATTGGGAGTTTGGGCACGTGGTCAAGCTGGGCAAGTCGGTGACAAAACTATGCGACCGGATCCGCAAGCGGTTTCAGAAGATGCCCGAGATCATGGGCGTGGATCCGCTAGAGATACTGGTCGAGGAGGTTTTCCCCAGCTTTGAGGAGGACGCCAACGCCATCCTCCAGGCCATCATGCTGAGGGTGCAGGACGAGGGCGGCGAGATCGACATCCAGGACGGCTTCGATCTGTACCAGGAGCTGGTGGAGATACGCCGAATCCACGAGCGCTCGCTGCCGTCCGATCACCCCTTTGCCTTTGATATTGAGACGCTCCTCGTCGACTTTGTGTGGCGCTGGATCCGCATCGCTGAGGGTCGTATGGTCGACTACGTCGACGAAGCCATCAAGCAGGACCAGTTCCAGGTGCGTTCCGAGCACCCAGGCCAGATCACCATGGACTCTGAGAGACATAGTGTGTCGATCATTGACCTGTTCATGCTATTCAACCAGACGCGCGATCAGGTGGACAAGCTCGAGTGGAACAACGAGCTCCACGTGGCCCGCTTCAGGACTGCCCTGGCCAAGAGCTTTTCTGCCGGCATAGGACACTACTGCGAGGTTGTCGAGCAGAAGTTTGCTCACGAGATGGATCGTCCCTCAGCCGAGGAGCTGGCCACGCAGTCCATGTCTACCCAGGAGAAGTGGATGCAGCTTGCCAAGGATGCATGGAACAATAAAGAGAAGGCAGAACCATTTCAATTCTACCCCGAGGTATGACTTCCCCCTTCCTCTTCGGCCAGTCGGGAAAACGTGCAATGGCTGGTACTGACTGATTTGCGTGTTTAGTCATTCGTCAAGCTCAACAATATCGAATACGCCATGCAAGAGTTTGACAAACTAGAGAAGAAGATGAACCCAGACTACTGTGCAACGCTCATCGAAAAGGCCGACGCCAGCGCTAGCAAGAAGCGTAGCAAGAAGCAGCCCAGCAAGTACACCTTCACCATCAAAGTCATAGAGGCCGAGGATCTCAAGGCATGCGACTCGTCAGGGTTTAGTGACCCATACGTCGTGTTCGGCGACGAGTACCAGAAGCGGTTGTACAAGACGCGCATCATCCACCGCAACCTCAATCCCCGGTGGGACGAGTCGTTTGACGTGACGGTCCAGGGACCCGTCAACATGATTGCCACGATCTGGGACTACGACACGTTTGGCGATCACGACTATGTCGGCAGGACGTCGCTCAAGCTGGACCCCTTCCACTTTAGGGACTACCTACCCCGCGAGTTCTGGCTCGATCTCGACTCTCAAGGCCGCATACTCATTCGCGTCAGCATGGAGGGCGAGAGGGACGACATTCACTTCCACTTTGGCAGGGCATTCAGGCACCTCAAGCGGACGGAGAGGGACATGGTTCGCAAGATTACAGACAAGGTAGGTCATTCACACACACACAGAGGAGAAATTGTCTACGATTCGAAAAAGAGGAATCGAGACGGAATGCTGGGAGAGAACAAAGCTGACAGTTGAAAACAGCTCACAAGCCAAATCAGCGCAACGCTGTCACACAACACGCTGCGAAGCCTACTGGGCACAGGCAGCATCGGGGCGGCAATGACGGGATACTGGAAGAAGCGCACGTCGACGATGCCGGTAGTGACAACGGCACAGATCGAAGGCGTGTTGACACCACTCTTCGAGTACTTTGACGACAACTTTGCCATTATGAAGCAGACGCTGACCGACCAGACCATGATTGCTGTCATGACGCGTCTATGGAAGGAAGTCCTCATGACGATTGAGAACCTGGTGGTGCCGCCCCTGTCGGAAAAACCATCGATGCAGAAGCCACTGGCGAGTAAAGAGCTGGACATTGTGTACCACTGGCTGCAGAAGCTGTTCGAGTTCTTCAACGCCAAGGACGAGGTGACGGGCGAGCAGGAGGGCGTGCCCGAGAGCGTTCTCAAGTCGCCCAAGTGGCATGAGCTCAAGTCGGTCAACTACTGGTACTTTGAAGACACCAACATGCTCATACGCGAGTCAGAGCGCATGGCAGCGGCGACGGCGCAAAGGGCACAGCAGGCCCTCCAACAGCAGCAGCAGCAGCAACAATCATCGCGTCCCGAGTCTATGTCACACGCGCACCCGCCCGCGAGTGCATCCCCCGGCATGGTGGCAATGGGTGGGTTCGCGAGCATGGGGACCATCCGCCGCGGCAAGAGCATATTCATGTCCCGCAACTTAGGAACGATGCGTAAAGCCAAGGAGGAAAAGTGGCGCGAGGCACAGGCCGACCCCAGCGACGACGTGATCTTGCGCATCTTGCGTATGAGGCCCGAGGCTGCGGGCTACCTCAAGGAGAGGCACCGTCAGAAGGAGAGGCAGGCTGCTACGGCGGCAGCGGCATTGATTGTCAAGAACAGTGTTAATCAAGGGTGGAATGCTGGAGGGCACAGCCGTGGGGCGTCATCGTTGGCGAGAAATGCCCTTCCCAAGAGGTGAATGTTCTTTTGTTTTCGAGTGGAAAGGAAATGACAATATTATCCTCCTTCCCTTCTCCCCCTTGCCTTTTTTTTTTTGATCTGATACATTTATGTATCATACACACAAGTTGAAGCAATCGGGTTTTTACCAGAACAACAAAAGGAATGATGTGAACGACGGTTAGAAAACAAACGATGGTGGCGTGCGGCATCGGATACCCCGGTTCATAGCGAGATGGTTTATTGCTTTTCTCTTTCAATGTTTACTTTTATTCTCTGTTCCTTTTTTGTCTTTGATGACAGGGGGGAGGATTACGTCAAAATGCCCATCAGTAGTAGTACCTGTACTGCTAGTCATTCTTATACAACGGTGTCCAAGTAGAATGGTTCAAGTACTAGGTTCGATAGTCACTAAACCCAGGCGAGTCATTGAGAAACAGGACCAAGTTTGCCATGTGGCCGACCCAGGAGATCTAACCGGAGTATAAATCTCGGGTCTAGGGAGCCCTAGAGTCTTGGAGTCTTCATAGTACGCAGTAATACTAGTGCAATATCGTCACCCTGACTAGTATTAGATGATAAAGATGCATGATATTGTTAAATGCTGTACTAGTAAGATGGTTTGTAAACACAAGTCACGTGCGACGTCGACCCCGAGATGTCGGTTCCATTGCCAGCGACGCTCCCTCCCTCCCCCCGCATCATGCCAACGGAGGGGTGTGGTGTTTTAAAGGAAGGGTAGGGAGGGGAGATGGAGTATGTATCAGAACTCGACTTTTTTTTTCTTCCTTTTTCTTCTCCTTCTTGCCAATGAAATGCAAGGGTTTTTTTTTTCGAGAGGTGAAAAGAAGAGGAGGGGAAAGAAAAGAGAAAAGAACAATAAAAAAAGAACACGGTTAGTGGAAGCAAACATGATGGGATGGGGAGTTGTCTACTAGACTCTAGCACGATGCAGTATGATGGTTAGCGCCTCTGTACTGCGGATACTTAGTAGGATTAGGGGACCAGCGCGGTTTGCATGGGTGCGACCAGCGGTCTCTCCGTTTCGTCCTTCCTCTTCTTATTGACAAGACAGGGATGTGAGGTGAAGGAGAAAGAGGAGAAGAGCGACGTCCGCATCGTGAAAGTAAAGCTTCCTATGGGTATCATATCATATTCGAATATATCGTGGTCTATAGATGAATAATGTCGTATTTCTCAGTATAAGATACTCCCTCTTTTGCAAGGTATAATATATCCTTTCTGGCTTGTTTTTTTTTTTCATGCCCGAAATAAGCGCCAGGACTGAGGAGGGGAGAGGGTTCTTCGAGATGATGGTACAGATAGTGTCGGATATCACATAGACACAGTCCGACCCGGTGGCGGAGCGGAGTGGGCACTTTTCTTCTTTTTTTTCCGGTTCTCCCCCTCGTATTTTGGGCGGGATGAGGGAAAGGGAACATAGCTTTAGAGTGAGATCATCGCGAAATAACACTTTGCTCAGTACTCGTAGTAAAAGTCGAAAGTCTGGTCGGTTAGTAAGTAGCATCAGTACTACGGAGCAGCAGCGCTACTACTGCTACGCTACTGCTCATGTTTGCCTCGGGCCCTCGTGCACACACAGACTTGTCTCTTCGATGTAGTCACCCACAAAAAAAAATGGACGGGCAGGAAACCGAAACAGACCGCCTACAGAGAGATGGCGGAGTATTGCAGGCTGTACTGGTAGGACGGGCGGCTTTGTAGTTGCTGCTGCTGATATATGTATTACTATTCCCTCCCCAGTAGGCTTACAGTACAGACCCAGCCAGCGAGCAGCAGCAGCAGAGTAAAGAGAAGAAAGAAGCAAGGAGAATAAATAGTGGACACCCTTCCAAGATTGATTCGTGATTGACCAGAGAGGGATGAAGGACCCATGGAACCAACAGGCGGGACTTTCCCAAGAACTGCAGGAGTGACGTAGGCATATGCCACCGCGTTAGTCTCCCCCCCTCTCTGTACATGTTTAGGGGTCTCTTTCTCTCTTCTCTCTCTCTCTCTCTCTTCTCTCTACTCGTACCCCTCCCTCTCTCGCCCCCCTCCTCTCTCTTTCCATATAGAAAGTACCGACTAGATGGGTTGCCAGGTAAACAAACACACTCAACGGTGCAATTCCGGTAACGAACAGCGGCGTTACACCGATACGAAGATTTTCTTTACCTCGGTAGCATTTTGCCTCGTTTGGGCTAAGCACTGCGGAGTAATGACACTCGTATCTGCTTTGCTTAGTACGCTTGGCTTACTTGTAGATGAGCTGTGAGAACTAGATAATCGGGGTTTTCTTTCCTACTTTTTTTTTTTCTTCACGTGGGGCGATGATGGTGAAGATATCCATTATGTGCATCCTGAAACGGGTTCACGGCGGATTCATAGAATGGAGAGTGGGGGGGGGAGAAGATGTAGTATTGGAAGAAGCGCGTTGTTCTCTTGGTAAAGCAATGAAGATCATCATAAGTTTGAAGCGCCGGCCTTTTTTCTCGGCTCTTAAGTCTTACGACGGCCTAGATGATTTTCCAAGGTACGGAGTTACTAGTACGAGTAGAGTGCGAGCCGTACTACTTGCTACTGATACCGTACGTCTGCTACTAGGTAATACGTTGTGTTATTTACTACCAAGCACTCATGCCTGTACAGTGTACAGGTCAATACCCGAAGCCCTACCCGTGGACTTGTATTCATTCTGGTGCGTGGGAATGGTAGACAGTGTCAGCCGTGTCATTTTGGCAAGACGGGACAGTGATGCTACAGTTGATGGCTGGATATAGGCATCTCTCCATTCTCTGTCCATCCTCCTGTCCCATCTCTCACTCTCTCTTTATCAGTATTGTAGTATCCGTGCCATACGGGGGTATCATAATCGCTACTCGCACACGGTTACTCCGTACTCGTACATACAGGTACTACAGGTACAGACATGCCAAGTCTTTGCTTTCCCATGATGGATCCTTGCAGCGTTGGCACCAGCACTAAATCCACCTAGACAGCCACCCCGTCATAGCGGGGATGGGACACGGATAAGGGAATATTATATTAGATGCATGTACGAGTCGTACATGTATTATTTATTATACTTGAGCCCTTGACGGGAACTGTTCCTTCAACAGAGACCTGTCCCGTGACCTGCCTCTGCCTCTGACCCTATCGGCTGATGCCCTCTCGGTGGCGTCGATAATGTCACGAGGCCCTCTCCAGTATATATTACTCGTATACGGCGTGTTGCCATATACTTTACGAAGAGTGCTAAGTCTGCGAGTATATCAACACTCGACTAGTACTTGCGCTTTGATAGCAATAACACTCTGTGTAGGTCATATATTCGTACCGTGTACGTGGATCTTGGTGGGACCCATGTCCGTCCATGATATCAGCTGGCAATATCATATCACGGCTGCGAGCTGCGAGCATAACGCCTCAACGCCTGTAGTCGTCGACACATAGTGCACGCATATGCGTGGAGCATTATCAGTGCTGTCCGGTGTTAATGCCGGACACAAGCTCATATTCGTGGAGTATTATCAATGCTGTTCGGTGTTAAGACTGGACATAGATTTCCACAGGTATTAATAATAATAGCTGCGAGGTATTACTATTACTGTAATATTAGGCAGTGGTACTACATATAATACCTCCCATGCCTGTACATATATCAGAGACATTCCGTGACGTAGCGGGCCAGGGGCCAGGCAAAAGCCGGCATCTCTGTAATATCTCTGGAGAATCCTCTTGGTATCTGCTCCAGACTCTGGATTCCCTCTTTCTGCGGAGCTCTCCCTCTGCGGAGCTCTCCCTCTCTCTCTGCGGAGTGTTAACCCGGACTACGTAGAGTACGAGTATGAGTACTCGTATTACATAGTAGTGTTCTATATTACTGCTGGATCTCGGTGCGGTATTACTACTAGCAATACTCCGTACTTGTAGTTGTATGATTACGAGCATCCAGGGTCCGCGTAAAGGTGGGCATACAGTGTCTAAAGACGGCACAAGGTGGGACCCAGGGCTTCTTCACCTCCCCAGGCCGTAACACTCAGTAGTCCCCCTCGAGTCACCTACCGCTAAGAGCCCTTCACTGCCCAGATGTTTCCGTGCTCGCGGTACTATGTGTGTGCGTGCGAGCGTGACGTGCGTGTGATTGAAAGAAAATCACGTACTGATACTGCTAGTGCTTGTACGAGTAGGGGTTTGCCCCCCGACTCTTTGGAACGCTGTCGAATGATGACGGGTTCTTGAACTCCTGAACTTTGCCTGTATCTGCGTACGAGTACAAGCATGTAGATGTATGTGAGCTCAGACCTGCTGAGAGAAATCCCAGTGCCCCCCCGGCCTTGTCACACAGGGTCCCTAATGCCCGAGACAGAGAGAGGTCATGAGTCTAGGGTTGCGAAAGCTGGACTTTTCTGCTGGCCGTGCCAAGAAATTTCTCGGATGCTTGCAACGCCACCTTTTCGTACTACTCGCACGGCTAATGAGTGCCATGTTGTACGGGTGCTACAGTACGCACATCCCACCGTTCCCATTATACGTACTCGTATTTCGACAAGGGAAGAAGGGTAGGAAAGAAAACAGAGAAGGATCAAAAGAGAGGGGGGAAACAGACAGAGATACATGACAGAAGAGACGTCCCGCAGTCGAGTGGGTTGAGGGGGAGATTCTATTGGATAAGTTCGCGGTCAATGCCCCACCATGGCACCACACGAGGCAAAGTCGACTTCTCCCCCTTCTCCTCTTTTGTTTGGTAATGATACTGTTCCCCTCTCTCTCTGCGAAGCAGCAGCATCTAGTAGTACTCGTATCACTGTCATACTAGCAATATCAACCGAAATAACATATGAGCAGTATTGCTACGCCGCACGCCGTTCTACTACTGACTACCATCATCATGGTATTCGCCCGAATCAGGGGAGAACAAGCAGACGCCACAGTGGCATCTCACGGAATTCTTCTTTCTTCCTTCCCGTACCGTAGCTAGACGGTCAATCCGGGTATCTCACTTGGCATGTCCTGGGCCTTGGCACCCTTTTCGTGGCCCGTCCAATTGCCCAGGCCAGCGGATTGATTTAGCACCTTATCTCCCCTCCGGTGTGCGTGTGAAGGCTGGAAGCATGGAAGCGCCATTTGGCGTGTCAAAGGACAGCAGCGGAACAAAAGGGGGCGTAGTGGTGGTGGTGGTGGTGATGGTGGTGGCGGTGGTACACCGGCACGAGCAGCTGCAGCACGAGCACTGCAGCGAGTACGAGGTTTGACAAGGGCTATGGCCACCATCAGGTATAATCTGTACGGATACTACAAGGGTTCCAAGTCATCAGCATCAGACAAGTGTTTTTTTCCCCTCTGTCGTTTCGTTTTGTATTCTCCCCCAAGAGATGCATGTGTATGATAGGTGACGTGCGCATGAGTTGAAATAGGCATGTAGCCATTGTGCGTCGTGATTCCACGTTCCGGGCGGCTTCACGACTCGCGTAGGGTGCTTGGGGTGCCCTGGTCCTGTCTTTCTCTTCTTCTTTCCTTTTTCTATACCGTCCTTGGCATGCAGCGCCGGACTTTTGTTGGGCCTCCCCCCTGGATGACGGCTACAGCAGTTAGTTACAGGCACTATGAAGCCCCTCCTGTAGCTCCCGCCTGTCCGATACAAGTAATACAAGGAGTAGTAACAGCGCTCCAAAATAGCATTAATAGTTCGAGTACAATCGTCCCTGGGACCACCTAGACAAGCCCAATAGGACTGAGTCGAGTACTGAAACCAAACACTATTAGTAGAGGAGTCCAGTGCCCGGTTGGTACCTAGTGCTCCTCCGCCTGGCACAGAGCACTATCCCCCCTGCCCCTCCCTCCGCACATACAGATTCTCTCTCCCTACCACCCCTAAACTACATCATGTAGACGCCGGGCAGAATATTGTTACCACCAAAGTATAGCCGCGGCGACAGACCAGACACAGAGAGAGACAGGAAAGAGAGCAAGAGGGGAGTTTAGTTGATACGTATTACAGTCCCCCGTAGACACACATCCAAATCTCCACTACTGCCCCCGTCCCGTCCCTTCGAATCCACGATCCCCTACATTCAAGGTTCAGAGCCCAGGACGTAGATTATTATTACTACTCCAACTCATCCATCAATCAAACACTCTGCCCCCTCCCCCCTCCCATCGTCCCTTACCTTAACCCTTGTGGCGACCGCTCGGCTCTGTCACCACAAGGCCAGGCCGTTTTTTGCTCTACAATCCTCACCCCACCATCGACTCCTTTTCCCGGTACTATCAGTATAGTCTCTTGTGTGTGCGAGCTTTCATCTTGCCCCCCCCTTGTGTGGCTCTTTTTGCCCCAGTGCCTCCTGGTGTCGTCGACCGCTTTCGCAAGGCAGGCCGCACCGCAACGTAGTTCGCTTTTCGCACATGCCCAACCGCCCGCCGCTGCCATCATCGAATCCCGATTTCCTCGTCGGCGGCTAATCATCCCCCGGAAGATGAGACACGTACTTGGTTGATCGCCGCTCAGCCTTTTTCCTCGAGTAGAGTCGGCGCTCTGTTTTTTGGCCCTCTTTTCCTCCTTCCTCCCCTCCTCCGCCCTCTCCCCTCGCACCGCCGCCACGACGACCAACGATCACCAGAAACTCGAAAAGGAATCAGAAAAAGAGAAACTTGGCATACCCCCGACAACGAATAACGATTTCCATCCATCCCTCCCCACCCCCCCCTTTCTCCGACTACTGCTTCTTTTCTCGTCTCGATTACCGATAGACACAACAAGTCTCCCCTCCTCATCCTCCTCGCCACCGCGGATCGTTACTACTCAGTTTTCCCTCTAAAACCCCTTGGTCGACCCTCAAGTGAAGCACAACATACACGGCATACACGGCACTATACATCAACGTACATTGACATACGCCCTCACCCGTTCTTCTCCGCCCATAGGCTGCGGGCTTAACTGTCTGCACAACCATTCAGGGCAATCATGATGGATGATGCTGCAGTGGCTGCGGCCGCTGAGCTCATCGCCTCTTTGGCCGTCGACCCCAGGTCACCATCGCCCGTGCCATCTACCATTAGCCACAAGACAAAACTCCCCGGTCGGGAATCGCCTGTCAAGCGAACCCTCGAGGCCGAACTGCATAAGCTCTCCATAAGAATCGCTCAGCTAGAGAGCAGAGCTGCCGCCGCCGCGGCATTTCCCGAAACCCCCAACGAAGGACCCGATTCCATCTTTGGTGAAGAGAATGGCTCATCACCCGCCGGCAAGGCCAGGCAGCAGCGTGTCGCCCAGACCACAAATCCCGACCTCGTGCCCCGCCAGGTCACAAAGGAGGCCCTCGAAGGCTTGAGGGAGCATGTCGACGACCAGTCCAGGCTTCTTGACAGCCAGCGCGAGGAGCTGGCTGGCGTCAACGCCCAGCTCATTGAGCAGAAGCAGCTGCAGGAGAGGGCTCTAGAGTTGCTCGAGCAGGAGCGCGTCGCGACCCTCGAGCGCGAACTATGGAAGCATCAAAAGGCCAACGAGGCTTTCCAGAAGGCCCTCCGTGAGATTGGCGAGATCGTCACCGCCGTCGCCCGCGGTGACCTGACCATGAAGGTCCGCATGAACACGGTCGAGATGGACCCCGAGATCACCACTTTCAAACGTACGATCAACGCCATGATGGATCAGCTGCAAATCTTCGCCAGCGAGGTCTCGAGGGTCGCCCGTGAGGTCGGCACCGAAGGCCTCCTGGGCGGCCAGGCCCGCATTGGCGGAGTCGACGGAACTTGGAAGGAGCTGACGGACAACGTCAACGTCATGGCCCAAAATCTTACCGACCAAGTGCGGGAGATTGCCTCGGTCACGACGGCCGTCGCCCACGGTGATCTTACGAAGAAGATAGAACGGCCGGCACGCGGTGAGATCCTACAGCTGCAACAGACCATCAACACCATGGTTGACCAACTACGAACGTTCGCCTCCGAAGTCACGCGCGTGGCCCGAGACGTCGGCACAGAAGGCATATTGGGCGGCCAGGCCGACGTCGGGGGCGTGCAGGGCATGTGGAATGACCTGACCGTCAACGTCAACGCCATGGCCAACAACCTCACGACCCAGGTACGAGACATCATAAAGGTGACGACAGCCGTCGCCAAGGGAGACCTCACGCAAAAGGTGCAAGCCGATTGCCGGGGCGAAATATTCGAGCTCAAGTCGACCATAAACTCCATGGTCGACCAGCTCCAGCAGTTTGCCCGGGAAGTCACCAAGATAGCCCGAGAGGTCGGCACCGAAGGCCGCCTCGGCGGCCAGGCCACGGTCCATGACGTCGAGGGCACGTGGAGAGACCTGACGGAGAACGTCAACGGTATGGCCATGAACCTCACCACGCAGGTGCGGGAGATTGCCAAGGTCACCACGGCCGTAGCCAAGGGCGACCTCACCAAGAAGATTGGTGTCGAAGTCAAGGGAGAGATTCTTGAGCTCAAGAACACCATCAACCAGATGGTGGACCGCCTGGGAACATTTGCCTTTGAAGTCAGCAAGGTGGCGCGAGAAGTCGGCACGGACGGTACCCTCGGCGGTCAGGCCCAAGTCGCCAACGTCGAGGGTAAATGGAAAGATCTAACCGAGAATGTCAACACCATGGCCTCCAACCTCACAGTACAGGTTAGTCACTGAGAAAGTCGAACCCCGATGGCGGAGGATCTCTTGAAAGGGGCAAGCAGACAAAAAAGGTTGCTGACATCCTCCTTTGAAGGTGCGGAGTATCTCTGCAGTTACGCAAGCCATTGCAAACGGAGACATGAGCCAGACGATTGACGTCCAAGCCAATGGTGAGATACAAGTGCTCAAGGAGACGATAAACAACATGGTTGGCCGCTTGTCGAGCTTCTGCTACGAAGTGCAACGAGTGGCCAAGGATGTCGGCGTCGACGGCAAGATGGGTGCCCAGGCAGATAAGGCCGGACTGGACGGCCGGTGGAGAGAGATCACCACCGACGTCAACACGATGGCTGCAAACCTGGTAGGTCGACAATGCATGACGAGCCCTTGCGCTCTGCGCTCTGCACATGTACACCAATAACTGACACGTATACTCCTCTGTCCAGACGACACAAGTGCGGGCCTTCTCCGACATCACCAACCTGGCAACGGACGGGGACTTTACCAAGCTTGTCGACGTGGAAGCTTCCGGTGAGATGGACGAGCTTAAGCGCAAAATCAACCAGATGATTTCAAATCTCCGAGACAGTATACAGAGGAACACGCAGGCTAGGGAGGCGGCCGAGTTGGCCAATAAGACCAAGTCAGAGTTCCTGGCCAACATGTCGCACGAGATCCGAACGCCTATGAACGGAATCATTGGCATGACACAGCTGACGCTCGACACCGACTTGACCCAGTATCAACGAGAGATGCTGAATATCGTCAATAACCTTGCGAACAGCCTCTTGACGATCATAGATGACATCTTGGATCTGTCCAAGATTGAGGCCAGAAGAATGGTCATTGAAGAGATCCCCTACACGCTGCGGGGAACAGTCTTCAGTGCACTCAAGACTCTGACGGTCAAAGCGAACGAGAAATTCTTGGATCTCACCTACAAGGTGGACAGTTCGGTTCCGGACCACGTCATTGGTGACTCTTTCCGTCTGAGGCAGATCATCCTAAACCTAGTTGGCAACGCCATCAAGTTCACCGAGCACGGCGAGGTCTCGCTCACCATCCAGGAGAGGGCCGAGCAGGAGGCCGTGGGCGAGGGCGAGTACGCCGTCGAGTTTGTCGTCGAGGATACGGGCATCGGCATCGCCAAGGATAAGCTGGACCTCATTTTCGACACATTCCAGCAGGCCGACGGGTCGATGACGCGCAAGTTTGGCGGCACGGGCCTGGGTCTGTCTATCTCGAAGCGCCTCGTCAACCTGATGGGTGGTGACCTGTGGGTCAACAGCGAGGCGGGCAAGGGCAGCGAGTTCCACTTCACGTGCCGGGTCAAGCTGGCGTCGGACGACACGTCGACGTTGGAGCGGCAGCTGAAGCCGTACCGCAACCACCAGGTGCTGTTCGTGGACAAGGCGCAGTCGAGCTCGCGGTCCGAGATCAAGGGCATGCTGCGGCAGATTGGCCTGGTGCCGGTAGTAGTAGACTCGGAGAAGGGCCTGACGCTGGGCCACCTCAAGTCGGGCGGCGCCCTCCCCTACGACGCCATCCTCGTCGACTCCATCGACACGGCCAGGAGGCTGCGAGCCGTGGACGACTTCAAGTACCTGCCCATCGTGCTCATGGCGCCTGTGGTGCACGTCAGCCTCAAGTCATGTCTGGACCTGGGTATCACGTCGTACATGACGACGCCTTGTAAGCTCATCGACCTGGGTAATGGGATGATACCAGCCCTAGAGAACAGGGCCACGCCGTCGCTGTCGGACAACACCAAATCATTTGAGATTCTGCTCGCCGAGGACAACACGGTCAACCAGAAGTTTGCCGTCAAGATACTCGAAAAGTATCACCACGCCGTGACGGTTGTGGGTAACGGTTGGGAAGCTGTCGAGGCTGTCAAGGAGAAGAAGTTTGACGTTATTCTCATGGATGTCCAGATGCCCATTATGGTAAGTTTCTTTTTTTGCCTCTTTTTATTTGTTTTTTTTGCCTACCTGTTTCTTTTTTTCCTATCAAGGTTTCCTGTCAATTTCTCGTGTCCTCAAGTTACACCTGCAGTTCTGCATGAACAGTTAGCTAACCGAAAATCGAAACACAGGGTGGATTTGAAGCTACTGGCAAGATTCGAGAATACGAGCGTGGAATAGGCACGCACCGCACGCCCATCATCGCCCTGACGGCGCACGCCATGATGGGCGACCGCGAAAAGTGCATCCAGGCCCAGATGGACGAGTACCTGTCGAAACCCCTGCAGCAGAACCAGCTGATACAGACGATACTGAAGTGCGCCACGCTGGGCGGGCCGTTGCTGGAGAAAAACCGCGAGCGCGAGCTGGCCGTGCAAGCCGACGCGAAATCATCGAGCCACAACCAAGCCGGCGGGCTATTACGACCGACACGGGACAGCAGGATAGCGGCGAGCAAGACCAAGGCCTCGGGCGGAGGTCTATAAAGATGTCTCCCTCCTTCCTCCTCTATCTCATATCACCACCATCGTCATTACGCACGTCACCTTACCAACGAACTCGATGCCTTTTCCCCTTCAGCAAGGAATCACCATGACACAATAACAAAACACATCATATAAACATATACACGCACGCAACACCGACACACACACACACACGCAAGCGCACATGTGCAAACATAACATAGACGGAGAATTAGGTGTTTGAGGAGAAGAAGAAGAGAGGGGGGGGATTCCATGAAGAGGCAAATGTGCTAGGAAGGCAAGAAGACGAGAGAGAAGTTGGAGACAATCGAAAGTAGTGTCGGGTGCTGTGACAAGTCAATTTTTCTTCTCTTTTTTCCCTTTTTTTTGGGGGGAGGGGGAGGGGGGGTGGGGGGGTATCTATTTCATCCACATTGGGATATACATTTCTTTTTTCCCCTTCTCATTCCTATTTCTCCTTTCTTTTCTATAATGGTCCTCCTTTATTTCCCTTTTTTTTGGTTATGTGTGGTTTTGTTCTATTTCTCGCTCTGCTCTCTTTATCTTACTGTATTTTAAAACAAAAAAATAGGGGGGGAGGTTTGTTCTACATCTATCTCCCTTTTTGTCGTCCTTGTCCTTATCCGTTTTGGATGGTGATGCTTCCATGCCCCCCCCAAGGTTCCAGCCAGCTCTTTCTTTTTTATTCAATTACTAGGTAGTATGAAGGGTATGGTGTTACTTTGTTACTTTGTTTCGACAAGTATAACATTCGTTTTGTTTTATATATACCGACTTTTTTTTTCCCTTCAACTTGGGGAGGAAACGAACCAGAAAATATAAGCAGGGTTCTCATTATATACACGAGTGTGTATGTTGGCAATGCTATTGTATGTTGGGCATTATTTTTAAGATATCCATGACATTTTGTAGCTCCATAGGATTTTGTACTTTCATTGTCGTTCTTCTCACTTCCATTGGAGATGAGGATCACAATACTGATCCTTTTTTCATGATGCCTTTTCGTTTTCCGCCTTGTCCTTGGCGCCGCTGATGCTGCTGCTGCTGTGATCATTCGTCATTGATTCGAGAGCTGCCAACATGGCATCCAGCTTATTCTCTAGATTGGACAGGTTGGATTCTAGCGCTGCGGCAGTTTGTTCGCCTCTGATACACCGTATGGTACATTCATTAGTTGATATATCCTCTTCTTGTCAGCTCTGCCCCGGAATGGTGTATCTTTACCTGGCAAGATCGCGGTAGGCCTTGCAGAAAGGTTAGCGGTTTGTTTCATGGAGGATATGAGCCGAAGATAATCCTTCAACCTCACCTGAGCTAGGTCTGCGGGATCGTTGGATGAAGTGCTGTCGATGTCGTCCGTCTTGCGGGCTGCCATGGTGGGGCGTTGGTGCTTGACACGGGATGGCTGACGTGTAGACGCAGATGGTGATTCGACGTATGTGAGGGATAGGGGATGAGACGCTGGATTGTTGTAGTATATGGGGTGATGATGGAAAAAGTCTCTTAGCAAATCTTGATGGACGTCGGAGGTTAATTGGGATCTTGGGTCTGCAGAGGGGGTTAGTGGGAGGGGGTACTACCGGGTATCTATACGTATATCGTGCTGGTGTCGGGCAGCCTCATTGTCTTGAGTATTCGGTACATTCTAGACTGAAAACTCGACGAATCGATTCATTCGAAATACTGCATACTACAGCCCTGGTGAGTTTGTATCTGTTTTACATCCAAGAGAGGATAAAGCGCAATCGTCTTTGTTGTTCTGTACGATGGACTGGTTGACACTTGTTTGTGTCAAGAACGACTTACCCTGAACCTGGAATTGGAATATTCGTCTGCAAGATGAAAAAGTTGGCAACATGCCAACTCTAGGTCGGACATACGACCACATATACCCACCCGTACGACGCACGCGTGACGCGTATACGAATAATATCAGAGGGAGAAAAAAGAAGCCATCTACAAAGTTACAGAGGGAATAAGGGTCATTCCACTGCCCCTGAGTGCATGTCACGTGGATTTCCAGAAATGAGGCTTTTCCGGAAGCACAGCACACATGTACGGCGAACACGAATTTTTTTTTTATAAAAAAACAAGCATTATTATCTTATGCATAAACCAGATGTACGTCGTATTCAAGAAGAAAAAGATGGGTATCATTATTACTGACTTTTTCCCCCTTTGCAGTTCTTGTTTTGCTATGCTTGAAGAGCTATGAGCTTAGGACTTGAGTATGGAGAAGAAGGGGGGGGGGGGGGGGGGGGGGGGACGAAGCTTTTTACCGATGCACCCACCCATGGGCTGGGCGATTATGGGAAAATGGGGCACAGCATCGATCTCTTTGCCAAAACTCGATTTCGGCCGACGGGTGAAGGCCCTATATAATTGGACATCTGAATCTCGGATGGTGGGACACACACACACACTGATGGAGGGAAGGGGGGAGAAGACTGTGTGTGTCTGCAGGGGTTGTTAGTATTGGATGGGAGATGAGTTGATGACCGTTTAAAACGGAGATGATTTTTTTCTTTTATTTCTTTAATTTTTGGAGTGTTATGGAGGAGTATGAAAAGGTCTTTTTTTTCTTGTATACGGAGTATATACTATAATATGCCTTGGTCCATCGTCATCAACCGACCATCGTCATCGACCAATAATGCATGAGTAGTGACACCAGAGGAGCAGGGGGGGAGTTGGATACATGTACTCCGTGCTCGTACATGTTGTTATAATAATACTCATATGTACTCCGTACGGAGTAATCTGTACAGATTAGCGAGTATGAAGATACTCTTGCTTAGTAACACCACTACTAGTAGCACATTTACCAACATGACGCAAATCGCATATATATTACTGAACGTTTATTTAGTCAAGAAAATAAAATAGAAAGGGAAAGAAAACCCACAGGATACTTTTATACCGCATACACTGCATGCGAAGAGTCCTCATCACTGGTCCTACGGCCGTACGGATATATGCATACATGATACACGCGTTGATGCTGGTCTCTTTCCCCGGACCAAGTTCGGACAGTGGAGTAGAGGATAGAATGGAAGAAAGACCGACGGTAACAAAATAAATTGATGGCGGAAAAGAAAGATCGCGAATACTATCACCTAGACTGAGTAATAGTTATTTATCTATAATCGTACTTGTTGGCCGCATTAACCGTCGAAAGATTCCCTCGTACTTTCCGGGGTATTCATTATTCATATTGCACAGGCATGTGGAACTTAGGGGGAGAGTGAGAGAGAGGGGAAGGGACAAGGGACTAGAGCTTTTTTTTCTTCTTCCTTTTCTTTTCACAGACTCCGTACTAGTTGGGAATTCTTGATTCTTGGGGGACCATGAACTTTGAATGAACGAATAGATGGGACTTTGGGGGGGGGGGGATCGAGATCCCCATTCTCGGCCCTCGCCAAAGTCATCGAGATGTGGGCCGCTATGATGCTATCGCGGGACGGGGACTGACACTGGCATGGGATCAAGATGGGATGTTGTGGTCCACAAGAGGATTTCTTGTAGGCGTGGGTTTCATGTTGGTACTAGCGTTTTTTCTTTCTTTCTTTATGTCTTGTGTTTCTTATACATCTTTTCTTTGTGCTCTTGTCTTCTTACTACATGCACACATGCATGTATGTGTACTACCACGCTACTCCGGTTTACTCACCACCAGGATACGGTACCGTATTTACGGTAAATGAGTCTTGCATACAGTGTAGGCACCGTATTCGACCACTGCGAGGTCAGAGTGAGTGGTATTATTACATGTAGTAAGTACTAATATCATATCCCCAGACACCCCATTATTGTCATCTCTACATGGCGAAAAGGAAAAGAGAGAAAAGAGAAAAGGGGGGG